TTCAAAGGGGCCAATGAGGACAGGGTGTGTTCCTTTGATACAAGCATACCTACATCAGCTGATTGCCACATTCTGAAGGCATGTCAAAAATTCAACAACCCAGCTCAGAGAAGCTATTCTCTCAAGATCTCAGAAGAGATTGCCTTCAAGACTGTAATAGCAGCACACATGTTGGAACGTGTGTGTGTGTGTTTGTGTGTTTGTAGAGCTCTTGTCCAACGCCGCTTTCCAGTATTTGCATATCATTCCGAGAGAAAGAGAAAAAAGCATGCCTGTGCCCAGGTACAGAATTCCCTATGTGTATGCCCCAAACTGGAAAAGGTAATGGAGGCAGGTGGGGGAGTAGTGATTAAGTGATTTGTTCACTCAAACAGCAACTGGCTCTCCTATAACTTTCTCACTCTTTTGAGACCCTTGTGTGGTGTAGCAGTTAGAGGTTAGGGTTAGGAATGGGTAGACCAGGTTCAAATATCTTTTCGGTCATGGTTCTTACTAGGTGACCTTGAGCTGGTCATCATTTTTCAGCCTCACCTTTGACACAGAGTTTGCTGTGGGAAAGCTGGGATAATAAATATTTGTTAAACAATTTACAATTAAGCCATCTCTCCTTCCTTCCTTCTTGAGATATTTTAAAGTTGATCCGCAGTCATTTATTGATCCAGATAAAAAAAAATTAAAGCAGTATCCTTCCAACGTTGCAGGGTGTTTTCACTTATATTAACTGAAATCAAATTGATAGGGATTTTTAAAACTAAGTTCATTTTTTCTGCTGCTACTTGTCTGATGTTTCATTCTTTAATGCAAGTTCAGATACGACATTTTTGCCAATGGTAAGCCAGTCTGCTGCTTTCACAACAGGAACAATTATTGTTTGCCATGAAAGGTTCCCATTCCTGCCAAGACTCATCCAATGTGTAATATAGAAAAATACAATACATTCCTTGAGCTTTAAGTTATTCCTATGAATGAGTGAGTGAGCTAATGGGTACTCTTCACATAATATATAGCTGTGATATTCAAGTCATTTGTTCTAAAATGACCCTAAAGTAGCCAGTGGCTTTACTCACTCCAGTGTATACAGATTCCATCAATCAGATTCCAGAGGGGTGGCTACAATAGCCCTGTGGCACCTTAAAAAACTAACAAGGTGCAAAACAAAATGCCATAATAAATTTGTTAGCCATTACGGTACTACAGCTCTCTTTTTGTTAATAAATCAAATGCATCATGTATATATCCACGGACTAGTTCTGCTGTCACCATGAATTACAAGAAAACAAACATAAATATAGCAGGAAATCTTGACTCCTGGATAAGCTTTATCACATGCTATCAGCAATGGATTTGAACAAATCTTGTAAATCTGTGGCTGCAGATTTGCAAGGGAATAAGGGCCCTTGAACTCCATCAAACATACTTCCGAATAATCATGTATAGGATTGTGTAGTGTAGGGAAATGATCTAATTACTTATTTACCTATTTATTGCATTTTTATCCCATCTTTACTCCCAAGAGCTCAAGGCAACAAACATGGTTCCTCCCCCTATATTTTATCCTTACAGCAGCCCTGCAAGGTAGGTGGGGTTGGCAGCAAGCAGATGGCCCAGGGTCCGCTCAATGAGCTTCATGGCTGTGTGGGAATGTGGAATATACAGAGCCGGATTTAGGTTTGATGAGGCCCTAAGCTACTGAAGGTAATGGGGCCCTTCATATGTCCAAATGTTCTTTGTCAACAACAAATTGTCACTGGTTTTTGATTTTTTTGTTTTCGCTGGTTTTTTTTGTTGAATATATGCTATATGCGAGGCCCATTGCTTACATCATAGGAGCCTACACAACACAAAACACTATTGCTGAATGTAGGTTTTATTTTATTTGTGTTTTTTTTACCTTATATTTTGGAAATGTACATCCAGGTTGTTTTTCCCTTTAAATTTTTTGGGGGCCCCCAAGAGAGTGAGGGCCCTAAGCTATAGCTTGTTTAGCTTATACATAAATCCACCACTGGGAATATATATCACCTTCCTTCTCTCAACCATAACAAAGATTTATTAGTGTACACAACCAATCCAATCTGCTGCTTTGATCAGGTGAGCTAAAATAGTTCTGCAGCAAAATCAAGCTGGGGGCAGTTGGATAACCCTACATATAAACAGTGAAACTGGCAAGCCTGAAGCTTCCTCCTCTTTTTTTTCATTGACAAACTGCCTCATAAAATGTCTGTTTTTAGAAGTTTGCTGCCACCTACAGACAAGTAGCCCAAGAGATCTGCATGACATCTGTTTTAAACAAGGATATCAGCAGCCTACAGACGCTGTTGCTCCATTGGTTTGAATGGCCTCTTTCCTTTTTAACCAACATTCTGCTTTGGGGAAAAAAGATAATGTGCGCTGCTGGCAGGTCCTTTTATAAATTAACACAAGGTAGCATTTTAGCTTCGGGTGGCAAAGAATAGCTCCCTAACTAGCAACTAGTTCAGGGGGGGTTCAATACGATGCCCTCCAGATGCTGCTGGACCACAACTCCCATCATCCCTGACTATTGGCCATGCTGTCTGGGGCTGATAGGAACTGGAGTCACAACTTCTGGAGGGCACCATGTTGACTACCTCTGCATTAGAAGGCAGAATTTGTAAAGTAGGAAGGGTCCCTGAGGGTCATTTAGTCCAACCCCCTACAATGCAGGAATCCTGCCCACAGACATCCCTTGGTGGGGGGGAAGAAGAAGAAGAAGAAGAAGAAGAAGAAGAGGAGGAGTTTGGACTTGATATCCCGCCTTTCACTCCCCTTAAGGAGTCTCAAAGTGGCTAACGTTCTCCTTTCCCTTCCTCCCCCACAACAAACACTCTGTGAGGTGAGTGGGGCTGAGAGACTTCAAAGAAGTGTTACTAGCCCAAGGTCACCCAGCAGCTGCATGTGGAGGAGCAGGGAAGTGAACCCGGTTCACCAGATTACGAGTCCACCACTCTTAACCACTACACCATGCTGGCTCGAACCACCAACCTTCTGGTTAACAGCCCATTGCACCACAGACTGAGAACTGTTAAATCCCGAATTCAAAGAGCACTTCAGCCATGACCTCCTTATCTATAACAGAGAGATAAATCATAACTACACAGGCAATAACCTTACAGAGTTATTGCAAATATAATTGAAATTAGCATTTGCACAGTGCTTGGAATACTTAGGGAAAGCGTACATGTTTCTGAGGGGTGACGGCGGCTATCTGTTATTTCTGGAACTTCTTTTTAAACCGACTTTTCCATATAATAAATAACAGCTTGTCAACTGCTTTTCTCTAGAATACCTCTTTAAAAGGTCAATAAAAATATCATTAACCTTTCTCCTAGAATATCATTAATAAATGTGGGTTTTATTCAATGGTTTCCCTCTGGTGACGAAAGGCTCTTAAATCCAGTGAAGCTCGTGTCAGCAGAACAGGAAGCCTATTTTGGGAAAATCAGTGTCTTCCTCTGAAACACATACACCCCCTACACACACACCTGATGTCCATGTTGTTCTGCCAAGAAACACTGTCTCCTATTTTCCTATGGCACCCACTTCCTGTCGCATACTGTGTCAGACCATTGGTCCATCTAGCTCAGAAATGACTAGCATTGACTCTCCAGGGTTTCAGAATAGGGTATCTGCCAGCCCTATCTGGAGATGCCAAGGATTGTACCCAATACCTCCTGTATGCAAAACAGATGTTCCACCACTCATACCTTGAAAGTGTCTCGGAATTAAACGGGACATCCCTTTTTTTATCATGAAAGCATGACAGCCATTTTGTTTGCTTTGATCTTGTGCAATTTCATGGCATGTTTTCCCTCCAAAGAAAGCACTTTCTTTGAGGCTGTGATCTTGCATGGTGCCCCCAAAACATGCGGTTTTGGGTGCCATGCCAAAAAAATAGCACTTTGGGGAATAGGGAAACAGTGGCACGAAATCACACGAGAGCATGGCAACCAAAATACCTCCCATGCTCTCATGATAAAAACAGGAAGATGGATATGTGATGGTCTTGTAGTAAGGTTAAAGCTTACTGGGAAATGATATATAATGAATTAAAAGGGATGTTCAAATAACATTTGTTTAAAAAAAATAACAACACCAGAAGCTTTTCTTTGGGGAATTCGAGGGACAGAACTTCCTAAATTGTATAGTTTCTTTATGTATGCTACTACAGCAGCAAGAATGCTACTCACCGAAAAATTGAAAGAAGCAGAAGTCCCAGCAAAGGAAGAATGGGTACAAAAACTTATAGAACATGCAGAAATGGCAAAACTCACTGGAAGAATAAGAAATCAAGATAGCAAACATTTTATTAAAGAATGGAAATGGTTTATTGAATATGTACAAATAAACTGAAAACAGATAAGGACATTGGCAGGATTATTGTAATAACCTGCAGTTTCATAAGAGTATATATTTAAAGTAAATAATTAAATTAGCAAATTAAATGAATTTGGATATGCAGAAGATATTATAAAATAAATTTAAGGAACCGCAGAAAGAGGGGGAAGGAAGTCAAGCTTTGAAATGTTAAAATGATTGTAAAATTAATGAAATGTATAAACCTGAAAAGTGGCTTCAAAGTGTTGGAAGCTATGCTTTCTCCAATAAGATACCACCAGGAAGATCAAGGGCTTGCTTCCTGTGATCATGGAGTGTGACTTTCTATTAGATTTCATGTAGTGTTGAGACGGGAATCGTTTGCATGAGGAACTCTTGGATGTTTCTATGTGTGCTTTGAATGAGCTCCAGAGGTGAGTGGTTATATAGTCTGCAGGTGGCATGCATTTGTGGTATACGGGGAATTCAAACCCCCATCCCAGCTACAGGATCGCTGTGGCATAGCAGTTGGAATCATGCTGGAAATATTACAGTGAGTTCACCTGTGTGAGGCTTCTGTGGCATCTTTGCTTCTGCCAGTTTCTGCAGTGCACATGTGGGGTTGAGTGATGTCATGGAGGTGTTGAACCATCACTGTGGGTGGATGGGATGTCACCAGAGCACTGCACCATTGTTGGGGAGTGTGGGCAATATTGCTATGGCTGCTGTGGGTCATCTGTGAGTGCTGCTGATTTTTTCCCCTTTTTTTCTATCAATTTTGCTGCTGAGAGGGCAGGTGATCGTGGTTACACTACACCACTGCTTTTTTCCTGAAGGTACACAGGGGTACACATACCCTTAAACATTTTGTGAATCTAAGTTTGGCCTCATTGAGGGGCAGTATTTCAATATGAGTAGGAAAATGAGAGTACCCCTAAACATTTTTTAGGGGGGGAAACCCACTGTACTACACCAATGTTATGCTGGCATAAAGGTAAAGGTACCCCTGCCCGTACGGGCCAGTCATGACCGACTCTGGGGTTGTGCACCCATCTCGCTTAAGAGGCCAGGGGCCAGCGCTGTCCGAAGACACTTCCGGGTCACGTGGCCAGCGTGACGAAGCTGCTCCGGCGAACCGGCACCAGCACAGCGCACGGAAACACCGTTTACCTTCCCGCTATAAAGCGGTACCTATTTATCTACTTGCACTTAGGGGTGCTTTCGAACTGCTAGGTGGGCAGGAGCTGGGACCGAAAGACGGGAGCTCACCCCACCGCGGGGATTCGAACCGCCGACCTTATGATCGGCAAGTCCTAGGCGCTGAGGTTTTACCCACAGCGCCACCCGCGTCCCTTATGCTGGCATAAGTCGCCATAAAACATTAGTGGACTACAAGATCAGGCTGCTCAGGGCTGAAACCCTAAAGGAAGGCTGAACTGAAAGAAGTGTGAGGTCAAATATAGTCCTGAACTTTTTGCTTGCAATGGTTTGGCGTTCTGTTGGCATTCACAGCTGCCTTCAGCCCTGGCTACTCTCTCCTGTTTTCCCCATCTCCTGACCTACAGCCAGTGCTCTTTAGGTGTTGGCCCAAAGATGGCACTAAATGCTTTATCTCAGAAATTAATACCAGCTGACACACCTTTCTGATTAACCTTAATGCATTGATCCCTGTTTCAGGAAATAAAACACTGAGGCCTGCTTGCAGGGTAATATAAAATGTGATATCTTTATTCATTTAGGGTCCTGGATTTAAAATTTCAGACATTTTAAATGGTCACCAAACACTGTAAAACAAGTCATATTGCATCAAATTAAGTACCAAAAGGGAAGAAGGTGGTTTGTATTTGCTGTGTTGTACAGGACAACACATTCACCACAAGAGGGAAGCAGAGATTCAAATTTACACTGCCACCCTTTCTCGTCTTCCCTTTTTCTTTCAGCTGCTGGATAAGCACCTCAAGGAGATTGTGATTTGCAGAACAGCCTGGGATCTTGCAATGCAGGGGATGGGCTCTCGCACCTCCAACGTTTCTCCGATGAAAATAGGGCCATCCTAAGGAAAAGCAGGCCAAAATCCAAAAGCAATGAGCTGTGAGAGCGGGAGTTGGCAGGTTCTGCAGTGATCACCTGTCCTAGGCAGGAAGCACTGGATGGGAAAGCTTGCATAGAGGAATCAAGAGCTGTTGGAGCAAGATGACAGGATGCATCTGCTGGAAGAGACAAATGCCAGCAAGGCCATAAGGCTGTGGACTTGGGAAACAGCCACACCACACTGGGGTGGAATCAACCCTCCAGCAACGTACAGAGAAAGGAAAGCTGGCAGATGAGAGGGCAAGAGAGCGCATGGACAGAGACTGAAAGAAGGGGAAGCCAAGAGAACAGACTCAAACTCCCAGAAGTGGGGAAACCTAGTGGAGGAGAACTGAAGCAGAAGACAGCTGGGCTTGTGCTGACAGTAACTACTGAAGAAAGGAGGGGAGGACAAGAAGATATCTGGACCAGAGAGGCACCACAGTCTCTCTGGAGGAAAGTAGCCCAGTTGTATGATATAGGCAATCATTTGACCTGGGGCTTCAGGTAAATCACCAAGCCATGACTTGGGGAGAAGGTTCTGTGCATGGCACGAATGGAGTGTGTCACGGTCCGGTTCACGGGCGATCGAAGTCCCAGCTGGGGACGTCAGGACCGGGGGCAAGATGACAGGGTGGGAGCAGGAACAGGAGTCCAGAAGCCAGGAGTCCGAAAGCCAAGAGTCCGAGGGTCAGAGAGCCAGGAGTCAAGAAGCCAAGGGTCCGAGGGTCAGGAAGCAAGGAGTCATGAAGTCAGGGGTCCGAGGATCAAGAAGCAAGGAGTCAAACACAGCAAGGCAAGAAACGTGTTGCTGTGGCAAAGAGCCAAAGAGAAAATGCTGACCTTAGATCTCTTCCTGGCTCTTGCCACCAGGTGCTGTGAGTTACCAATCAACCTCACCTGTGTGGCCGTGCCTTGCCTCTTCAGAACAAACTTAGGAAAGCCCCAGTCCTGCAGAGTCCTCTTGGTCACAGGGCCTGGCTCCTGCACACACACCTGACAGAGTGGGCCTGTAATTGTAAGCAAGAAACCAAGCAAGGGCATTTTATGCAATGTTCTAGATTGCAGTGGGCAGCATGTGGCCCTCCTGATGTTGCTAGACCCCAACTCCCATCATCCTTGACCACCGGTCATGCTGGCTGGGGCTAATGAGAGATGGATGTGCACTTCTGGGGGTGAAGTCAAACCGCTGCATTAGCAGCATTGAAGTGACCTCCCTGAGGCACAAGCCTGGGCAGTATTATGGAGGTCCTGGGCTGTCCAGACAAGAAGACCTCTCTCTCTTGGCCTTGCTGTGGTCCAAAGGAAAGCAGAACAATACATTTGGCACCAGCTTGGCTGCAGGAGTTGCCAGAAAGAAGCGTACAAGGCACCATCCAATCATCTTAGGGACTCCATTCCAGATATGTGTAGGGTCTACTCCTGAGCCTTTTCTTCTCCTGAAGATATCCTGCAAAGCAGTACAGGTTTAGGATTAGACTTTCCTTTCTCTTAGATGGGCTGCCTTCCCAGGTTGATGATTCCTATCTACCTGGATACACTGAATAATAGATAGACCTTGTGGTCAGTGGGCTTATGGTCTAAAATTGTGTTTATATGGTCATCCACATAGTTGTACACTGCATTAAAGAGGAAATGCCTCTGAATAGATTATTATTTTTCTGTGTTCAGCATTTACCAGTGCTCTGAGGATTTAAGTTGTAAGGTCAAGATGATTGTGGAGGGTTTGTTTTAAAAGCTGATGTTCAGAGATTTTCAAATGACAGGAATTAATAGAATGCTTGATTTTATGGCCAAGGATATCCTAATTTATCCACCTTATTTGTCACTTTCTTTTTTCAGCATGGAATACTTCTGGATGCGGACAGATCACCTGAGGACTGCTTCTCCAAATGTCAGGAAAGCAATTCCTTGACTTGAGTACTGAAACATAAATATTGCTGCAATCATTTGAAGGACCATAGACATGCCTGATTTTAGAGGATCTGTAGGCAAGGTCCGCTAACAAAATAATGTGCCCACAATGTGGTTTATGTGTTGCTTAACACTTGCTTACACAATCAAAACTCAGGGGCTGTTGTTTCAGGGCTGTTGGTCTATGATGGTATGCCATCTGCTCAGATCAAGTATATTGTGTCTTTTCAAAAACTATTCCTGTTTCTCTTTGCACTCAGCCCCAGAATGATATGCGACTAATTGCAGGAAAAAGTGAAAACTTAGGAGGAAAGTATATCAAAAGGTCCAGGTTTCAGTACAGCGGTACCTTGGTTCTCAAACTTAATCTGTGCCGGGAATCTGTTCAACTCCCGAAACCATTCAAAACCAAGGTGCGGCTTCTGATTGGCTGCAGGAGCTTCCTGCACTCAAGCAGAAGCTGTGTTGGACGTTCAGCTTCTGAAAAACATTCACAAACCAGAACACTTCCTTCCAGGTTTGTGGTGTTTGGGAGCCAATTTATTCAACAACTAAGCCATTCGAGAACCAAGGTACCACTGTACTTAAGTGTTGGAGTCATATCTACAAAGAAGAGCACATCAGCACCAACAAATACCGTAGTTCCCTCACGGGCATTCACTTTAATATCAGTATGGGTTTGATGACAGTTGCTGTTCAGGACATGCCAACACACCTTTTACAATACCTATCTACAGTCTCCAGGGAAACCCCTTGGGAATCAATGTGCTGCAAATAGTACTATTTTAAGAAAAAACCTTGCCATGTGGGAGTGTGAAATAAAAATCTGCAAATTGGGCATTGCTGTTGTCACATATGGCTACAGTTGTTTACAATCTTGTGCACTTCTCTAGGGGTTCATGGTGATCTCTCTTGTATGCTTGCATTTTTAATACTGTTCCAGTGTTACATAAGGAAAATATGAGAGTATTTTTTTAAAACAACCAGCACCACCAACACAAATAAATGTTTTAGTGCATTTATTAGGGAGGAAACCAAGGAAACTCCACTAATACATTTTGAGGAACATCCTAATTGATGAATTAATCCAGTGCATGCCCCATGTCATTCTAGCATATTGCTAGACACAACCAGTGCTTTTTTTCTTTAAAAAAATGTTTAGGGGTACAGTACTCTCATTTTCCTACTCACATTGAAATACTGCCCCTCAATGAGGCCAAACTTAAGATTCACAAAATGTTTAGGGGCATGCAGACCCGTGTCCCCCCAGAAAAAAGCACGGGACACAACACTTAACTGAAATCATGGAAGTGAGGCTCAGATCAAAGCGTCTAGTCTACATGTATGCGGACTACACACTGGTGAGAGAAAGGCACTCTAGTTGTGCTCAGAAACACTCTCCTTTCCAACCACCGGATGTGGGCAGGAGGAAGAGAGAGTAGCAGCTAATGCATGATGCTGGGGGCATAAGGGCTCTGATGCTGACAGCAAAGATTAACTCCAGATTGTGGGGAGGAGGAGGAGCGGAGAGATGGAGGGGATAAAGGCCAGTTATCTTCTCAGGTTGTGGAGCCAGGGTCTTCTTCCAGAGGCCATTCCTCTTACCAGGGAGGTTGGCAAGTTGAGGCAATGATGTGACTGCGCAGAGGGCAAGTCCCAGGCCTTCCCCAGTGGCTGCTTGGGAAGAGGGCGGAGGGCTTGACGACTCAGCCCCTTAATAATGCCACCTCGGCGCTCTTGGGACTCTTTTCCATGTCAGTAAAGGAGCCAAGCGATTGTGAAGCCCGGCTGGGGAGGAAAAGTGAGGCTCCTGCGGGTCTCCGCCTTCCACGAGGCAGTCTGTGCTCGGGTGCTAAGCCACCACCAGGCTCTGCGCTCCGGGAAGTGGAAAGGCTCGTATTTCCCTCGGCGCTGAAAAGAAAGAGGAGCTCCTCCCCGAGAGGCGGAGGCGGCGGCATGGCCGGGCAGCCCCACGACAGACCCCAGGACTGCCTTTGCTGCTGCTGCTGCTGCCGCCGCCCCCTCCTCGCCGCCAGAGCTCCTTCTCCGGCCCGGGCGCTGCCGCTATTGTGGCGGGCCTGCTGCCTTGACAGAGGCCGCGGCGGCGGCGGTGGGATCCCCGCTCGCCAGCGCCGGGGCGGGCGCCTGAGCGCGGGAGGCGGGCGCTGAGGCGGGGCCGGGGCGAGCGCAACAAGGAGGAGGAAGGGGGCGGCGGCTCCGGAGCCAGCGCGCCTGCCCGACCGGCGGCGAGAGCGACGGGGACGGAGGAGCTCGGGCGAGGAGGAGGAGGAGGCGGGTCTCCGGGCCGGGGCGGCCGGGCCCCATGGGCGGGTGTGTGGGCTCCCACCACGACTCCTCGGGCAGCCTCAACGAGAACTCGGACGGCACCGGAGGTGAGAGGAGGAGGCGGCGGCGGCGGCGGCGCCAAGGGGCTGGGGCTTCGCTCGGCCGAGGCGGGGAAGGGGAGCGCGCAGAGGCGGCAGCTGCTGCTCCTCCACAATGGGGAGAGAAGCCGGGAGGGGCCCACACGCCCTCCCGCGGCTTCTCTGTCGACATCCCTCGCCTTCCTCGCTCTCTCTCTTCCCCCCACCCCCCAAGAGGGAGCGCCTCGCTTCCCCCTTCGCCCCTTCCCAGCGGAAGGGGGGGTCTTCTTTTCAACTTTCCTCAACTAAAAAGGGTCTCCAGGCGCTCGCCTAGAGGTATTTCTGGGCCCGGGGGGGCAGGGGCTGGGCGTGAGGGGCAGGGCCCTGACCTGCAGGGGGCGAGGCGGACAAGGTGGGATAGCTCCCCACCCCACCCCTTTCCCCTCTCGTTGTCCAGGTATGGAAAAGAATTGTTTCCCATCTGTACTCCAGTTGCCAGTCTCCGCCACCCACACTTGAGGCACCCACACCTTGAGAAAGGCAACTTAACAATCCTCTTTCTCTTCTGAATACTTTTAACTATTTTGAGCTTCGTTATTATTATTATTGTTGTTGTTATTATTATTGAAAGTATATTGTTTGTTTTTATGGTACATCCTGCCATTGGTGGTGTGTATTGAGAAGTTTAAAGGTGGCTTATAGAAGTCTCTTCATAAATTATGTGGGCCACCGCCTCCCTTCTCTTGACTTTGCTTATTCAAATGTACATGATGAGAAAGTGGCTTTCTTCTTGTCAGTATGGCTTTTCTTGAACCTCCCTTCCACATACTTAGCAGATAAACATATACTGTGCCAAAGGATGGAATTCTTACTGGAAACAATCATCTTCCTTAAAGTGGACTGAACTCAAAAGTTGTAGGTTTGTGTAATTCATATCTGCCTGTTATTCAGCTTTGCAAAGATTTATATGTTGATCAAACTGGTGGTGGTGGTGAAAATGATGATGATGATGGAGTTTTCTCTCTGAAATGGTTCTCCTACTCTGTTACCTTAAGATCACTTACCTGCCACTTTAGGATTTTGTACCCAGTTTTCTTCTAGTTAAATGTTGATACATCTCCCCCAGTTTAAATAACTTTAAATACTATCTACCAATTTTTCTTAACTGCACATGTATTTAAAAGGGCAAATCATGTGGCAACACCAAATTTCCATTCTCCTTTAACAGATGGTTATTTCAGTCACCATATCAGTACAGTATTGCTCTCTATAGCATATTCTTGCTTACGGATTTGAGTTAATATCTTGGGACTTTGTGTTGTTAGATGCATTTTTAAATGCCAGAGTGTTACGGTTCACAAACCTACTTTATATTACAATTGACATTCAGGGGTAATGTTTGTATGGGACAAATTTATGAATTGTCAGGGTTGCACGGCATTTAGCAATAGAATTCCCATTAGAGGAGATTGGATTTCGGTTCCTACACCCTCAACAACTTGTAAAAATTGAAAAGACCTGCTTAATAAGTTATCACAACCAAGGACAATGGGGGATAATGTAAAATTAACTAGGCTTAAAGTGGAAGCTGCGATGTAGCTGAAACCATGAACTGGACCTAGATAATTCACTATGCCTATGTAATGTCACCCATTATTAAGAAACTACCACACCGGCTAAGTATTATGAGGCAATGCAAGGTCATAGAAGATACACCTGTAAACCATGAACTTCCTGGCTTTTTTATGTTATCCTTCTGATCATCAAAGTAGGGTTTTTTTCCAACACAGGGAAATTTATAAGATAAACGATTCAGTGGAATTGTGGCTGCTTCTTATCAAGATTTCCCTATTAAGGTTTTGTGAATATCTTACATACACATTATACATTGCTGTATTTTGGTGCAAAGAGCCTAATATCCGTGTTACAACAGCTGGATTTTCTAGGATGCCCATCTGTTCAAATCATATACTAGAGTGCAAGCTTGAGGATCAAAGGATAAATACATTTAAAGCTATTTCACTAAAATGAGATCTAGTATGATTCCACTTCAATTATGTGGCATCCAGGCATGATTCTTAAATGCATGAAAGTTTCTGCAATGTCTATGTGTACGCATGTGCGTAACCTACGTAAGGTTTTCTTTCCTAAAAATAAAATATATGATTGAGCCATTCTATTAAAAATTAATGTACCGTAATCTACCAATCAAGATGTCAAAGTACACCTTTCTCTTGTTCTCAAAAGGTAAAACCTTTCTTAAATATGTGATTGTGGTAAGTGTACAATCTGACTAAAAGTCTCTCAAGGGAAACTCTGTTTTGAAGTTTCAAGTGGGTTGCTGAGAACACTAGAGCACAAGTTTTGGAACAGCCTTACTGAGTTTGAGGCTAGGCTTGCTAGCCCACTAGGTCACTCCTGTCTCTAATTTCACTTGCAGTGCTAGGTCACAGAATATCAATTTACAGGCTCCTGCAAATTATTACGATGAGATCTTGTGCAGTAGGAAAACATTTTAGAGGCAAATCTCAAACCAGAAGCAGATATAGCTTGTGAAATTACACAGAGTCCAGAGGTAATAAGAAGTTATTACTGTTCATAAGTCACCACTGATCAATGAAGTTCCTGTAATAATCCCTTTCTCTCTTATTACTTCCATCAAATATGCAATATCCTGCAGACTTTGAAAGACATTAAAATTTGCTGGATGTTGTAATGCATATGTTAAGTACATGGGTGTGCATGTGATATAAAATGTCAGGATATATCTTTTCAACCACTTTGGTATAATTTTGATCTCTCTTTGCAGTTTTCCGTGATAGACATCAGTGCAATTAGACTTCTATAATGGGGGGGGGGGGACCTGTGCCTTCCAGATGTTGGCAGACTCCCTTCTCTCATCAGCCTAAACCACTATGGTCAGTGTTCAGTGATGATGGGGGCTATAGGAAAGACACAGGTCCCCGCTTAGCTGCTTTATGGGGAAATAATTTGTCCAATATAAATGAGATATGGTATTGAGGCCCAAAAAAATGTATTGGGTGGCTATTTATTTATTTTTTCATTTATGAGTAGCTTCTTAGGAATCATTTTTGTTTTCAAGGGGTTTTCTAGCTTCGTCTGCATGAGGAGGAGCCTCAACTGAAGGTAGTCTGCTGGGTAGCTGTTTCGTTAGCAAGCAGTCTGTGTTTGAGATTATTATTTATTAAATTTCTACATCACTCCTCATCTGAGGGTTTCAGGGTAGTTTGCAACATAAAAACACAAAAATACATAAATTTACGTCCCATCCTAATAAAGCTGATATATACCGTATTCTTCGCTCTATAAGATGCACCGGACCATAGGACGCACCGGACCATAGGAGGAGGAGAACGGGGGGGGGATTCTCCCCCTCTCTGCTCAGCGCCCCTTCAGCAAAGCGGCAGGAGAAACGGAGCCCCTTCCATTTCTCCTCCCACTTTGCTGAAGGGGCGCTGCGCAGAGAGGGAAAACTGTGCAGAGCCTCTCCAGCAAAGCTAAGCCTGGAGAGCAAGAGGGATCGGTGTGCACCGACCCCTCCCGCTCTCCAGGCTTCAGGCGGCTATCTGCAAGCCTTCTGATCGCAGCGAGAACTCCTGCTGCTCTCCGAAGGCTTGCGGATAGCTGCCCGAAACCCCCGGAGCGCAGCACGGACTGCCGCTGTGCTCAGGGGGTTTCAGGCAGCCTTGCCTCCGCTCCCGGAGCTTGCGGGGCTGGGGGCGGGGGAAGCCCGAGCTTCTCCCATCCCAAGCCACCAGTACAGGTCCCGGAGCGGCGGCAAGGTTGCGCGAAACGTTGTCTCCGCTCTCAGAACTTGCGGGGCTGGGGGTGGGGGAAGCCCAAGCTTCCCCCGTCCCCAGCCCCCAGAACAGGTCGGGGAGCGGCGGTCCCCTCTCCTTCATGGGGAAAAGCCCGCAAGATCCACGCTTTTCCTGCCTGCCTCCCCCCTGCATTCGCTCCATAGGATGCACAGACTTTTCCCCTTAGTTTTTAAGAGGGAAAAGTGTGTCCTATGGAGCGAAAAATACGGTACATGCGATCAGATCACTAGGCTGCATCAGATCAAACTGACTGCTATGACATTTTGAAGTTCTCTCAGCTTTACTGAACTAGGGTTGCCATATATTGAAGAGCAAAAAAGAGGGGAGCCCAAGCCACTGCTAGCCTGAGCTGGGAAAAGAGGCGTGGGGGGCTACCACACTAGCACGCCTCTTTCCCCTGCTCAGGCCGGCAGTGGCTGCGGCATGCAGAGCAGCCTGAGCCACTGCCAGCCCAAGCAGAGGCAGGACCCCAGCTCCTACCTGATGTTCGCTGCAATGGCCTCGCTTTGTTGTGGCGCTTCCTCTTCTGCAGCACAGTGCCGTACTGAGCATGCACGTACCCCCCAACCCCCCCAAAAATCTCCCAAACCCGAACATTTCCTTTAAAATGTAAAAACCTGCCCAGATGGGCATGTTGGCCCCCTAAAAAACGGACATGTTCTGGTTTTCCTGGACAAATGGCAACCCTGACTGAACATCATTTGGACTAATCTTGTGCTGCAGTGGTTTAGATTATTTCATTTGTGTGCCTAATTCAGAATCAGTTCAGTTTAGTCCCACATTGATTAAATATATTCTCTCTACTGAAGTGGGCAGTTACAGGCTTTGCAGCTTAATTTTTCCCGTTGGAGTTTTTGTTGATAAACTCTTTATTATTCAACTCACTCTTTTAAGGATATATCTCATTAGAAATTGTGAGTGTTTGTTTTCTTTTTTCAAAGTTCAGCAAGACCTTCTGTTGCTTGTACAGAACAAAGAGAAGAGATCCATATTTGAAATACGGGCCTTGTAAGCCATTACAGATTTAAACCTGTGGTCTGCAGCTGTCTGCTGCTGTTTTTTCTGACACATGCCTTGCCTGTTCATGGTATGAAGCTCGCTAACAGTTCAGCTTCATTGATTTGTTACCATCCTGTCTTCTGAAGTATCCTAAGATGACCAGTGGCTACCAGTAAGAATCACATAATTGCACACACTGGTGACATGATAAAAAAAACCACTACGTGTAAAGCCTTAACTGTAGTGCCAAATATAGCCCTTGGACTGTACTTTCGCAAACTGTTGAAAAGAAAATCCTTACATTAATTCAGAGTAGAAGTAGGCTACTTATTCAGTAGTACTGACCATGTTTGAAATGTCTGATGAGTTGGAAAGCCAAGTTTGCATTTAAAGACTGCTTTCATTTTCTGTCTCTTCTCTCTGTATCAAATCTGTGATTGTCTTGCTGCTATCTGTCATTGGAAGTCTATCAATTTTCTGAAAATCAGGATAGATAAGTCCTAGGGTGATGATTCCACCCCCAATACTTTTTTCCAAACTGATTGTGTGGTTGCTTGCTCTTCCATACAAACTTGAAGCCTTGGTGGTTTTGTCTCCTGCTAAAAAAGAAGAGTGAAATCAGTCTTGTTTCTAACCTTGCTCTGTGTGGTATATAAATAACAGTTGTGTGTGTGTCAATGTATTAAACTTCTATAATGCCAATTCTACTGTTTCGAGGGTGGCATTAGAATGCTTGTGAGTTCTGAATTTTTGACATGACCAGTTTTAGCTCATTGCTTGTGGTTCTTCCTATCGAAGAAAGAAGCCAAATTATTTGTTTAATGAAAGTCTCATGTATTAGATTTTCTAATACATTTGTGAGGAGCTTCTGGACCTCTGCTAATAAGAATTTGAGATTGTGATGGGGGTTCGTGCTCCCTCCTGCAGAAACTGGGGTGAATAGAAAGGGGGATTGCCACAGCAGCAATTCTTGTGAAGAACTCTGCCTCCACTGTGCTGTATTCTGATGCCCCATTCTCTTTCATTTATCATAGTAGTTGCCCCTCGCCTATTCCCAGTAGGTTTCTTGGGCCATTTCATAGTTAAGGTAGAGGCCCACCCTTGAAATAATGGATTGAGGGAAATGCTGAAACTGCATATGATGAACTAATCTTCCCCCCGCCGCCAATGTGGAAGAGATACAAAATGTATACTTTTTTTTTACCATTTTGTTAGGGGGGGAGGACTAGTCCTACAAACGTGACAAGCAAAGCTAAGCCTGGATTAAGTTCCTTTTCTAGAGTGGACTAGCAAGAGCATGAGGGAGTGGGGAGTGGGAAATCAGTGCAGTATCAACACATTGTTAGAAATGCACTATAAATATCAGAAATGCATTATTATTATTATTTGCTGCCCATCAGACTGAGTTGCCCCAGCCACTCTTTGAAATTCTTTTGAGATTTTATTAAGATGTACTCGTGTATAAATAGAGCTAAAGCAATTTGGAACTGTGCAGGCAAACTCTCTCAACTTGAATTTAGCTTCGGGAATTGTAATGAGCAAGATTATACATGGAGTAATGGAAGTCTGACAATCATATTCCCAAGGCCTCTAAAGTTGCATTCTAAGGCTTTGGGAGTGGACTGTGCCCTTAGTGATGATGCGGTTGTGTAGCAAGGGGTTTAATACGATGTATACATGAATGAGCAGTGTGCTAATCTAAGCGGAGAAGAGTGGGTGATCACTGCCCCATTGCCTGACTGAATGCTGCTCAGTTGCACTAGAAATCCTTAACAAAATATGTTGCAACTGGATAGTGTCTAAATAACTTCATTTCTCCTAAGTTTCCATTTACAATTAGCATTGCCCATCTTTTGAATGGCCTTCTACATGTATGTATCAGAACAGCAGTTGTGCATTATTTATTGTAATAGAAACTTTCCACAGTTTAACATTACATGGCAGTGTTATTTTAACTACTGGGTGCTAATTGTCCGATAACATGGTTTCTGCTCATTCTCTCAAACTGCTCTTTTCATGAACTATTATTCATTATTTCGGTAAATGTAGGCCATGCATTTATACTATTGCAAGGAAACTTAACTGGTTAAAAAGTACTATTTCTCTGTAGTTGGCGGACTTCACCCCAGCAAGGTTTCCAGCAACTCCCGTAGATTCTGTCTTCATTTTCTCTTTAGAACAAGAGAAGCAAATGGGCTTTAAAGCTCTGGTGGGGGTTTCCATTCACTGTTGTGCAGATATAATGCTGTCATTGTGATCTAAAGTTTTAAAGTGATTATAAAAGCAGTGCCATTGCTTAAAACTGTTCTGTTCTTGAACTGGACCTTTAGAGGATGTGTATGTGTGTTTGTAATATCTATGAAAGACTGTAGCTCAGTAGGAGAGCATCTCCAGGTAGGGCTTGAAGTATTTCCTTTTCTGAAACCCTGGGAAAACCAGTGTAGACCAATGGTCTGGCTTAGTGTAAGTCGGCCTTCCATATGTCTAATAGCGATATTCTTGCCTCAGAACTGGGAAGCTATCTGCCATCAGCCAGGGCCCATTAGGAGGTCCTTCCCAGGAACAACATGGCAAAGGGGAGATTAAAGTGGCCCCATACCTTGGCCAGAAAAGGAGCTGCTTCAGGGAGCTTTATTCCAACCTCCCTGCCAAAAAGAAAACTCTACAGTACTTCAGCAGCAAGTTGTTACGAGACCACAGAACTGAAGGAAGGTATGTTCTGGCCATATACATTGACTGGGGGACCATGGGCTACTCAGTTGTGCAGGTTTGGGGGTGGGGTATTATTACAACCATAAGCTACCCTGAAGATCATTCATTTGTAGGGGGGGTAGTATATCAGAGAAATTACTGTAGCATTGACAGAGCAATCCTATGCATGCTTACTCAGAAGTAGAACACACTGTGTTCAACGGGCCTTAGTCCCATTGGTTGGTGTACATTAGTTTGTTCTGAAACTCAATAAAATACCGTATTTTTCCATGTATAAGACAACCTTTTTCTGATTTTTTTTGTGATAAATTGAAGGTCATCTTATACATGGGTTAATATGCTAAGTAAGCGAGGGCTGGTGCTGTGGTGGTAGCAGGAAAATGTCGGAGAGGAGGCTGCTTACCCAGTCTTCCCGCCTTAGGAAGAGTATTTGGTGAGTGCCAGTAAGCGGTGTATTACGGCACCAGTTGTCTCAGCCAGAGTGGGGGATGCTCAAAAAGCTGCTCAACAGCTCAGCAAACTTACAAAAGAAGCTCAGCAATTGTTGAGGGCTCCCAAAAATAGGGGTCGTCTTATGCACGGGGTCATTTATCTACGGTAATATTCAAACAAAAGCAAACACAAAAATATACAGAATGAAACCATATTGTGTTGGTGGTGCTGTGCATTTGTTTGTAGCCCAAGACTGTTACGGAATCACTGTTGTTTCTTAGAAATAAACTGAAAGTGTTTCTGACCCAAGATCAGTGTAACTGTTCTAGCAAAATAGGTAGTTGACCTCTTACAGAAAAGTAAAACATTTCAAGAGCTGTGTATGTATTTGCAGTGAAGAAATATTGTGCTGTTGAATAAGCAGAAGTAAGTCCTTTGAAACAATGGGTGGATAGTTTGGAAATGTTTTCTAAGGAGTGAGGTGAAAATATTTTGATTTAATAGACATAAGTTATTGACAGTTAAGATTTCATCTTCTTTCTTAGAGCTCGGTGTTTTGAATGTAGTGTGTCTTATATGGAGGTCATGAGTTTCCAGCTTGATGCTAACTATTTTGCATCTTACTGGTACAGTACAAAACTATGAACAGTCGAGACCAACATTTTCCAAAGTCTAGATTATGACTCCACTTGGTTTGATTAGTAAGGTTGCAGGTGCACAATTTGTAAGATTAAAAAGGTTTGTCATTCTATAAAGTTCAGCTTTAGGTACCAGCAGCCTTCATATTTACCCCACTTTTTAAGTGAAAGGTTTTTCAGTAATTTATCACATGAAGCAAGCAAGAATGTTAGAATAAGTTTTAAATGTTAAATTTTAACTGATGCTTACATACTTCTTGGTGCTTTTTGAGTGGTAGCTAACATTCACATTATTCATAATTTACAGGAGCTAATGGTTTTAGTTCACTCTGTTATAACCACAGACTTGTTCCGTAAATTAATTTCAACCATAAATTACTATAAATGTAGCATGTGACTACCATAGAGAAATTGAGGATTCTCTGCAGTTAATTATGAATTGTGAACAAGCATTTTATTTTATTTTAGGTGGTGGAACAGTAAAATAATTACACGTTGTCTCTTCCTATGATTACTGCCGTTTGTTGTAAATTTCAAAACTTTAAAGTTGCCAACATTAAAAAATGCATGTTTTAACTTTGAACGTTATACAGTTTTGGGTGGTTTACTCAACCTAGGTTTACTCAGAGTAGACCATGCACATTAATTTAATGGGTCTATTCTGAGTTAAGCAACTTGTACTTCCATGGTAGTATTATGCAAAAAGCACAGTGTTTTATTATTTCACTGTATTGTCATGAACTTGGTGGAGTTTTCAAGGAATGTGGTGGTCTCTCTCCAATTTTCTAGCATGTACCCTGAGATAGCTAGAATGGAATGAATTGCACTGCCTTTGGAACTTACTTTTCCTGTATGGATTCCCACCACAGTCTTCTTTGCCCCATTTTCTTGAAATCAGTTATTCTGCTGCCGGGCAGAACCACCAGTCTGCTGAGAATGTCTAGTTATCTGCTTTAAAATGTCAATAACTACAGTGAGTATGTTTGCACAACTGAACACCTCTGGATTTTAATCTCCCCTCCCCACCCGCAATTGTATTTGACTCTTTTAGAGTTTCAGTTTGAATGCATTTTCCTCATTTCTTCTGATAAAGGTTGGTGATCTATACAGGCTTGAGTATATCTTTCTTACAACAATGAACGTGGGCTATGAATGTGAAAGCTGCATCTTGCATTTTATGTTTCTGTCAGCTTCCTTGGCTTTGCTTATAATTTTTTGTTTCTAAATTTTTACAGGTAAGGCAGAATATATACCTAAAGAACAGGGATCCCTCAGTATTCTAAATAATTTAGTAGGATAGCTATTCAGTCTCCTGCAATACAGGAAATTCTGAAGGTGGCAACATTATTAGTTATTCCTTTTGGGATCATGTGTGCGTTTATTTCTTTACTTCTGCTACTGGATTCAGTAGCGCTTTGTGGTTGTGGTAACCACCTAAATTTGCAACATGAGCTGCTAGCTGTCAATAACATCCCAGCCATACGGAACATACATTATATCTGCAACCTGACATTTCTGACTGGTTTTTGAGATGTGCTAAATTTTACCTTGCTGGATTCTGTAGGCAGACAGCTCTCCATATGGTCACAGTAACGACATGGCATTTATAGGCAACTATCTAGTGTGGGGACGCGGGTGGCGCTGTGGGTAAAACCTCAGCGCCTAGGACTTGCCAATCGCATGGTCGGCGGTTTGAATCCCCGCGGCAGGGTGCACTCCTGTCGTTCGGTCCCAGCTCCTGCCCACCTAGCAGTTCGAAAGCACCCCTAAGTGCAAGTAGATAAATAGGTACCGCTTTATAGCGGGAAGGTAAACGGCGTTTCCGTGTGCTGCGCTGGTGCCGGCTCGCCAGAGCAGCTTCGTCACGCTGGCCACATGACCCAGAAGTGTCTCCGGACAGCGTTGGCCCTCGGCCTCTTAAGTGAGATGGGCGCACAACCCTAGAGTCTGGCAAGACTGGCCCGTACGGGCAGGGGTACCTTTACCTTTACCTTATATAGTGTGCAAGTAACCGCCTGAATACTGAGGTATGCCCTGCAGAATTACACATTAAAAATATTAAAATAGCAAAACACTTTCCTCACTGTGACAGTTAAACTTTATAACAGTCATTTTTGCTGAAATGGTGTTGTGAGGTCTCTTAGAGTTAATTCAACATACTTCGAAACATCTGTGATTTGCTGTAATATGACCAAAAAAACCCCTGACTAGTATTCTTGTTAATTGTATTAACCTGAACATGGCCTTTTAGGGGTGTAGTTGGATGCACAATAGAGATTTTGCAGAGGTTACAAATTGCCTGTTAAATGAATGCAACAACACAAGAAAATTATTTGTAGATGAGCAAACGAAATTTTTTGAAACACATTTTGAAACTGTGACAAAGTAATGTCTTCATTTGGTGATATAGCAAGAAGAAAAATGCAGGAAACCATGTAAAGAATGTACCATTTTGAACATATTATAACTTCTGCACTCAAAACACAATCTGCAATATGATTTGCATTTGCATTGCCAGGATTATTGTTTTATTACTAAAAAAAAAACTTAAAAGACACAACATCCATTTGTTTACACAAAATAAGACCCATTCTTATTCCTCCCTTGTGTGGTTACCATTTGTTTAGCATAGACATTTTGTTGGCCAATTACAATCATGTTGCTCCCCCTATGCTGCCCTGGGAGAAATTTAAAAGTGGCTTCTTAACGTGAACCAGGAAATGGCCTGTCTAGGCAATGAGATGATTCTCATTGATATTTTCTGGTCTACCTTGTTCTCAAATTATTGGATTTCTTTCTACATTATGGATTTCCTGTAGCTTAAAATGTAGAATGGAAAGTAGTTTATCAAATATACATGAGGAAAACATAAGATGACAGTTTTTTTAAAAAATGGACTTCCTTTCATTGAGAGGTAGTCTTGCCAGAGGTTAAAACATTGGCATCTTATGTAGGTAACATGGAACTGTGCCACAGTACAGTCATACCTCGTGTTGTGTCCGCTTCATGTTGCGTCTTTTCACGTTACGTCCCACAGCAACCCAGAAGTACCAGAATGGGTTACTTCCGGCTTTTGCCGCTCGCACATGTGCAGAAGTGCTAAATCGCACTTCGCGCATGCACAGAAGTGCCAAATCGTGCCTACGCAGTGCTACGAGTTGCGGGCATTTCACGTTATGGGCGGGCCTCTGGAACAGATCCCATCCATATCACAAGGTACCACTGTATCTTAATATGCCCTAGTACATTTTTCATTACCTCTTGGATCTACCTTTAGTAACAGATAGTCTTCAGTGCATTGAGGTTTGCTGACATTTGTTTATACACAGCTCTCTTAACTCTCTTATACACAGCATTTCAGCTGGGTTGAGGTCTGGATTTTGACTAGGCCATTGCGACACCTTGGTTCTGTTCTTTTTCAGCCATTCTGTTGTAGATTTACTGGCATGCTTAGGATCCTTGTCCAGTTACATGACCCAGTTTCAGCCAAGCTTCAGCTGTTGGGCAGATGACCACACATTTGGCTATAGAATACTTTGGTATACAGAGGAGTTCATGGTCGACTCAATGACTGCCAGGTTCCCAGGTCCTGTGGCTGTAAAACAAGCCCAAATTATTACCCTTCCACCACCATGCTTGACAGTTGGTATGAGGTGCTTGTGCTTATATGCTGTGATTGATTTTTGCTAAACGTGGCACTGCGAATTATGGCCAAACATCTCCACTTTGGTCTCATCTGTCCAAAGGACATTGTTCTGGAAGTCTTGTGGTTTGTTCAGATGCAACTTTGCAAACCAAAGCCATGCTGCCATGTTCTTTGGCAAACATTCCAAACCATACTTGCTCAGTCTTTTGATAATTATACTGTTATGAACTTTAACATTTAACAAGCTAACTGAGGCCTGTAGGTCCTGAGATGGAACTCTTGGGTTTTTTGCAGTTTCTGTGAGCGTCGCTTGGTCTGGCTTCGGGGTGAATTTGCTGGGGACGTCCACTCCTGAGAAGATTGCCAACTATCTTGAATGTTTCCCACTTTTGAATAATCTTTCTCACTGTAGAATGATGGACTTAAAATTGGTTGGAGATGGCCTTAGAATCTTTCCCAATTTCATGGACAGCAGCACCTGCTTCTCTAAGAGCATTGTGTCATCTTTCCCCCTTGGCATTGTGTTAAAGCACACCTGAATGCTCCAGACCACAAACTGAAAAAACTTAGGCTTTTATAGAGGTGGGCACACTTGGTGATGATCACTTAACCAAGGGCATTTGATTAACAGCCCCTGTCTGCTACTTAGCCTCTTGATTCCTATGGAAGCGGTAAGGGCGTACTTAGTTTTTCACACATGATTTCTGCACCTTGGCTTTATTTCTGTATACCCAGAACAAACTCAGTTGGTCTCTAAGGTCCTACTGGACAATTTTCTTATTTTTTTATTTATTTTGACTACGTCAGACCAACACGACTACATACCTGAATTTAAAATTGACTGTAATTCTTCTACTTCATTGTTCAGTACATTCCAAATATTAAACCTTTACTATGTTGGTCAGTTGCCCCCAGTGTGCTCTAAATGGAAAATTTTATAGACTGTAAAAAGCCCAATAGAAGTAGGGAAACTTTACAGCACCATCAAATGTATTTGATGTGTAATGCAATCAACTCGGGTATAGTACAGTGGTACCTCTGCTTATGGACGCGATCCGTTCCGGGGTGCCGTTCGCACCCCGAAAAGTCCATAAGTAAAGCGCCACTTCTGCATGATGCAATAGAGTGCTTTTGCGCATGCGCAAAGCGTGCAGAGCGCTTCTGCTCGTGCGGCAAAACTCAGAAGTATACACTTCCGGGTTTGCCGCATTCGTAACCCGAAAATCCGCAACCTGAACCTAACACAACTAGAGGTATGACTGTATCTGGAAGCAAGTCTGTCTCCCTCTGACAACAAAGCACCTTCAAGCTACAGAGTGAACGCAGACAGCTGCCCTAGCAGTAGAATCACTAATGCATTGTTGAAGGAGCAGGAAAGGTATACCAAAATGTGACAGTGTGTGGAAACACTAAAGTTGAACTTCATGTAACTCCAGCTGTGTGTCTAATTTTGATGCGCTCTTCTCTTTGAACACATGAGGTTATTGCTGAAGTGTTTTAATTAATAGTGGGTTTATATCTTTTTTTAAAGTGAGCTATATGATTGATTAACAAAGATTAACAGTTACCGTAGTTAACTTAATTGTCTCTCTTTGTTAATGAATATTTTAGAAATCATACGATTTGGGGTTGGAAGAGATCTTATCAATCCAGTCCAACCTTCTGCTCTGAAGCAAGACAGTGATTATATTATCTCTGCATGGAATTGGTCAGAGCTTGGGGAGCTGCAAGATCCACTTTAATACTCTTGAGGTCAGCTTTCCTTCCTCCCAATAACTGCAGGCTAAAGTAATTCCTGCCCAGAGCTGTTGAAAGGGCATCCATGAAAAATGGAAATGTTTTACTGTCTTAAGAGTTAGTATGGTAGTATCTATTTTTTAAGAAGAACAATAAGAAGCCTAAAGACCTTTGGTCCTGGTATATTGATCAAGTGAAATAAAGGATTAAGTTCCACATATTTTAACAGTATTCAGTAATTTTAAATTTTCTAACCCCAGTATGTAGAAGGCAATTATACATTCCCTACTGCATACATCAAGATTTGTGTGAGGATGCTTGTCTCCTTTCCTGGAGCAGTGGCATAAGAAACATGATCTCTTCTAATGAGGCACAAATGGGAGGGAAGGCCTAATTTTACTGAAGTCTAAGGTAAGGCTTTGGGTGAATAAAATATGTTTGGACTTGTACTATATGTGGATGTGAGAAGAGGTTCAATGTTATGAAAATATGTGCATTCTGATTTTCTGTAAACAAAGTATTCTGAGGCTGTTTATGGGATGCCTAGATCTGTACCTACGATGCATCTCAGCAAGACATATTGTGACTATGTCCATGGTCATAGACTAAAGCAAAACACATTTCAGTAGAATATTTAGAATTTCAGCCTAATTCAGAATGATTGCTGTTGAACTCCCACAACAAAGAAAGGGGGTCATTACCTTCTACTGTTTTATTTTTATTTCATAAAATTCATATACTGCTTATCTGTAATTAGAACCTCCAAGTGGTTTACAAAGAATGTAAGATACACATTCAAATGGTCAGTAAATGCAAACTTTTTTAAAAAAGTGAAATTAATTAAATCAGGAGTTAAACATTTAACAAAGCTAAAACACTTCTTTTCCACAAGTTGATCAATTCGTAAGTATCCTAGTTTGCTATTTCAAGTGACAAGCTCCATGGCAGTATTGTTTCTACTATCGTAACTCTGTTCTGCTTGATCACATGAGGGCTAAATTTGTATAGGGAGCTAAGTGTGTATTCACCAATCCCAACATGTTGTGGTTACTAGATACCCCAACACCACTTCTGACTGTCATGTGTTCAGCACAAAAATCTGAAGTGGGCTTCTAACCATATTCAGCGGAATGCAGTTAAAAGTCTCTACAATACTAGGAACCTTGCAGTATTGCTCAGAGGCTTCTGAATATGCCTGGCATGTAGGGGACAGTGTGGGTGGGGGCCAGTATGCATGTAACCTGCTTACAGAGCATATTTGGTACTTGCATTATCATGCTGAATAGGGCTAAAGTTTCTCCTTAATAATATGCTCGTTACTTAGCAACAAAATATGGAAGTAGTGCCTTCAGGATAGGGATAACCGAGAATGAAGCACAAATTTGCACCAGTTATTTCCGAAGACATAGCCCAAGGAAGGAAGGCTGCACAGATGCTCTTTTACTGCACAGTGACACTGCTGAACTTTATGTAAGGTGTAATAACTGAATGAAAATTCACTACAACTGCAGTAACAGCAGCACTGTATATGCAGAGAAGTTCCGCACATGTGGCAAACATTTGTGTAGACATTCACACCACAGATGTTATTTTAAAAGTTAGCAAGTAGTCTTGCTGGCGAGCCACTCTGACCGAGAAGGAAGGGTGTTGTCAGAGAAGTGGCACGCATGTTAAGCCATTACAGTGGTACCTCAGGTTAAGTACTTAATTCGTTCCGGAGGTCCATTCTTAACCTGAAACTGTTCTTAACCTGAAGCACCACTTTAGCTAATGGGGCCTCCTGCTGCTTCCGCGCTGCCGGAGCACGATTTCTGTTCTCATCCTGAAGCAAAGTTCTTAACCTGAAGCACTATTTCTGGGTTAGCGGAGTCTGTAACCTGAAGCGTATGTAACCTGAAGCGTATGTAACCCAAGGTACCACTGTACTCCCCTTCTTCAACCTCCCTCCCCCTTAGCTGAAATAGGGCTGGCCCAAGACACTTCATTGCTTAATAACATCCCATGTACCAAAGCTGCCCAGACCAGCAGTTGAATCTCAGCTATGAGATAGCAGATTGTCTTCAGGTGCAGTGAAGGATGCTATCTTAGGCGTTGCAGGACAGGTCACACATACACTCCACACACACACTCAGAATTTGCCACCTGAAGTGCCTGTCTCATGTCAGGGCAAGCCGTGACTAGGAAGTCGTGTGAGAAGCAGGGAGATGAGTGTGCAAATAAGCATATGCTCCCCCTCAGTAGTGCTGAGCGTGGAAGTCAGGGGTTGACAACTTGGGAGCCAGAATGGTACCCCTCGGTCAGATTTAGTTCAGGGATTTATCAGTTCCCTGCTTTAGTTTACTGCAATGAATGCACAATGATAGGATATCATTTTATGCCTGATAAAGCTTTTGACTAGCTTTTACAAACTATGCAACTACAGAGATATTTTTTTTCTTGCAATGCAAATTCAGTTGGAAGCTTGAATTGTTTGGATCAACTTCTGCCATTCCAGATGTCTCTTACATACCATGAATTTCTTTGGCCGTCTTCCTATGTATTCTTTTTCCATCAAGGGTTTAACAGAGTAACATTGATGCAAAGATGTGTTGTTGTTACATTTAATTGCCACTGCCAGCATCTATTGAGTAACCTATTGGCATTTACAGTATTTGTGTCAGTGATGGGGTCTTGAAATTTGGCAATGTAAAGTTATCATTAATCAAACTGACTGCCTTGTAAAAAGAGCTGAGGTTGTTTCCCATCTCCACTGAAAATTGAAGTGTTTGTGATATTCTTAGATATTTTTAAATATCATCCCAGTCTACTGAAATTGATAGTTACTTTCCTAAAGAAAGTTTTGTAAATTTAATTTACATTTGTTTACATTTTCTGTGAGATACCTTATGAGCTGTAGTTCTATTTGCAGAAAAGATGAGGCATTCAAAATTCTGGTTTGTTAATATTTTACTAACTTTAAAACATTTACTACTTTGATTAAAGGAGTGTGTCCATTCTCCCCATTCAAATGATTTCATCACTAACCGATTGCTAAGTACTGCTTTGACTGGGCAGAGTAATTAATGCTTAATATTGGCAGCAGTCAAATCTGAGCTTACACATGATATTGTTGGATTCCCCCCCCCTAATCTTTTGACTAGAGTCCTAGAATAATTGTGTTTTTTTATTAGGCTGCTTAGAGGATTAAATAGATGCCACTAAATTCTGTGGACTTTTTAAAACAAAAACAAAAAACACCTCATCATACTGTCATACTGTCAGTGCATTCTCCGATGATAGCTTCTATGGTGACAGAATAATCTGTATTTCCCTGTCACAGAATAATCCAATATTTCCCAGTTATTTGGGCCATACCTTTTTTTAATAGGGAAAATATTTTATCCAACTTGCATGCAGTTCTTTTGTAGTACTCTCTGAAGTGGCAGAAATCATGTGGTGAGGCTTTAAAAAGTAACACTAGAGCTCTTGAAGGCACACATAAGAGCATTCCATGGTCCTTCTGAAGTGCATTTTCAAAAAACTTGATTTTACTCCCCTTTCATTATATAAACCACCAATGTTGTAAACTGCTCAATAGAGCAAAATATGATTTTTAAGAAGTAGTAATATCAGCAGTCTCCTTCAGTGCTGAAGAGGCCTAGGACTCAAATTTCAAAGCTGTCTCTTTCAGCAAAATGACTAGGCAACATGGTAAATGATATTCATGTATTTATGCAAGTTATTTTTTCTGCTGTTTATGTAAAAAAATGATTAATGTTCAGAATCAAGCACAGGCTGTTCCTGTACTTATCCTCCAGTTAAAAGGGGGTACTGTGTGCTTGGTACCATTGTTTCTGTATCTCAGATCTTGAGAGGTGCTGAAGATTTAATGGTGACATAATGAGTGACCTCTGTCATATTCCTTGATGGGCATCAGCATTTAGCACTTTGTTCTAGTTTAAGAAAAATATAACATTTAGATCATATGTAAAATATAGAAATTAAAATTGACCTTCCCGTGCTTAAAACCAGCCATTAATAAAGATCAAATACAAAAAACCCAAACTACAACCAGCCATTAAAATTTGACCAAACATTTTATTTGATTGTTCTTTGAAAGCATTTAATTAATGAAAAAAACTAATTTTTTTCTTACCCCTCTTTCAAAGCAGTCAAATTAACCTGACTTGAGCAACAGCAAGTAATTAAACCATGCCCCAACATTTCCCTGCTAAGAAAGTTTTATCCCGATTTCTCTCATTTCCTTAATGTACCAGTAGTTCTTGTCATCACATTACGAGGCAGTAATGATGCATAAATGTGAGTGTAAAGTAGTATGGCCTTCTGAGATGGATTAATTAAAGTTTCCGGCACTAATTATAATAACTACTGCTTTTTATTGTTTAAACCTTATTAAACTCTGCAATCCCTTCAGAAAAACAAGGCTCAGAGAGTAAATTGTGTATGCTGAAAACCTAAGCATACCCTCTTTGAAATTTATCCCCTTCTGCTAGCCTGCCAGTGAGGTTATCATATCTGCCAAGTCTGGGAAGATAAATCTTGGCTTGACTGTCTAAACTGATGTTCATTCTGTACCTAATAATAACACTTTTCCTCTTGTTCAAGACTGTACAACTGTACAGTGATTTTTTAATATATATTTTAGGTTCAGCTACAAAAAAATTGTTGCACCTACCTATTGAAGTGTTGTGTGTTTTCCCCTGGTTCATATGGCAGATGGATTATCAAAACATGTTACAGAATTTTTTTTTATCATAGCAGTGCAGAATATGGTCTTTAAAGGATATATTTCATATCAAAATACCATATCTCACATAATCTGAGTAGTCAATTGTATGCAAAATCCCATGACATGTTGAGGAGGAAAACATTTTTAATGCAAAAGAAGTGTCCTGTCTCACAAAATGTTACCTGTGATCATTATTTTTGCCCTCAGCTATTTTTTCCAGTTTCTGCAACCCACTTTTCAGACTTTTCTGTCCATTGTAATAATAATTGGAATGAAGCTGTCTACAAGAGTTCTAGTGTAGTTTTTGTTATGTGAATGGTGCCACGGACCCCCTGAGTGGGTCACACAGACCCCCTGGAGTTCATGGATCACCAATTAGGAACCACTGATCTCGAGCATTAAGGCATTTTCCAAGTCTGTTTTTCCATGTGGATGTGGATATGTGTTTGTCCTGGAAGACACTTTATCCTTGCAAATTGTTTTAAAGGTTTTCAGTAAAGTTTGTAGTAAAAAATGAGAGAATGTAAAGGAAATAATGCACAGCTTGATGGTCACAGCTTTCAGTTTGGTTCTGGGCCCAATACAGAGTGCTAATAGTTATCTTTTAAAGCCCTAAATGGCTTTGGAACAGGATACCTGAAGCGTATATATACTAGCCTAGGCCTTAAGATCTTCATTGAGCGGCATTCTCCCAGATACTGGGAATTGATGTACTTTAACTGTGTGTTGAATGCACTTTAAATGTATGGTGTGGATCTGCCCAAGTGACTGATGTTCGTGAAATTTTGCCCTACAGGAGTGGATACTTCTCCTTTATGGTAGGTCTTCAGTTGCCCTTGTTTTAGTGATAATTCTGTGCTACAGCAAGTCTTTTACTGTAGCCCATTGACCTAAGAATGGCAAATTTTGCCTTTTAAATTACCGTGCCAAGGTGAATGGGGGTGGGATGGGAATGATTTGAGAATTGAACCTCCAGCTGTTTGTAGTTGAGTGTGAGAGAAGCAGCCTGACATTTGAGGAGCCCAGAGAATGTTATCCTCTCATTATACATTCAGTATGCAGTCTTTTTGCAACTGCAGGTGGCCAGCATGGTTGCAGGCATGCAGAGTTCCTGTACTGATCTTCCAGTGACAGAGGTGTTTTAAGAAATTACAGTGACATGATTCTAACCAAAATTGAAACACTATGTTGTACGTCACTAGAATTTTTAAAAATGGAGTGAGTTGAAAGTTATGTGAAGTATTCTGTTGGCAGTTTAACTGAACATGAAATAAAATCCTGTGGAAGTACCGTATTTTTCGCACCATAGGACGCACTGGACAATAGGACGCACTTTGTTTTAGAGGGGGGAGCACAAGAAAAAAAAAAATCTCCCCCTCTCTGCCCAGCGCCCCTTCAGTGAAGCGGCAGGAGGCGCTGCACAGAGAGGGGGAGAACTTCCCCCCTCTTGTTTTCCCGCTCTAAAACAAGGTGCCGTTTAAGGTGCGTTCAGGCGGCTACCTTGGAAGCCTGGAGAGCGAGAGGGGTCAGTGTGCACTGACCCCTCTCGCTCTCCAGGCTTCAGGTTCCTTTCAGCCTGCTCTTTGGGGCTGGCGGGGGGAAGCCCACCACCAGCCCCAAAGAGCAGGTCAGGGAGCAGCGGAAAGGCGCAGCGGAGAGGCTCCTGCCATAGCCGCGCGTCACCTCTCCAGCCGGGAGAGCGCGCGCGGGGCTAAAGAAGCCCCCCGCGACCCTCTCCCAGCTGGAGAGGTGACGCCCGGCTCTAGAGGCTCCTGCCATAGCCGTGCGTCACCTCTCCAGCCGGGAGAGGGTCGCGGGGCTATGGCTTCTTTAGCCCCGCGCGCGCTCTCCCGGCTGGGGAGGTGATGCAAGGCTATAGAGGCTCCTGCCATAGCCGCACATCACCTCTCCAGCTGGGAGCGGGTTGCGGGGTGCTTCTTTAGCCCCGCGTGCGCTCTCCTGGCTGGAGAGGTGACGCGCGGCTGTAGAGGCTCCTGCCATAGCCGCGCGTCACCTCTCCAGCCGGGAGAGCGCGCGCGGGGCTAAAGCAGCCCCCCGCGAGTGCTCTCCCGGCTGGAGAGGTGACACGGGGCTGTAGAGGTTCCTGCCATAGCCACGCGTCACCTCTCCAGCTGGGAGAGGGTCGCGGGGCTATGGCGTCTTCGCTCTATAGGACGCACACACATTTCCCCTTCATTTTTGAAGGGGAAAAAGTGCGTCCTATAGAGCGAAAAATACGGTAGTAGCTTTTGAAATAAGGCAAAACAGTGATAGTGCTTCGCTGATAGGAGCAGCTATAAACTTAATCATTGCTAGTGAGTTTGTCAGCTAACATTTCCGCTTCAAGCTTATGCCAATCTTCTAATTAAGTGATGAGCTCAAATAGCTGAAGAGAGCTATTAATGGCATTTAGTTAATTGGCTAATGTGATCCTACCAATAAATGTCACAGTGGGACAAACTGTTAATGTACTGTTAACTAAAACCAGTAGATCTTAGCTGAGCTGGGAAGTAGCTTGTAGATCATCCCTTCTAGAGAAAGGAATAATACTTAAGAGTCAAGGATTGAGAGATCATTATGTGATTCTACTAGCTGAGAAGATTTGTGTCTCAGTTGTGGCTGCTGGGCACTCAATTCAGCTCCAATTTAGGCTTAATGGTGGTAGGCTTACAATGGATTTTCACCAGGCTTCCTGCCAGCATTGTGTGTTTGCCCAACAAACCTGGATAGAACGGTTGCATCTCATATCTTCCAAACTAGTAATCTAATGATAATGATAATAATTTATTATTTCTACCCCGCCTATCTGGCTGGGTTTCCCCCGCCACTCTGGGCAGCTTTCAACAGAACATTAAAAACAGAATAAAACTTCAAACATTAAAAACTTCCCTAAACAGGGCTTCCTTCAGTTACTCTTATTGATACGATAATAAAACGTGCTCTCAATCCCAATCCCAATACCACTTCTAGTGTACACCAGCAGAATTCCCATTTTAGACTTCAGTGGTACCTCGGGTTACATACGCTTCAGGTTACAGACTCCGCTAACCCAGAAATAGTACCTCGAGTTAAGAACTTTGCTTCAGGATAAGAACAGAAATTGTGCCGCCGCGGCAGCGAGAGGCCCCATTAGCTAAAGTAATGCTTCAGGTTCAGAACAGTTTCAGGTTAAGAACAGACCTCCGGAACGAATTAAGTACTTAACCCAAGGTACCACTGTATATGAAAGGAATTGGAGATTTGTTGTGACTCATGGTGAACAGGCAAAATCCCCTTTATTCTTAAAGTGCTTCAGCTGTTGTGTTAGATGACCTGAACTCTAAGCAATCTAATCCTTAGTCATTTGTCTATTACACACGTTTGTTGCAGAGATTGTACTTTTGATGTTCTACCTTACACTTAACACAGTCCAAAACAATATATTCTCTCATTCACTATATTGAAGGAAGAGAGCATAATCAAGCTGTAAATAGAAGAGGACCTATGACAAAAATTAGTATCCTGACAGCATGCAGGGTAAGCTTCTCAGCAGGATAGATACCTGGGGAGAAGAAAAAAGGTGTTGAGAAACAGCAAGAATGTTGGAATTGCCTGTAAGCCATTTCAATAATTAATGTTTGGGGGAAGCAAAAAATAAATAAATCAAATCATTTGGTATACGTTTACATTCATTGTGTTTGTGTTCAAAGATGAGGCTAGCTGTTACTAAACCCAAATGTTTACTGAAGTTGCTGTTTAGAATCCGATGACATACTAGTGGGATTCAAAATGTTCCATTTAATTGTTCTTTAAAGTGTATGAAGGTGGGGATGTGATGCAGGGAGGGAGTTTGAAAAGCTTTCATACACTTGTCCATAATAGTTTGGAGTCTGCCAGATTTGCACTCAACCTATAAATTTCCTCTAAATTCAGTGTGTGACTACAGTTCTTGTATATTTGAGGCCTTCCAACAAGCTGGTTGTTTTGTGAACAGTTACATCTACTGTTCTGGATTTTATAGATGGTCAGCACAAAAGGCAACTTGTTCTAGTTGCATAAAACATAAAGAAGCAGCAGATTTGCATGGTCAAGTATTTAAAGAAAAGACTATTATTACCCTACAGTCCTACCAGCATACACAACTAACCCGCTTTTAAACATCATAATCGGTTGTAGCTTATTTTGAGATACAGTAATTGGCCCTAGGTCAGACAATAAGTGTTTTATGACAGAGCAAGGATTTAAACCTGGGTCTCCGACCCACGTCCAACACTTTAGTCACTACACCAAAACATATAAGGCACACAAAATATGAATGGGATCAACCTGACTTTTCAGATGATTCATTACTTGCATTTTCTGGCAGCATTCTCAACCTTAGATAGTTCACCTTAATTTTCCTTTGCTTTGAGGCCATTATTCTGTTAAATATTTTAATGAATTCACAGCCTGCTGAGCACTATACCATATTGAATTGGTAAACATAAAACGTATCTTATTGGATGAATGAAGTTAAACTATATAATCTGCTAGCTGTAAGATAGGGGTGTCTGTTACTCTTTTCAAAAAGAGATAATTGACGTTTGTGCAACTCCTGTGGGGAGACACATTCGTCTTCTAGAATATATCCTGTTGGATTTCCAGTAGCCGCTTAAATGCAGCCAATGTGACTTGTTTATACAGTACCAGTGTTGGAAGAGTTTCCATTTTTATTTATTTCCCCCCATTTATGCTGTTGTTTCTAGCTCTTGCTACTCAGAAACACAAAGTACCGTATTTTTTGCACCATAACACTCACTTTTTTCCTCCTAGAAAGTAAGGGGAAATGTCTGTGCGTGTTATGGAGGGAATGCCTACGGGTGGCGGGGGGGGGATCTGCTGCAGTCGTGAGCAGAGGATCCACGGTTCCCCTTCCTTCCCTCCTCCATGGCTCACTTTGAAACAGCAAAGCGAGAGAAGTGCCGCTGAGTGGGGAGGAGAGAGGGACAGAGAGCCTGCTTCTTTAAAGGAGCAAAGCGGGAGAGGAGAGGAGCCGCTTACACAAGTGTAAGCGGCTCCTGTCCGGTTGGCTCCTTTAAAGCAAGCAGGCTCTCTGTCCCTCTCTCCTCCCCACTCAGCTTGCTAAATAGCAGCAAAGTTTTTCAGCTCGCTAAGCCGGGGATGAGCGGGGAGGAGGGAGAAAAGCAGAGCCTGCTTGCTTTAAAGGAGCAAAGCGGGAGAGGAGAGGAGCCTTCTCCCCTTATACTCCTCTTCTTCATTATTAGCAGCATCCTTCTCCACCCACCCCACGCGTGCTCCTTCTCCCCTTAAACCCCTCTTCTGCATTATTAGCAGCATCCTTCTCCACACACCCCACGTGTGCTCCTTGTCCCTTGAGTGCTTTTCCTTCCCTCCCCACTTAAAACGTGGTTACAAAGCACGGATCCACATGGATCCTCAGGATTTTTGCACTGGGTCACCCCAAATTCACCATCAGATCACATAGCATGTCCATGGCTACATCTTGCACCAAAAAAATAACTACATGCGTGTTATGGTCAGGTGCGTGTTATAGAGCGAAAAATACGGTATTTTTTTGTGAGACGTATTCTTCGAAGATTCCTACAGCTCACTTGAGTGCAAGTTTCATTTTAGATATTCTTTGGAGAATTTGCCATTTGTTGCAAAAAGAGTTAGATAATTGTTGCTTAGTTTTCCTAGCTTCAATAATCAACTAAACCAACTGAACATTGAAATCTGGTAACTTGCTCAACACTGAAGAACTACTGGCAACTTGTATATTTCTGTTTGCACAAACATGATCAGCAAAAGATTAGGCAAATATTTGTCTCCTCTTTCAGTCACGTCTGGTGAATAAGAGCCATCTTATCCTCAAACATTCAAAATTATGAAATGGCCACTATAATATTGACAAGTATTTTTGCATTTTATTCACTATCCTGCTTGTAGTAACTGCTTGAGTGTTCTATGCAGCAAAAGTGTAAAATGTGAAGGGAATGTGTTTGGTGATGAGAACACAGCAAGGAAATATTTGTATGTGTTCCTGGTGTGAAGCACTACATGTTTAGGAATGTGCATCTACCCTTCACATTCATATATGTTTCAGAGATCACCAGTTTAAAAGGCCGAAAGCATACAGCAATGGGAGACAGGCTCCAGTGGAAATCCACTCCTTATATAAAAATCTTGCATTTAATGATGAACAATTCAGCGTATTTTGATCATATCTCGTAACTCAGAAATGGAAGAGTGAAATGTATTTTTGCCTTTTGTGACGAGATGCTCTTACTTAATAGTTGGCTCTTGGGGCAATGGCATTCTGAAACTTTTTTTGTTACAAATGATTAATCAGACTGTAACAGATGCCACAAAAAGTGAAGAAACCCAAAAACACTGTGGAAGATCAGAATGGAGTACTGTTGAAAAGGCATTTGAGCTGGGGAGGAGATAACCAAAAGTTGTTACTCAGTTTGAACAGCTCTCAACCAGAGAAAAGGAGCAAGTTGTTTCAACACAGTGCCTGATTTCTTCTCTTCTCCCCCACCCCCAGTTGCACTAGGTCGTAATCAGCCCTTGAAAAAGGAAAAACCAAAATGGAAAAGTGATTATCCGATGACAGATGGACAACTGCGCAGCAAAAGAGACGAATTTTGGGACACCGCACCTGCTTTTGAAGGCCGCAAGGAAATCTGGGATGCCTTGAAGGCTGCAGCACATGCATTTGAGAACAATGATCATGAACTTGCACAGGCAATCATTGATGGTGCAAACATAACATTACCTCATGGTAAGTATGCCCATAATGGATGGACTTTAGCAGCAGTGAGTAGAAAATAATTTCGCTTAGACAACTTTCCTGAAGTCATGCTTTCCAAATGACTAGGTCCACATGTAAATGAATATAATGACTGCTTTTTGATGTTAATTATTTAGAAAAGTTTAGCATTATGACAAAGGAGCCTCAGTAACCTTCAAGTTTACACATTCCCTCACCTTCTGATAGAACCATGAGGAACAGATTGTGAGTTTCATCTTTAGAGTTGTGTATGTTTCCTCTCTGACATCATCAGCCAGGGTTAAAATTGTGAGTACAATATACACCACAGCTCCACAAATGCACAAAGTGATTAGTATCAAATAACAATTTGTGTTCTACTACTCCATTGTCATACAGTCGTACCTTGGAAGTCGAACGGAATCCGTTCCAAAAGTCCATTCGACTTCCAAAACGTTTGGAAACCAAAGCGCGGCTTTGGATTGGCTGCAGGAAGCTCCTGCAACCAATCAGAAGCTGCGGAAGTCCCATCGGAAGTTTGGCTTCCAAAAATAGTTCACAAAGCGGAACAGTCACTTCTGGGTTTGCAGCATTCGGGAGCCAAACATTCCAGAACTTGTTTGTTGTTTAGTTGTTTAGTCGTGTCCGACGCTTCGTGACCCCCTGGACCAGAGCACGCCAGGCACTCCTGTCTTCCACTGCCTCCCGCAGTTTGGTCAAACTCATGTTTGTGGCTTCAAGAACACTGTCCAACCATCTCGTCCTCTGTCGTCCCCTTCTCCTTGTGCCCTCCATCTTTCCCAACATCAGGGTCTTTTCCAGGGAGTCTTCTCTTCTCATGAGGTGGCCAAAGTATTGGAGCCTCAGCTTCATGATCTGTCCTTCCAGTGAGCACTCAGGGCTGATTTCCTTAAGAATGGAGAGGTTTGATCTTCTTGCAGTCCATGGGACTCTCAAGAGTCTCCTCCAGCACCATAATTCAAAAGCATCAACTCTTCGGTGATCAGCCTTCTTTATGGTCCAGCTCTCACTTCCATACATCACTACTGGGAAAACCATAGCTTTTACTATACGGACCTTTGTTGGCAAGGTGATGTCTCTACTTTTTAAGATGCTGTCTAGGTTTGCCATCGCCTTTCTCCCAAGGAGCAGGCGTCTTTTAATTTCGTGACTGCTGTCACCATCTGCAGTGATCATGGAGCCCAAGAAAGTAAAATCTCTCACTGCCTCCATTTCTTCCCCTTCTATTTGCCAGGAGGTGATGGGCCCAGTGGCCATGATCTTCGTTTTTTGATGTTGAGCTTCAGACCATATTTTGCGCTCTCCTCTTTCACCCTCATTAAAAGGTTCTTTAATTCCTCCTCACTTTCTGCCATCAAGGTTGTATCATCTGCATATCTGAGGTTGTTGATATTTCTTCCAGCGATCTTAATTCATCCAGCCCAGCCTTTCGCATGATGAATTCTGCATATAAGTTAAATAACCAGGGAGACAATATACAGCCTTGCCGTACTCCTTTCCCAATTTTGAACCAATCAATTGTTCCATATCCAGTTCTAGCTGTAGCTTCTTGTCCCACATAGAGATTTCTCAGGAGACAGATGAGGTGATCAGGCACTCCCATTTCTTTAAGAACTTGCCATAGTTTGCTGTGGTCGACACAGTCAAAGGCTTTTGCATAGTCAATGAAGCAGAAGTAGATGTCTTTCTGGAACTCTCTAGCTTTCTCCATAATCCAGCGCATGTTTGCAATTTGGTCTCTGGTTCCTCTGCCCCTTCGAAATCCAGCTTGCACTTCTAGGAGTTCTCGGTCCACATACTGCTTAAGCCTGCCTTGTAGAATTTTAAGCATAACCTTGCTAGCGTGTGAAATGAGTGCAATTGTGTGGTAGTTAGAGCATTCATTGACACTGCCCTTCTTGGGGATTGGGATGTAGACTGATCTTCTCCAATCCTCTGGCCACTGCTGAGTTTTCCAAATTTGCTGGCATATTGAGTGTAGCACCTTAACAGCATCATCTTTTAAAATTTTAAATAGTTCAGCTGGAATATCATCACTTCCACTGGCCTTGTTATTAGCAGTGCTTTCTAAGGCCCATTTGACTTCACTCTCCAGGATGTCTGGCTCAAGGTCAGCAACCACACTACCTGGGGTATACGAGACATCCATTTCTTTCTGGTATAGTTCCTCTGTGTATTCTTGCCACCTCTTCTTGATGTCTTCTGCTTCTGTTAGGTCCTTTCCACTTTTGTCTTTTATTATGGTAATCTTTGTACGAAATGTTCCTTTCATATCTCCAATTTTCTTGAACAGATCTCTGGTTTTTCCCATTCTATTGTTTTCCTCTATTTCTTTGCATTGCTCGTTTAAGAAGGCCTTCTTGTCTCTCCTTTCTATTCTTTGGAAATCTGCATTCAATTTCCTGTATCTTTCACTATCTCCCTCGCATTTTGCTTGCCTTCTCTCCCCCGCTATTTGTAAGGCCTCGTTGGAAAGCCACTTTGCTTTCTTGCATTTCCTTTTCATTGGGATGGTTTTAGTTGCTGCCTCCTGTATAATGTTACGAGCCTCCATCCATAGTTCTTCAGGCACTCTGTCCACCAAATCTAAATCCTTAAACCTGTTCCTCACTTCCACTGTGTATTCATAAGGGATTGTATCTTACCGGCCCAGTGGTTTTTCCTACTTTCTTCAGTTTAAGCTTGAATTTTGCTATAAGAAGCTGATGATCTGAGCCACAGTCAGCTCCAGGTCTTGTTTTTGCTGACTGTATAGAGCTTCTCCATCTTTGGCTGCAGAGAATATAATCAATCTGATTTCGATGCTGCCCATCTGGTGATGTCCATGTGTAGAGTCGTCTCTTGTGTTGTTGGAAAAGAGTGTTTGTGATGACCAGCTTGTTCTCTTGGCAGAACTCTATTAGCCTTTGCCCTGCTTCGTTTTGAACTCCAAGGCCAAACTTGCCAGTTGTTCCTTTTATCTCTTGACTCCCTACTTTAGCATTCCAATCCCCTATAATGAGAAGAACATCCTTCTTTGGTGTCATTTCTATAAGGTGTTGTAAGTCTTCATAGAATTGCTCAATTTCAGTTTCTTCAGCACCAGTGGTTGGTGCATAAACTTGGATTACTGTGATGTTAAAAGGTCTGCCTTGGATTCGTATCGAGATCATTCTATCATTTTTGAGATTGCATCCCAGTACAGCTTTCGCCACTCTTTTGTTGACTATGAGGGCCACTCCACTTCTTTTACAGGATTCTTACCCACAGTAGTAGATATGATGGTCATCCGAACTGAATTCGCCCATTCCCGTCCATTTTAGTTCACTGATGCCCAGGATGTCAATATTTATTCTTGCCATCTCATTTTTGACCACATCCAACTTACCCAGGTTCATGGTTCTTACATTCCAGGTTCCTATGCAATATTTTTCTTTACAGCATTGGACTTTCCTTTCGCTTCCAGGCATATCCGCAACTGAGCATCCTTTTGGCTTTGGCCCAGCCGCTTCATCAGCTCTGAATCTACTTTTACTTGTCCTCCGCTCTTCCTCAGTAGCATGTTGGACGCCTTCCGACCTGAGGGGCTCATCTTCCAGCGTCATAACTTTCATATGCCTGTTGTCTTTGTCCATGGAGTTTTCTTGGCAGGGATACTGGAGTGGCTTGCCGGTTCCTGCTCCAGGTGGATCACGTTTGGTCAAAACTCTCCACTATGACCTGTCCATCTTGGGTGGCCCTGCACGGCATAGCTCATAGCTTCTCTGAGTTATTCAAGCCCCTTCGCCACGGCAAGGCAGTGATCCATGAAGGGGATTCCAGAACTAGACTGTTCAAAAACCAAGGTACGACTGTACTCAGTTCGAGAGACAGTACCTCTTTTCTTTGAAGCAAAAGAAAGACCTGGGAAAGACTGGCATGACACATCTCTAGAAATCCTTTCTGGGGACAGTAGAAGTTCCTGGTAACCCTCTAAAAGCAGTCATTTAAGCAATTGTTCCTTTTTTGCTTGTAACTGTTGGATTGTTACCAACCTTTATGCTGTAAGGAGAAATGGGCATGTGTGTTTTTTGTTCTGCTCCTCTAAAGAGCAGGGTTTGGTTCACATTCTTCCTGTATCATCTCCTTCCTTTGCCATCTCTTGTAATTATTTGAAACCATCGGTAATATGAACATCTATACTCCACTTTCTGAAAAGCCCGCTTTTATAACCTTTTTCTAGGCAGCCTCTTAGCATAACCCTTTTTCTGATCTTCACCAGCAAAGTACTGTTAACACACTGAGGATGAATAGTTGCTTAGTTAGGTCTCAACTGTCCTCTTTCACTTCTGCTTTCTCTGTTCTTTGCCTCATACCTCAGCAGATTTTTCCCTACTGAAAGATAACTTCCAACTAACAGTTAACCATTTATTATGGACCAGAACCACCAGGAAATCAGAATCTGTTGTTTCCCAGACCCAATCAAGATGGATTTACCTTCTCCTGGCCTTGTCTGTAAAAATTAGAAGCGCTTGTGTCTCCCTCTAGCTCCCTCCCTCAGAACCTGTTACTCAGCAGCTACAGTCAAACCTTGGTTCCCGAACGCCTCCGATTAGGAACGTTTCTGCTCCCAAACACTGAAAACCCAGAAGTAATTGCTCTGGTTTTTGGTCGTTTTTCGGAAGCCGAACGGGCTTCCAGAACAGATTACAACCGAGGTTTGACTGTACCTTGAAATATGCCTGCAACAGAATAGAAGCACGAGACCTGAGACTTGTGACATTTACACTGTGGCATCAACAGTTCTGACATCACATAAATTGTTTTCAAAGCACAAACCATGAGTGGGCATATACATAGCATTTCTGCACACCCATATATCTTAATAAAGTCAACATTATAGTTTAAGATAAGATTTATATGTGTGTATTCTAGCAGCTTTTCATCCTACAAGGAATGAACTGCTCGGGGACTTGGTTTGAGGTAAAAGGAATTAAGAGCTGGTGGGAAGTATCTAAAGCAGGGGTGGGAAACCATTTTTGGACTGATGGCTACGTTACCCAGTGGAAAGCTGTTGGGTCTGCATTCCAGATGGGTGGGGCCAACCCCAAATTAGCCTGGGCATGACAGTTCACAGTCACACATCCTTAATTTACACACACACACACACACACACACACACACAGGCCCTTAACACAGATGCTCTGTCTATTTCTCCACCCTCCAGTCCTGTGCACAGAGAAAGCGACTCCTGTTTCTCAGTGCACAGAGAGGAAATGCTGCAAGCTGCTCTTGCTGGATAGCAGCTCCTAGCAGCTTCTCTCTGTACACACTTTTCTCCATGCAAAAAGACGAATCCTTTAGAGAGCCCCTGGAGCATCTCCTCTCTTTGTTGATGCACAGCTGTTTTCTGAACAGTGGAACAGTGGGAGGGGGAGCTTTTAAACAAGATAGTGCTCAGTTGTTCAGGAAAGAGCTGAGCAGTGACAAAGAAGGAGTCACTTAGTTGGGCTCCTGTTGCGTTTGCTGAGGGGTGGGACTTCAGGGAGGGGCCTGGGTGAGCTGGAGCTGGCTCATGGGCTAGAGGGTCTCCAGTGCTTGACTTAAAGGGATCCACAGCTAGGATCACATAAAATAAAATATATTTGTTATGGATGCTCTGGCCAGTGTCACCATCCAGTGAAGCAAGGAATACTGGGTCAGCTACAGCATCTCTGTCCAAGCAAAACCACTTGCAAAGTAAGTTCAGCTTGGCCTCAACTGGATATATATGCCACTTTACATCTTGCATAAACACAAGAGACCTGCTGGGTCCGGTCAATGGCCAGACTAGGCTTATTCAAGCAGTGTTTCATATTAACAAGTAGTTATTGCTCCTGCTTAAAGAAGAATCTTTCCTTCAGTTCTTTCCTCGCTTTTAACTCCTTTATGAGGATGAACAGTGGATAATTTTTCCTGTGGACCAATATAGCTTTTAAAGAATTTTATGGTGCCCTGGATACAAGATGACATGGCACCAAAAGTAATTATTTTTGGCAGTGTCACCAAAGTTTGTTATTACCTGGTTCAGAACACACATTTTTCAGCTCATACTATTCAGCTATATTACAAATTGAATAGCATTTTTCAACAAATGTTCACTAGCTTGAAATGTAAAACAAACTTTTCTGCTTGTGTGCTTGGTGTTCAGCGTACTAAATGCCCAAAGTCACTGCTTTATAGGTGCATGCATACAAGTTATTTAATATTAAGGTTTTATTTCTTGTAATTGTGGCAAACTTTCAAGTTCTCTTCACTAGGCAAGATGTTGCCCAGAGCAGATGTAGGAACATAGGAAGCTGCCTTATACTGAGCCCAAACCATTTGTCCATCTAACTCAGTGTCGTCTACACTGACTGCCAGTGGCTATCCAGGATTTCAGGAAGGGGACATTCCTAAACCAACTTGGTGGCTTACTATTAGGCCTTTGCAAAGTTCTGAAACCTTTTGGGCAGTTCATTAATATTTAATGCAGCTCTAATATCTCTATATTTATCTCAAAGTGTTCATATTTATTTTATTGCTGGGCTGTATTCATCAAAACAGGGAAAGTTAGGTTGTATTTATAAAATCCTAGGTCATGTGTAGCATCTATTATGAAAGCTAACACGCCCTATTGATATTGTCAAATTACGCTTAATAATAGTACTGACAAAACAGGACTCTCCTTGTTTTTACCATTTACATTCCTGGAAGGTTTCCCAAAATGCTGGGAGGTACTTCAGGAATATAAATAAAATCCACAGTCTTTGTTGCCACCAACCAAATACCTGTCACAAAGATTACTCTTTGTGCCTTATGAGTACATAAAAGTCAGGGTTCTGCACAATAACTTCAGTTCCCACAAGATATTGATTGTCAACCTCTCTCTTCTGGGCTGCCTCCCACACCTGCTCAGAATAAATGAGGAACTCATTGAGTTGGTTGCAGTGCCTTCCAATGGCCCTGCAAGCTTTGAGCTTGTATAGTACACTTCTTATATGAATAAGATATTCTTGGAGAGCAAAAATGCAAAGTAATGTATGAAGTGACCCTAAATTGATACAGGGCAAAGGAGATTTGGAGGCGGAGTAGAGAAAATGTGAATGAGCAAAAGAAAAAGAGCATGTGCACACAACTGTAAAACATATGTTCAATTATTACCTCTATTGACTTCTCATAGGTGCAGGTTCACTGTGCCTCCCTTGAAGTAGCCACTCTGGGCCCAAAACCGGATTTACTTTTTCAACGAAAATAGTGAACAATTTTTTGTAGTGGCCCACTGAATCATTATCCTATGAAGGAATGCTCTAGTGACCAAGTTTAAAACTGCAGTTTCAAAAAGTATATTGGCACAGATTGAAAATTAGCCCCAAGAGTAGTATTTGTTGTTTTCCCATTGGTATGAATAATGGTTTAGGGAGTACAAGAGGACAGGTCCTGCCTAGAGGGCTTACATTCAGCTGGCTCAACACAGGAGAGAGAAATGGAGGCAGGGTTAAAGAAGGAAATAACAATCAGTTTCACTTTCTTATACTTAGATTTAAATACAATAGAGTATGGTTTCCAGGAGATTGTGCCAATAACTTCACGGGAAAGAGCTTTTGAGAAGGGAATTGAAGGAACTGCAGTGGGACCGCGCAGGTGATTTGGGAGGCAGTTCACAGCATAAGAGGCAGGAAGGGCGACAGGATGAAGTGATTAGATGTTACAGGAAGCCTGACTGTCTTGGTCAGGGATACATTGGGCAGAGAAGGGGAGAAAAGCGAGGGTGAAGGCAAGGTAGGGCTTTGAAGCTGAAATGAAGAGGGTGAACAGGAAACCAGTGTAAGAATTTCAGGAGGAATTAATCAGTGAGTTGAGATGGGTGAAGAATTTTGGCAGCATAGTGCAGGATAACAGTAGCTGTGTGAATCAGGCAGGAACGTGTTCCTTGTTGGCAGCTCATTAGCCGGCTTAAAACTGGTAATGTGGGCTCCAGACAGAAAGATGATGCATCTTTGCAATACTTTGAGATTAGTTAATGCTTCTATTTAATACTTGCTGTTTCCTTTAGCTGTCACAATTTTAAAGAAAGTTACTATGAGAATAAAACAAATGGTATGAATGCCCAGTTTACTGAAACAGTCAGTGATATTCATATAGGTTTTCTTTGAAGCTAGCTTAATGAGGGATGTTGCTAGTGCTTTCTTGAATTTCCGCTTGTTTACTCGTTGGTTTTGTCCTTTTAAAAATGTGCTCTAGGGTCTTCATTCTGAGTGCCACATTTGCACAAACAAACCTTAATGAGGATGGTGGTTAGAATTCAATATAATCATGTTTGTGAGCATGACAGCTAGAATGAAAAATACGGTCAAGAACTATTTAGCATACTGCAGACCTCTTTCCCTCCCCTATCTCCCTCCCTCCAACACTATAGAAATCCAGCTTCAACTGCTACTAATTGAATGGGGGCAGCTTTCATTCTGTACTGTTGTTGCCCACAAACAGCAATATATGAGTGTTAAATTGTATACCTTCAACAGATTTGCTGTTTCCAAGAGCTAGCTCTTAACTCAGAGATTGCCAGCATGATGTCTGCAAGTGCCAGTGTACCCACTCTCAAAAATCCACAAGACAAGGCTACTTGCTCTTCCTACTCAGTTCCTATTTGTACTTAGCCTCTGCTATATGAAACATGTCCCCATATACATGCCCACATTTCATTGGATATCAGGACTGAAGGCATGCTTCCAACATTCAGCTTCATTGGATGTCCATGAGTTCTACTGTTGTTTTTTATTGTTTTTATGAAAGGTTTTCTGGGGTTACAAAAGTACATACATCATCTCTGTTTTCAGATCATAAAGTCCTTTCTATGGATCAGTTATATTTGATGTGAGACTTTAATGCTGTATACAGTATAAGGTTGGGGGAGAAGAGAGGTAAAGGGAGAGAAGAGGGAGAGAACTTTCATTCTTTTACATAGTATATGTGCAAGGTGTCATCATCACCGTAGGTAGGATCTCTATCTATTCATTTGTTAGTTTTCATTGGTGTTGAGAGAAGTTGGGGGGGAGGCCCAGGGCTTGGTTGGTTGCCTTCAATTGACTGCAGTGAATTTTGTTTGCATGGCGGTGGGGGCTGTTGGGTCAAGTTAGCCAAATTGATTCATATGCTGATGGAGGGTTCTTGTTGAGCTCTACTGTTATGAAAGAGGAAGAAAAGGCTTTTTATCTAACTACTTTTTCCATGCCATGCATAAGAGAAGATAGGCAAAGAGCTTTTTTCTATGAGCAATGCGCCAGTGTCTGTTGACACATATTTGGGGCAGAGGAGAGGCAAGTTAAGTTGTGTAGCTTAAAACCATTGTGCTAGCATAACTGTTATGTTGAATACTCCCCTATATTTTCTGTAATATGTTGAAGTTTGTTCTTAAATTCTCCTGAGAGTAGTTAATGTTCATTTGAATACAGTGGTACCTCATACCATACATACGCTTCAGGTTACATACGTTTCCGGTTACAGACTCCGCTAACCCAGAAATAGTGCTTCAGGTTAAGAACTTTGCTTCAGGATGAGAACAGAAATCGTGCTCCGGCGGCGCAGCAGCAGCAGGAGGCCCCATTAGCTAAAGTGGTGCTACAGGTTAAGAACAGTTTCAGGTTAAGTATGGACCTCTGGAACAAATTAAGTACTTAACCTGAGGTACCACTGTACGTAAAATTAGGCAGTTTTTTGTGGTCTTGTGTAGCCACACACAAGATTTACACTTGTGTTGGAGTAACAACATAGAAATGTCTGGAGCTAAAATGGCACAAGAAGGCATTCAAGCTGCTCCCCTTTAGGGAGAAGCCCCCAAAATAGATGTCTGTATCGAGAGCTGTGTTAGAAACAGAGATATGAAAGCTAGGAGCTAATGGCACCTTAAACCTAGGTTGTGGGCACCACAATGGAGTGTCTTGGCACGCTTTCTTTATAACAAGAATACTAAGCTGAAAATCAGTGAATTGCAGCTAGTATCTTATGTTCATTTTTCACATGGTTTAGTCCTCATCTGAAGACTGCAAAAAAAAAACGCAAAGCCATGCTTCCCCTGCCCGCCCGCCCTAATATTCTTGAGGGTCCCTTCTCCAGTCTTAAGAGAGGAGCTGGAAGTGGGGAGGCAGAAAAAGGTCCTTCTTTTCTTCCAGCCGTGGCAGTTTTAATCTTAAATCTTAGGCTCAGTACTGCACCCAGAGCTCAGAAACTGCTCGCCTTAATGAAATTCCCCGTCACAAAATGCACTTAGAACAATGGGAGTTTCAAACCTTGCTCAAGAGGCAGATGAATGTCTTCCTGCTCAGTTCTCTTTTGACTGCTGCCAAAGCAGGAACATCAAAGAATGTTCTTGGCCATAGCTATGAAGAAAGTAAAGTTCTTTTTAATGGCTTTGTCATTCAGACAAGAAGCAGGCAAAATGTGAAGTGTACCACCCTCAGTTTGTGATTGATACTCCCCAGTATTCAAGGATTATTTTTAAACATCATTGCAACTTCCACAACATCTCTTATCTGCTGAGCCCATTTAAAATGTGTTTCAGAATTGAATTAGAAGCAAGAAGGAGGCACACATTATCTTAGTAGGGGATTTTTAAATGGAACATTGCTCACAAAGCTGGGGGGGGGGGGATTGACTCTCCACTTTCAGTGCTGCTCCTTGCTCCTCACTGGTAAGAACTATCCAGTATTCCCTTCCTATCCTGTCCCTGACTGGTTTTTACAGCTGGTCACTTTAGCTCTTGTGCCTTCAAGCCAAGTCTTAATAATGTCTGTCCCTGTTTCTTTAAAACTAAAGTGCCCAGCTTCCACAATTCATCAAATTCTATTGCTGTTTTGCTAAGCAGCTCAGGCAGAAAATTATGTGCATTCTTAGATACTCGCTTTAAAGGGCAATAATATGTTGACCTCCAAATGTAAATAGCAAACTGCTTCCATGGAAATTATTGAAATGCCTTTTGAGAAATGTGTATAAGTATGGCAGATAATTTTAGAGAAATGCAAAGCTGAATAGTTTAATGATACTTTGTTATCATTGTCTTGTATCCAGCTGCAATGCTTTTTGCCCATGAAAGCTGCTCTGCTAATATATTAGAGCTCAGCCCTGGTGAATCAGAGAGTGGATAGTAATGCAGTAATGTGGTTAGGAGGATTAAAGCATGAGTACGCTTTTCTCTAGTTTATAGATTCTTGTGTATCAACAGCTCAGATTACTATATGCATCCCTTTTCATATACTCATGCAAAGAATTGTAAGAAATGAAATTAACTGGTTCAAGAAACTGGAATATGCAGATTTGTATAATTTCCTCACTTGGCTGCCATTATTTTGCCTGTGGTGAAACTGTCCACTCTCTTCCTTGTTCCTCACACAGTGAGTGGAAGGCATGACGCAAACCCTGACCTTGTGGATGCTGAGACAGGTGTTAGGTTCCTGGCAGGGCCAGAGGATTTGACATATCTGAACACAGAGAGGAGGAGGAGGGTACATAGGAAGAGCAGCAGGTCTACCCATGGAGACCTTCTCATTGCAGCTATGGTAATATCTGCGGTTGTCCTTCACCATCAATGCTCTGGTGGCAGAGGAGGCAAAATAGAGATGGCAAAAACAATCTGCTGTGTGCCAAGTCCTCCTGTTCCTTCAAACCCCACCCCAAACCCGCCAAGAGCTGCCAGCTGGTGTACTGATTTCCTTTCCATTGTGGCCAATGGGAAGGAAAGTCTTTTTTTTTTAAGCCAACAAAAGACACACCCAAAAAGGAAAAATACTCCCTTCTGCCCTGCCAACAGAAGTCCAGCCAAGGCATTGGGTTTGACAGTTCTTCTGCCTTCAGTCCTCTCTTCCCCCGCCCACTCTGGATTTCTGTGGACTTTGCCTGTGGGCCATAGGCAACCACAGCACAATTCACTAGGGTGTGCATTCAGTTATTATTATTTGATAATTTCAGTGAAGAAAGAAGAGGAGGGAACGATAAGGCAAGGAGGAGATACAGAAATAAAAATCTAACAAAACAAGTGCAACACAAGTAGCCAAAAAAACAAAAACAGATTATTCCAGTGGAGAAAAAGACCTGTGCTAAGCTGGACAGGTTTTGGGCAGATCTGGATGTCTGGGGGCATTCTCTTTGTTTGTGTATCACAAAAGTAGCTCCTCACCCCCACAGATATTATCTCCACAAAAGGTGGTCAGGAAAGCTTGGATGCAGGCAGGGTCATGGGGCAGAGATGCATGTATACAAAAGAAAAAGTCTGGAATGGATCTGCAGCTTCTGCCTGCAGAGGAAGGAGTTCTTCTTCCCTTACTGCCACCACTTGTGCCAGTCACCCCACTGCTGTTTCCAGAAACAGTTGCAGGCAGAAATTGCAGATCCATTGCAGATCCTTTCCAGCCTTTTTATTCTACAGTGGTACCTCGGGTTAAGAACTTACTTCATTCTGGAGGTCCGTTCTTAACCTGAAACTGTTCTTAACCAGAAGCACCACTTTAGCTAATGGGGCCTCCCGCTGCTGCGCGATTTCTGTTCTCATCCTGAAGCAAAGTTCTTAACCCAAGGTACTATTTCTGGGTTAGCGGAGTCTGTAACCTGAAGCGTATGTAACCTGAAGCATCTGTAACCCGAGGTACCACTGTACTTATATCTCTCTCTCTCTCTCTCTCTGCTTCCTTTGTTCCCCATTTTAAAAAAACATTAGGGTATGCCTGGGCACACCTAGCACACCTCCTGCACTTGCCTGTGCTGTAGACTTTCATAGAATAGGAAATGTTGGCTTGTTAGACGTTAATTAGAATTAGAAATGTGAACATTTCAAGGTTTTAATGCATATGGGAAGCCATCTAGATATTTATCTGCTTGTTTTTAATCTGTCTTTACATGCTTTTACTATTGCACATAGCTATTTGCCTTTTTAGCTCTCCTCTGAACATTCTTTTAATGGCATAAACTCTTACATGACTCAATAAGAAAACATAAATATCCCAAACTACCATTTTCTATTAAGAGCCTAAGATAAAATTGTAGCATTAGCCCAAATTTTTCTTGCATCTTTTATGCAGAAAAACATAGGTAAGAAAGTGAAATGTGTTTTAATTCCTTTATATTTATCACTCATAATTTGTTGGGTTGGTAAGTTACATCTACTCTGTATTTCATTTTTGAGCTTTTTTTTAAAAAAAAAATCAATATTCACAAGGAGGAAAAAGTACTCACTGTGGTATAGCTTCTCAGTAATAATACTTAAACCTCTGGAGCTGGGGGAAGGAGGTGGTCATTAAACACTGTTCAGAAGTTTAAGCATAAACAGTACGAGAATCAAAGAACATCTCAAGGAGTGTAATGTGGATTTTATTTAAAACTTTGTCACTTAACCCTGTTTCTTTTTCATCTCTTCTGAAGGTGCTCTTACCGAGTGCTATGACGAACTGGGAAACCGGTACCAGCTTCCTGTCTACTGCCTGGCCCCGCCCATCAACATGATAGAAGAGAAGGGTGATTTAGAGACTCTGGATATTCCCGATCCACCACCTAACTCGGGTCATGAATGTCAGCTTCGTTTACGCCTCTCAACAGGCAAAGACCTCAAACTTGTGGTCCGCAGTATGGATACTGTCTATCACATGAAGAGAAGACTGCACACAGCAGAGGGTGTGGAGCCCAGCAGCCAGCGGTGGTTTTTTTCAGGCAGGCCCCTGGCAGACAAAATGAAACTGGAGGAGTTGAAAATACCAAGGGACTATGTGGTGCAAGTCATTGTGAGCCAGCCCTTAACAAACCCCACCCCGGTGGAGAACTGACTTTGCCTGTATGTTTCTCTTTTCCTTTTCTGCTCTTCTTACCACGTGGGAACTTTTTCACTATTTTTGTTCTCTCCGACTGGTGGGTTGGTTCTAAACAATGACCAGCAAAAATTCCATCTGTGATGGAGCTTTAGGGGGGAAACACACACACATGCAAGCACACACACGTTCCTAAACTGCCCCTGGAGACTTTGCCCAACTTAGGAATTCTTGACACCACAGTAAGACGTTCTTAACAAAGTAAATCTGGAACATGTGTGTGAAAGAGATCCTGAAGTTTACAGAGGATGATGCTGAAAAAGTGGTTTGAACTATAAGTGAAGTACTGATCCATAAAAGGGAAAGGCACTTTTAAAAGGATTAAACCAATCTGAAGTATTTTGTGAAATCAGCATCACTTACAGTTCAGCCAATCAGTGTAGCTGCTCTGGTAAATCCAGTATGCTGTGATAATTGTAGGGATTGTGTCTATTCTAGTTTCACATTAGCTCAACAAGGCTAATATTTAAATGGGATGGTGAAGGATTCTGGGACAGACTATCAGGTGCAATCTGATTAGTATGGATGGTCCCAAATTAAAGTTTTTTGGTATATACTGAAATAGCAAGCAATAGTGATTTGCCATTGCTGGCTTCAGTATGTGCTAAATATTGCTCTCTGAAAAATTAGGCTATTGTTTAGCAAATATATAATGTTACATGGAATTGCAGTTACCGTATACTTCTGTATCTAGTTAAAAAGCTTATTATTTGAGGTTCACCAGCCTGAGAAACAAAAACAAAAGAAGGCACAGGACTTATTTCACTTAGTATGTTAGCCGATAATGTTTAGGCCCAATATAGTGATTTTAAACCCCCTTTATTCACAGCAATAGCTATTAACATACTACAGAAGAAAAGCACAGGAAATCCTGTCATACACTTCTGTAAGGTAAGGGTGTGCAACTTGCTTGACAGTATCATATATCTCCCCACTGATCTTTATGTTGCTTGGCATAACTGGGACTCAGATGCATCATCTTATTCTGCTAAGTGATTACACACACACTTGACCCTTGGGGGAAGAGATGGGAATAATGATTGAAAATTAGGAAGATATTGTAGATTGTTAAATCATCTGATCTTTCCTTTACACCATTAGATCTTTCAATATTGGGTGGGGGGGAGTTGTATATTGCAAGAATATTTGTATTACTATTCCACAAATCCTTATGTCAGGGGTGGCTTACCAGTGGGCCTCCAGAAATTGTAGGATCCCAGTCCCAATCAGCCCCAGTCAACATGGCCAACGATCAGGCATGATGGGGTTTGGAATCCAGCAGCTTCTGGAGGGCCACAGCTTAGTTGCTCCTGACCTAAATACTTTTGCATCTTGCTGGTGATGGGTAGCTTACAGAAAGAAGTGGATTGAGTTGGTTTGTGAAAAGCAGTGTGCATATTTCAAGCATTCTTTATCTTCCCTGCCATGGCTTCAGTTATACTTATTCACACTCATGCATATGACAGTGTATATGCAGTGCATGTATGTCAGATTGATGGGCCACTTTTTCTACTTGGCAGATTTATCTGAAACATCACAGTAACCTTAGCAATATCACACAGCATTTTCCCTTCGGAATGTGAAAGCAAGCCATTCTTTAGAGTAGGACGTATATCCTTTTAAGAGGGCTTTGGGCAAGATTGTTAGCAGTCCAGTTAAATTCTGTTGAGTAATACTGAACAAATCAGTCCTAGCAATGTGCATCTTTTGAAAAGAAGTATACATAACTCTTTTGTTTAGATTCTCTGTGCTTTTTGTTGTCCCTGACCTGGTTCACCCATGACACGAAGCCAAACCATGGGCTTGTCGGAAAAAGAGCAAACATGGGTTCCCAGAGAAAAGATTGTGGCTGCTTTTCTCCTTCTCCCCTTGGTTACAGCTTGCGGTTTGTCTGGAGCAAGAAAAACCATGAACTTGGGTTCAGACAGAATGCTCAGCCAAGCCATAGCTTAGCTCACAGCAGTGCAGCAGCAGGACTGGAAGGGGAGCAAAGTGACAGTGATTTTCTCTGGGGAAGCCTGCTTGTTTGCACTAAGCTATGGTGCAGCTTAATATTACATGTATACTTGATCATTAGTTCTGTTCTTTTGGTGTGGTCATGTTCCTGTTAGCACCACTATTATTAATCATTTTTCAAACAGAACTCATTAATATTCTTCTTGCTAAGCACTGAATCTACAGTTATTTTTATCTGTGAAAAGGCATGTTTTTGGTCCACTGATGGAACAATCTAGGGTGGACCTCTTCCTCTCTGCAGAGCTACAATACTTAAGTGTCCTATAACTAACCTAGCCTTACTCGGGTTATCTTGCTGTGATAACTAGAAACTAGAACAATGAAACATAAAAATTTAAAATTATATCGCATTTTCAGTGTAGGGTAGGTTGCAAAGTTTCTCAAAGGAGGTTTCTCTTTTTGGAAATCAGTTCAGACTTGGAACCACTTGCCATATGAATGTATCATTGTGTGTCACAACCACAGCATTCTTCTGGGCACAGTCGAATGCATCAGGGTCTTTCAATGTAGTTTTGGCCAGATGGCAGCAGCATACAGCAAAAGGGTATCTGTCTTCTAGGATTTGTTAAGTTCCCCCACTTTCTCAGATACCATGTTCACTTGTGCTAATATTAGGAGCAAACACTTATATTTTAGAAGTTCAGAAGGATGCAGATCCTTCATTTGTCACAAAGGGTGCATGCTAAACAATTGACTAAAAAGCTAAAATATTTAAGGCAAAATCTAATGTCATTGTGACTCTTTTTGAAGTCATTCCACATGTACTGAAGTGAAAAGGAATGCTAGACTGCTGCCTAAAAACTCTAAATGCTGATTTTTGGAGAGGCATCCTAGGTGTTGATCCATTTAGTTGGTACCAATTAGTTTCTTTGTAATTTCCAAGTAATAAACTTATTTGGTGCACACCACAGCCATTACATATCAGAAGAAGTATACCTTGCAAAATAAAAATATGTGTCTAGTGGTCTCATTTTTCCCAAGTTAAACGGACAAAAATAATTTATAGATATTAAAATTGAATTGAGCTAAAAATAGGCTGATAACTTCTGTGGGAATGTGTTCAGGATTACTTGAAATGTTTTCAAGCCACGTTGCTTGATGGCTGGGCCAGCTCCAGGTTTGTGATGTGAGGCTCACTCAGCCAGATGCCTTCCAGTGGGCCACTTCTCATACTTCTGATGCCTGGAGGAAGGCAGTAGTAGCTGCTTCTTGCTGCCATTGACGGAGCGAATGAGCAAGCAACAGTCACTGCTGTTCTCAGCCACTATGCCACTTGCTTATCTGTGTGGCAGGTGGAGGTTTGCCAGTCATCTTTGACAAAGGGGGTGGGTATCAGTTATGGTTTCTGCTGTTCTTCAGTGGCCAGTGTTGTGGGTCAGGTGATAATGATGGGCCCATGACAGCTGCTTAAGGATGCTGACCCATGGCACTGGCCATGCTTGATGAAGATAGGTTTCCAACATGCATTCAGGTATTCAGCATGTATTTGGCAAAGAATATGAGTCCCCGACTGTAGAATGCTCTGTGGTAGTCAGACTTTTCTTAGGGAACAAGTTACAAGAGGGTGTTGGAGTAGCTCCACTTACCTCTGCCACAAGTTGGCTTCCATGAATGCAGCTCTGCAGTTCTTTAAAAATGCAGTCACCTTCTCCGACAAATATGTTCACATCGGTGTGTGTGTGCATGTGTGTGAAGAAATAAAAACGTGTGCTTGACACTTTTTAAGCTGATGACATTTCCAGATGATGCTGCACTGAAAAATGGGAGCTGCACTCCCACTTCAGCAGTTAGAATGGAACAGCTTGAAAGGAAAAGGTCATTATCCCTACAGTTGGAATGGTAGTGAAATTCCTCCAAACTGTGATGAAGGACCATATTGGAACTTGTGCACGCACATAAGTGCACAATAAATCAATATACCTCCCTTTTGTACTGATGGCAGGCACCCAAGGATTGCTTGTCTTTCATAAGCATAGTGGTGACTTAACCACCTCTCAAGCTCTAAACAAAAGCAACTCCTCAGGTATCGTGAATAGTTTTTACTTTGAGTGGAAATTGCATGCATCTGTTAACCAAGTAGGAGTCTTAGTTTCTTCCTTACTTTTACTCTTTCCTGCTCCAGAAAGAACTGGGTTTTTTAGGGTAAACTTGATTATAAGTCAGGAATATCCCTTTCACCTAATGTTGTTCACCTTCACCCAGCAGTTAGAATAAGCGAGGCAACTGGATTTTCATTGTTTTTAATCTCCAAGGCCGAGCAATTTCATTTATTACTTTTAACAGAAGACTAGTTCAAGTAAGCACTGTTGCATGCATTTAACATTTTATCAGCATGCAGATTGGATTCTCACCTGTGCCAGCTCATTTCCATCCTTGGAGTCAAAGCTTTGCCTCTTCTGCAGACATACATGCACACACTCACATACATACATTCTAAAGACAGAACACTTAGCATAGAGCTACCAAGGGCAAACAAGCAAACAGTTACAATATTGTTTCTTTACAGTTTAACACATTTATACGCCATTTCTGATTTACCTTCTCCCCTTTGCTAGTGAATTATATCTACAGACATATGGTGGTGGCAGGTTTGTTTAGCACAGAGCTTTGGTTTTCATGCTTGTTATTGCAGACGTGTCACTAGTACATGACCCAGAAGTAATGGACTCTCTGTAATCTGTCTTGGATGAGCTTGAAAGGCAAAAGGACAGTAGCGCTGTTGATACTGCATTATGTAAAAAAGCGGGTTGCGGGGAGAATGAATGCATAGGAGACACATACTGCTTACTGTGCTCCATCCTATTCTGAAAACAAAACATGTGACTAGAGCTTTGGCTTAGTACATTAGTTGCATTGGCATTACACAAAATTCTACCATGAGACAACGAGATTAAGAAAATGATCACATTAAAAGCCATGATTGTAATTCCCTTGATCTCTAAACTTTAGAGAGACTAAGGAGGTATTTGGGAAACGGTGTAGTGTGAAATTGCAGTGTAATAAACTGGGTTTTGAGAGGATTTTGATGGACAAAGATAATACCTCTTTTTTCAATACTGTAGTTTCATTATTCATTTTACAAAAATAATCAGGATTCAGATTGATGTGATGAGAGCAATATATTCAGCTGTGGCACAATGCGTTTTGATAAAACAAGATTTTAAGTGTCGCTCGCAAGATGGGTAAATGGGCCTTCATGTTTAGTGCATTGCTCCTTAGGGAGAAAATATAACAAAACCATATCTGGTAGGTTAATGCAACTTTGTGCTGTTTTTGAAAATCATTTTAGGATTGCAGTCATTGACATATCTCTTAATTTGTCTCAGAGTGTTAGTTATGCATATCGGATGTCTAAAACTATATGGTTTTCAAACAGCAGTTCCTTTGGTCTTTACATGATTGTCCCTGGCTAGGTTGTTTTTGCTTAAGATTATATGGAGCTTTTTGGGGGTGCATTTCTTCAGCTGTCTGCAATAATATTCCATTTTCAGTTTACTTCTCTGACAACCCTTTTCCTGAGTGTTGTTTTTTTAAAAACAACAACAACACCACACACACAATTTGTACCCAACAGTATGTAAATGGTGTAAAGAAATACAATATATGGGAGTTGTAGAACTGAATTTAGAGGCAAACCTGCCTTTTCAACATCTTGTATTCTAAAGCAGGAAAATATGAAAATGCAACACTTGTGACGTTACTGATTCTTTTGCCTAATAGCCATGTATCCAAGACTAGTGTAGCTGGTTTAAAAATATCTCTGTGTCCAAGAAGTATTCTTAATTTAATTCAGCGGTTTATTTTTATTTCCTTCCTGTCTCTTTGCTTTTCTTTCTATGTAGACTCTGGTCCCATTTATAGGAAGCCTTAAATCCAGGGCTGTGACTCCCCTTTTGAAAGAGGAGTGCACTGTGATGCATGCCAGCAAGCTTATTTAAGAACTAAGAGTATGAAGGTGGCTTAATGGTTTGGTTTTTGTTTGTTTAAATACGGTTGGTTTCCTAAGGAGGTTGGAACCCCATTGCTCTGAATGGCAATCAGTGATGAAATAGACTCATGTCCTTCGGCTGAGGACACTGTGTATTAGATACTCTTCAATATTGTGCTAATTATCTCTGGATCATAACCATGTTGTCAATTAAAAAAAAATGCAAGCATGGTCGTTTTCATTATGGATATTTAAAATTCACCTGACACTTTTAATTCCCCTTTTTCTGGCAATTGAATCTAGCCAAAGATGGGAAAGGATTTTTTGATTATTATTTTTTTAACAATTTGCTGGGTCTTAAACTCAAAAACAGTGAAATGGTCTTCTGTAAAGGGTCTTACCAGTGCCTCTCCTCTCCATATCCTGGGAACGTCTAGAAACTGGAGATCGCCTTTTGAGCAATGCCTGAAATTGTGTACTAGGCAGCTGGAGGTGTGTAAAGACATTCTTCTCTAATGTGCTATGAGCAAATTACTTGGATTTAAATGTCCTATTTGCCTCTTGGTAGTGGCTTCCAAAGATGGCTGGTACCATCAATTTGTATTTCTTGAATAAAAATCTTCTCTTTTCTGGTAAATCTTTTTTTGTACAGTGTTTGTTCTGTGCCATGTATCAAAAGAAGCATTTGTGTTACATAGGTGGTTGGCAATTGGGTACCAATACAGAGAAACACAGTTTTCAGTAGCTAAAAAGGGAAGTCTGATTAGGGGAATTCCTATGATGTGGCACTTCCCCACCCCTCCTCCGTGCAACTTTTATAAAACTAAATCTTTTAGCTTTGTACATGCAGGATGTGCGAAACTTTTCTTACAGTCTCCTTCAGCCCAAAGGTGAAATGTCTGGAAATGCAGTTAACATTTGGGTTAGCCTTTCCAAGGTGCACTATATATTTATACTGTACCTATGTTGTGCTGACATTGCAGTAGTATGTGCACACCTTTAAAATTCTATAGCAAAGCACAAATAGGTTCTTTTTTGACCAATTAAATGAAGTAAATCAGTGTAGCATCATGATTTCCTAAAAGTCAGGAATATGCTGTATAGTACTCTATGTATTAAACAGAAAGGAAAAACAACAAGAAAACCTGGTTATTATTATTATTATTATTATTATTATTATTATTATTATTTGGCTTTTAAAAATAAAATTGGTACTGTAGATGCCTTGCCTTAAAATACAAACTCTGTGTCCTTTTTCTCTTAACTTAACATAGCTGCAAAATGCCTCTTGTGTCTCTTCTGTCTTATTGGAGTCCTTAGGTCAGTGAACGGCCTGTATCATTACAGAAATGCTTTGGTATACCCAGCTAGCAAAATATAAGGCTTTCTACAGAGATCTTAGTAATGGCAGTCACTGGCAATCCAATCACAGGCCAGCAATTAACCCTTTATATTATTCTGGGTTTAGTTTTTAATTTCTAAAACAGCTAGCCATGCATGTGAGCATAAACTAAATATGGCTTAGCATAAATTTGATCCAAACCAGTCAATCTGATTTGAATCATCCTCATTAGGAAGTTCAAATGAGCTGCTGAATATATTAAAATTATGGCCATGGTAATACCTAGATAATTGCCTTAAATTCCTTAGGGAGGTGGGGAGAGAGAGCAAGCAAACAGACACTAACTGCCTTTGAGAAAAACCCGGAGGTTAAATCTTGACAACTAGAGATGGTGATTATTTTGCTGATATCTCTTCATCTCTGGGAAGAGTAGAATTTAAGCAGGTATAGCATGACAACTGAGAGTACAGGATTGGAAGATCCTAGTTTACACCTTGCTGCAGCCATTCATTCACGAAGTAGCCTTTGGCAGGACACCTTACATTGCAGTGACCCCTTCAGAATTTGGCGCTTCTCTATTTCCTTTTAATTTTTGCCGCACAGGTTATGCTTTCTTTCAAACTGCGAGTTATCTGAATGTGGGAGGGGAGGGGTTTCCACTTTGCTAACCTTAATACAAAGTAGTTGTTATTTCCATTGATCTAAATGAACATCTTGTAGGGTAAAACATTTCCTTGTCCCTCCCTGCATTCTCGTGGTCTGGGGGATGTCCTCTGAAATGATGTTCTTGTGGTGCCCAGATATCTGATTGTTTTGATCACCATTCTACCTAAAAGACCTCAAATTTGCCCAATCCTTGAGATCATCATCTGAAGCTCTTTCTGTCATTCTACGTTCAAGGAAGGTCTAAAGGATAGCAACGCGAAAAAAGGCCTTTTGTAGTAGCCACCCATTTTACCCAGGGAAGCCTGCCTGCAATTGCTTCAGCACCAGGCAATGACATTTTTGTTTTCCCAGGTATTTGGCAAGCACTGAGGGTCTGAACTGGCCGTGCCTGAACAAGACCTTGAGGTCGTAGTGGAAAGCTCAATGGAAATGTGGACTTAGTGTGTGACTGCTGTGAAAAAGGAAAATCCCATGCTGGGGATCATTAGGAAAGGAATTGAAAATAAAACTGCTGATAATTATGATGCTGTTATACAATCCATGATCCAACCTTTGTTCTGCATCGAGTGCTCTTCCTTGGGTCCCACTGCTGTCTGAGAAGGGTCTCAGCAAAAGCCTTCTTGGTTATATTCTGCTGCTGTTTTTAAACTCTCTGAAGAGCTCTTGGGTTTACAACTTTGTCTGTAGGTGACACTTTAAACTCTTGCATCATATCAATTTATTACAATAATGGACGATATTCAGCTAAATGTTTGTGCTAGTGCAATGGGACTTGCCCACTCCCTGTGCATATCCTGTACCTTCTTCAAATTTATTCTAGAGGGTTGCGAAACTCCACAGAACAGTTTGGAAGGAGAGGAGAGGAGAGAAATGTTCTATTGTGCCCAGATAAATCCCTGCGCTGATAGAACATTCCTCCTAGTGCTGCATTGAAAAAAGCAGGGTGTGCATTTGTGGCAGGAGAGGGGAAGAGAGAGATGGCCACAGATTCTCACTTGGGGTTTTGTCAATGGAATTGTCCCATTAGCGGAAGGACATCTGACTACACAATGGGATTTTTTCTCTTCCGCTGCCGCCAGCCCACCCCCCTGCCAATGCCATGTTTTGGAGAGTTCCCTCTATCCTCTAGAGCAGGCTGTTGGGGTGGGGAGCAGAAAGAGGAGGGGGGAAAGTCATTGTGGGTCTTCTTGCAGTAAGAGTAAACAATCTAGCATGGATGGCTCTTTTTTTGAAAAACTAACCTTTATTTATTTATTTAGAAAGTTATTGTGTTTATATAGCCCAACACACATTTTATTCTCACTGTTCTCTTCTGATCTTTGTAAACAGCCTGCAAATGGTTTTTAATGAGTGTTTATCGTGTGTTCTGCTTCATGTGGTGTGGAGACGGGTTGTTTCGTTTTTTTAATTTCTGGCTGCCGGGGAAACAACACTCTTTTCTTCCATATGTAATTAAAGGTCATTGAAAGAAAATTCAGATAATGATTCTGCTTCTGCTGCTGCAGCTTCAGCCTTAGCTATCTGCTTCCTCAGTTTCTCCCTTGCCTTCCTCTGTTGTCGGTCAATGCAGAAGATAGTGAACATCCTGAACTCCTTGTAGTTCAGTTGCTGGTGATGGAAGGGAAAAGGTAATATTGCAGTTTCGTGAAATATTAATGGCTAGTTCATAAGCAAGTATTCTATGGGAGGAACACGGCATTTTCCACCCTTCCCTTTAAGTCTTCCCTCTGCCCTTCTGAGGTGGTCTTGAAGATAAACCTCAGATCTCTCTAGTCAAGAATTTTTTGTAGGCATTATGGCCTGCATTATCAAATGGACAAGTGGAATTTCTTACCTGTGTTTCTGTAACGTCTGCTATAATTAAATCTGAATCTTAGATGGGTAAGCAAGTCTAAGGCTAGCATGCCTTTCATGTGTGTGGTATGGTTCCTGCACACAGAGGAACCAGCAGCTTCATGAGGAGCTGCCAAGTTGATAAAAGGGTAGGCTCAAGGGAGCTCAGGATTGTGCATGGTATTCTTGTGAACATAAACTAATCCTGCCATGGACTTCTGAATGGGGGTGTGGGACTGGATGTGGCTGGCGACTGGGTGTTTTTAATTAAAAAAAATACACCATCCCATCATGCCAACTTTGACAGGTAGGCAGGACTGCCACCCACCTGTCAATCACATGACATCACAGAGAACAATAGTGCGTGTTGTTGCAGTCTTAGGTGAGGCTTCTTCAGCCTACTGAAAGTCAAAGACTTATTAAGATGGGGCAATATAGGTGGGGAGGGACCCACACATGGGCATAGCCAGGATTTTTTGGGGGGGCAGGACTTTTGTTGGGGGGGGAGAACTGATGTGATTGGTCAGTTAAGTATTTTTATTGTTTTACTGCCCCTCCCTGCCCCGCGTGGCTATGCCCCTGTACCCACATATCCCCATGCATTTGTTCTCCCACTCTCACCTACCAACAGACACACACAATGTTACCTCATCACCAGAGATGTCAAAGTCCTTGAATATCTGACTCAGCTCGGTCTTTTTAATATTAAAGAGGAAGCGAGTGGATTGGAACTCTGCTGGGCCAACTGTGTGCCCTCCATCGATGTCCAGCAGCTCAAAAACTGGATGACAATGACGATACATGAACTGCTTTTCAAGGTGGTTCTGATCCCAGAAAGAGAAGTTAGAGTATAAATTAAGTTTCTTTTAAAAAAATAATTCCAGCAGTATAAAACCCAAGCATTGGCACATATGTTACTCTGATGTTATGGGGGGGCGGATATGACTTTTTAACATTCCTCATCTGCACATTCCGGTCTTTGTGTTTTGTTTTCTTTGAGGTTGCTATTAAGAGCAATGGGACCATTGTCTCAAATGGTGAAACTAGGATAAACCTCGCTGACGAGAACAGAATTTGTAGTCTCCAAAATGCAGTGGTTCCTGTAGGAACTGAAGCACTAGATTTGCCCAGATCAGTTTAATGAAAGATGAAATTGAGGTTGTCCAAGAACGTTGGAACTGGCAATGCATTGAGAATCCTGCACAGTATGATGTCTCCTCTTGATGTGTGTCCCTCCCCCCACTTCCTCATGTGCTGGCTTCAGTGCAGAGATCCTAATCCTCCCTCAGATGCCAGCTTCAAAGTAGAGATCTGATTTAAATATTGGTTTACTAACCGGGATCTTAAACCACAATCTGATCCAGTTTAGTAAGCCACCATTAAATCAGAGTTCCCTTTTTAGAATGTAATGGAGACCTCTGTTTAACACAAACTAGCATGTTTGTGTTAAAGCTGGGCAGGGTGGGGTAAGTGGGTGGGTGGGTTGAGGGGAGGAGAAGGGGAGCAGTGTGCAGGCCTGACAATTTCCAGCTTCCTCAACCATGTTCATGCCTGAACCAGCTCATTAGAACAGTGTTGGCCAAACTTGGGTCTCCAGCTGTTTTTGACTACAACTCCCTAGCTAACAGGACCAGTGGTCAGGGATGATGGGAATTGTAGTCCAAAAACAGCTGGAGACCCAAGTTTGGCCAACACTGCATTAGGATGAACAAAGGCATGGGCTCACAATCTTTTGTGGCCCAGGCACACATATGGAAATCTAAAACCGTCATAGACACTTCAAAATACCCATTTCACAGAAGAATAAATAAAATGGGGGAACAAGCTACTCCTCCCCAAGGCAAGCAAATGCACTTTAAAAAGAGGGGGAGCTGCAGGGGGCATTGACAAGCACCACGACAGGTGTCTGGGAGTGTAGTGACACCAATGGATACCACATTAGTGATACCAGAACTAAGGTTTGTTTGTTTTTTCTTAGTGCTCGGTGGGCATGTATTCTCTCTGGCTCCATATTACATTTAATGCCCCCTATTCAGCTAAATAGAATTCAAAACATACTGTACTGAACATTACTACCTTTTCTGCTGCCAGAAGCATCTCCCCTACCCCAGCCCAGCCTGGAATTGCTAAGTTAACTTTACCTCATGGGACATTATGATGCACACCAACATGTAGAATTCATCAAAGTTGACCTCCCCTTTGCCATCCCAGTCCAGTAGGTCAAACACCAGCATGATCTGAGCCTTGCTCAGGTCAGTTACATAGTGGAGAAAGTTGTAAAACTGCAGATCTGGGGGAAATCCACATAAAAATGTGTGTTTTAAATATGTCCTTAAATACATCCTTAATTACATATTCATCTCAGAATACAATGTGGTTTCCCCACAACAGAGCGACCAGGAGACCTCTTTTTACTGCCTTGTAAATCAGAGCATGCTCTTAATATTCAACTTTATCTACAAGAAAGGAGTAACCACTTTCCCAGGAAATGTAAGTTTAGGCAATCAGACTACAGGAGAAGGTGGTTGGTGCAGGTTGCCTCCATTACTTTAAGACTCAGTGAGAGCACCTGCTTGCAATAGATATGGCAGAGGGGCAGGGAAAGTTTAGGCCATATCTCATTGCTCAAGAGCAAAGCCAAAATGCACACAGTCTTGAGGCATGTGCAAAGTTCCAGTTATACTGAGCATCTTGGTAACACACTCCCTAGCAATAAATGTTCCCACAACATAGAAATCAGCTTCCCCCTTTGGATTGATTGACACAAAATGTTTGGCATGCATTAGTTGGAAAGAGACGTACCGTTTCATTTGCCTCGCGTAATCCTCAAAGTGTATGGGCAGTGCAATCTGAGGTCTGAAAGTGGTCGCAGAACTAGTACTGATGCTCATTAAAGAGCCATCAATTGAAGATGATTTTACTTGAACACACGTACTCATCATATTGTGCTTATATTCAAAGCATAAGTTAGGAGAGGCGATATTCAGAAAACACCCACTCCTACGTTTGCCCCAGGAATGGATTATGAGCAGATGAATTCTGAGCTCCAACACTGAGGAGCAGCTAGATGCAACAATGACACTTCAAATCACAGTATGCCAGCAGGAGGCTGAACCCTCCTGCAGCCATGCTTTGTCGCTCAAAATAGCTTTTTAATAAGCCATTTTTCTTCCAGTGTGGGTTTCTTCCGATTTTTAAAAAACTATAGTTTTTTTTAAAGAAAACCTGTATATTTTCAGCATATGGAAGGCAAAGGAAAGAATTCTGTTCTCCACAGCCACCTGCCCTACACTTAAATCTCCAAACCACACCCTGTCAAGTTATAGGAATTTATTGTCAGACCCAGTTCTGCATGTTGGGCTGCTGCTGTTAAACCTAGTTTTGCCCTCTGAATTCCAGATACTAGGGACAACAAAGGGAAAGTTTATGCCTCCACATTTTGTGTGTAAACTTCCCAAGGGTACCTTGCCCGCCCAGCAGTGCTAATAGTGTACCCTCCCAGATATTTGGTCCAGTCTGGGGTGGTTCTTTTTATAATCTGGCTTGTGGCCAAACCCCTTAAGAATGAAAGACCACAGGCTTCATTTCTGAAGACATCCTTCAGAGTTCATGCGCTCTGCTCTGATCCCCACCTCCCTCTTCCGATCAATTAGCGTGTGAAGTCCCTCTTTCTAGCTGATCTGAGGGGCAGCAACTGCTTGAAGGCAAAGTAAAATGATTCTGGGAGTTTCAGTTCACACCTTTGTGGCCTAACTTTAGCTGCTGTGTGAAACTTACCATTCAGAGAATTATTTTTGTGAACATCGAGCAGTTGAAAGTAGGACGCCAGTGCCCTTGCGTTTCTGACAGATAACAAGCAGTAGATTTTATCCAAACACAAAAAGTGCAGGAAGCATTTGGGTTTCAGCTTCATCTTGCCGACAATGAAAACCGTTCACCTGCGGAACGCTGGCAGGTATTCACGGCGACGCCTGCATCACAGTCAAAGAATTCCACCTTGGAACCAGAACACGAGGGTGAAAAGAGCAACCCTCCCCCCACTTCTACCGTGTTCAAAATGGGTGCTCTCTGCCATAAGGGACCCAGGGGTGATACATGACCAAAACTGGAAATGATCAAGTATTAATACTTTTGGAACAGTCCACAGAAAATGGGGGGGTTGGGGTTGTCACATTGAAATCAGTTGAATTAAGGCTGGGAGGGGGAAACGGGGGAGTCTCCAGACTACAACTCCCATAATCGCTGACCATTGGTGGTGGTAGGATGATTTGGAGTCCAATGGCTGAATGTGCTCCTGCTCCGTGGATTAAGCATTGATCTGTGCATTTTACCTTCCCTCAAATTGCAATCTTCAAGGTGAAGGTAAAAACAGAAAAGGGATAGGGGCAGAAAGTTTACTGCATAGGTTTGGGCTCCATAGCTTGTGTGCTCAGTAGGATGGTCAATTGAAAAAAGCAGACAGGGCTCATGCACCTTTAATAATCGGGTAGAAGGGCCAATTTCAGCATGTGTAACTAGCAAAGCAAGCAACACCTGCATCAATTCCTCCTCCACACAGCTCTTAAAGGTGCAGGAACCTCATTTTTTTCACCTGACCACCTCTGAGTCTTTTCCACAATCCTGATGTAAACTTTGCATGGACTGCCCTTTAGTATTGTAGACTTGGAAGGGTCTTCTTGTCTAAGGAAATGTCATGAGAACATCTTACATTTCCGGGTAACATCATCCTTTGTCCAGAGCCCTCTAGAGTGGTGTGTTAGCCCACAATGGCCCAGATAGGTCAGAGGAATTGAGAGAGAGTTGCTCAAGGCCACCCAGGGAGGTTTGAAGCTTAACAGTGATTTGAAAGTGGCTTTCTCACATTATCAGCTGCCTGCTCTCATTGCAGGGGCTAGGTGGGGTTGCCCCCTGTTGGTATCAGTCATTGTTAATCTTTCTACACGGGGCATCGTGAAGCTGTAACTCAGGGCATCACAACTTACTTGTTTTTGCAATTATTATTTTTTTTAAAAAATGTATATTTTGCTTTTCATCCCCGAAAAGGAAACACGAATTACAGCTAACAGCATACAAAAACCCACAACATCAATGTAAAACAAAGAATAGTAGCAACTTATAACCCGCCAAGCCGAACAGTCTACCTGCCACTTATGGCAGACTCTCAGGGCTTGGATCATTATTTGTGCTTTCTCCCTGGAGTTGCAAAAACAGGGTTCAGTATCTGACAGGCTACAATGCTTAGAAATCTGTCTTCTACAGAGTCAGACCTTTGGTCCATTTAGACCATACCATCTACTCAATACCAGGAGTGAGGAACCTCAGTCCTGTGGGTCAAATGCTGCTATCTAGGCCTTTCTTTCCTGTCATTGGTACTCTCCCCAGGCCATGGCCCTCAGTGGCCTCGCTTCACACCTCATTTCCCCCCCCCCCGAATTTTTTATTCATTTTATAACACTAACAAACAACACAAACAGAAAAAAACCAATACAAACAAATTATTGTCTTATTCTTATTTTTTCTAAACATTGTTAGGTGAGCTTCCCCAAGTCCCCCCTATCTGATTTTCATTTTACCTCATCTTTAGCAGTTTTTACATATATCATAATTTTTAACCATTTTTTTAATCACTTACTTATACCATTAAAATCTTTACATAATATCCCTTACAAATAATACTGTTTTAAAATACACTATCTTCTACTTCTAACCCTACAGCCTATATCCACATCCAAAGCTATTCTAAGATTTAAATATTAACATATTTTTTCAAATATTCTTTAAACTTCTTCCAGTCTTCTTCCACCGTCTCTTCTCTCTGGTCCCAGAGTCTCCCAGTCAGTTCGGCAAGTTCCATATAGTCCATCATCTTCATCTGCCATTCTTCGATAGTTGGTAAATCTTGTTTCTTTCAATTCTTCACTAGTAATATTCTTGCAGCTGTTGTGGCATACAGAAAAAAAGTAACATCCTTTTGGGGGATTTCACGCCCCACTATACCAAGTAAAAAGGCTTCTGGTTTCTTAATGTGTTTTTCAACACTTTTTTCAGTTCATTATAAAGCCTTTCCCAGAAGTCTTTTACCTTGGGGCACGTCCATCACATGTGGTAAAAGGTTCCTTCTTTTTCCTTACATTTCCAGCATTTATAAACATGAGTATGATACATTTTTGCTAGGCTTCACGCCTCATTGGGTGTTTTTTTGCCAGACACGAATGTGTCCTTTGACAATGCCTCTTGCTTAGGTGGATGGAGAATAGAGGAGGATGTATGAGCATGTGTAGAAACTGGCCCCTAGAAGGGTGCTCAGGAGTGAATGTGGCCCCTGGGTGGAAAAGCAGAACTCTGGGGTTTCAGACCAGGAGCTTTTCCCACCCCAGCTGGAGATGATTCAGTCTGGTGGGTCACAAGATGCACAGCCAAAATGGCAACTGGCAAAGCTAGTGAAGATTTACTACATAGCAAGTCCTGTCATTTCCAAATTCTGTAATTCCAAGCAGTTCCTCTAGATGTCCCTATTCATTTACATTTGTTAGTGTGTATGAGCAGCAGAAGTGGTCTGTTTCTGCCAAGACTACTGTACCAATCTAGTAGAATATTTGTTCAAGGTCCAATTAAGTCGAAGTATATGTTTCATTTAGTAGAACTGGTTCATGGATCTCAAAACAGGTTTATCTAACATTATCCTATCAGTCCAGCTGCCAGATAGTGTCTTTGCAAAACCCCATTGTGAGATGAGAGGTACTAAGCCAATGGCAGCCAAAGGGATGTGATACTCTAAGCCTCTGCGAGGTCATAGTGGAGTTGCAAGCTATGTGCCAGAGTAACAAAGGTCATCAGAGTAAATCAGGCAATCCTGAAGCTGGAAAGATCATACAGAGGCCTCAGAAACTACAGAAGTGAGCTTAGAAGAAGCCAAAAGAGAGAGAGCAGGGCCCTCAGAAGACAGGTTCAGCAAACGGCCATTGATTACAGCTGTAATTGGCTCATATTTGCTTGCTGTAACCCTGTCTAACTTACTCCTTGACATTTTTGCGAGGTAAATTTGGCATGACTTATAATAGGTCTGTGTGTGTTATGTTGTATGCAGCCCACTAAAGACATGCTATTCTGAATAATTTTATATTACAACCAGAGGTGGCCCGCCCTGGCCTGTTCTGCTACCTGGGGCAAAAAGGGAATTGCCGCCTCCTGCTCTCTCCCCACTGCTCCCGCCATGCCACGCCACCACCACTTCAACACCCCAGCTCCCACCAGGTTCGGCAAAAGCCAGGGGGTTCCACAAAGTGTTGCCGCTTGGCTCCTCTGCCTTGGGGTAAGAGGAGCACCGTGCACCATAACACCTCCATGTGGCCAGCAAGAGGGTGGCATTCTGGTGGTGACAGAAGCAGTGGAGTGAGCAGAGTGCCACCTCTTGCACTTCCGCTGCCTGAGGCAAGCGCTTCACCCAGCCTCATGGGTGGAGTGGCTTCAATTACAGTACAGTGGTACCTTGGGTTAAGAACTTAATTCGTTCTGGAGGACTGTTCTTAACCTGAAGCACCACTTTAGCTAATGGGGCATCCTGCTGCTGCTGCTGCCGCTGCCGCCACACAATTTCTGTTCTCATCCTGAAGCAAAGTTCTTAACCTGAGGTACTATTTCTGGGTTACTAGAGTCTGTAACCTGAAGCATCTGTAACCCGAGATACCACTGTATACTGAATTAGGTGACTAAGCCACTGCCACCAAACCATGGGTACTGGTGGTAATATTATTAATTCCACACAAATATTGGTTGTTTACAAAGACACGCATTCAAATACCACTTCTACCACCCTTCAGGAACGCAGTGGGGGGGGGTGTCTGTGTTTTTTTGCAACCCTAAAGCTAGTGTTACTAATCAATGCAGAGCTACAATTTACAAATCGTTATCTGAATAAGAGACTCTCTGCTCAAGAATGACATTTACAGCTCCACCATCTGAGCCAAGTCTGCTCAAAGGGAACTCCTGTTCCATTCAGTGGCGCTCCCTCCCAGGTAAGCGGAGTTGCTAGATCGCTTCTCGTAGTTCTTTTAGGACACTTTCCCCGACACGCACATTCTTAGCTCCCTTCCGACCATTTCCAAAGAGTGATTTTATTTTTAATCCTCCCGGGTTTCCCAGAGTTAGAAAGTGTGCCGGTGGCGCACGAGATAACATCCCGCTTTCAGCTTAAGCCTCCTCGCGGGGCGGACTGGAGCTCCGTTGCACGTCTTAGCCATGAAGCCACTGGAGCGCCAGCCGGGACCGCTCGCTTGCTCGCCGGGTGGCTTCCCTTCCTGGAGAGACCCCTCTTCTTCCCGATCCCCAGCAGGGGCAAAGGAATCGGAAACGGAAACTACAATTCCCTTGGCCCCTTGCGAGGGGTGTTTGCGAAGGAGGGACGCTGTGGAAGCGGCGGAGGGCTGCTTGGCCGAGCGGGGGGCGGGCTCACACGACCCACGGCTCCGGGGCGGGGCCAGGAAAGACACGCAAGTGGCGGCTCCGAGAGGAGGAGGCGGGGCGAGCGGAACGCGGAGGGCTCCCGGTGTGGCCAGGACGGGGCGGGGGCAGAGATGCGCGCCCAAGTCCCAGCAGGTGAAGCGGCGCTGCGAGGCCACTCCACGCGCTCGCCTTGAGCGCTCTCTTCCCCGGCCGGGCCGGAGGGGCCCCGGGGTGGTCGCTGCGGAGCGCCGGCTCCTGCGCTCTCCTGCGAGGGGGCGCGCCACGCGTGGCCGCGGAAGCGCAGAGAGAGGCAGCCGAGCAGGCTGAGCCGATCCTTTCGCTTTCCCAGCCGAGGCAACGGTGCGTCTGCCGGGCAGGAGTTGTTCTTGCGCGCTGCTCTCCAGAGCGGCTCTGGGTTCGAGAGCTGCCGCCCAACCAGCCGGTGCCTGCTGCCGCTCGCCGCTCGCGGACTAGCCGACCGCAACGCCTGCTAGCTCGGCGGACCCGTTTCCCTTCTGCCCTCTCGGTTTATGGTCGGACCATCGAGGGCCAGCCCGGGGCAGTGCCATGGCGTTCGCCAATTTCCGCCGCATCCTGCGCCTCTCTGCCTTCGAGAAGCGCCGATCCAAGGAGTATGAGCACGTTTGCCGGGACCTGGATCCCAACGAGGTGTGGGAGATCGTCGGAGAGCTGGGCGACGGCGCCTTCGGCAAAGTGTACAAGGTGAGCAAGAAGATGCGGTGGCGGGAGCGAGTTCGAGTTCGGCGCGCCTTGTAGGCGCGTGGAGTTTGCTTGGTGGGGTAAGGTAAAAAGGTAAATGAGCCGGCAACTTCACGAAACGAAGAAGGAAAGGCTGGCGCATGGGATCTCTCGAGTCTCTCTCGCGTTCACAATAACACATTGCAAACCGCGTTAGGTAGCAGTGTATGCGGTTCGGAGGGTGGCGAGCCGTGACACGAGACTGTTTCCTCAGAGGAGCTGAGAGTTCATTTTCACCAAAGTCACGTGGAGTTCTCCCCAAACACTTGGGGGTTTCGTTTCATACCTACAGGATAAGTTGTTATACTTCTGTTGCTGTACTCTGAGAAAGGAGGAGGGTAAATTATCTTGTAGCATGTCACTTTAACAAGTAACTCGTTCTCTTTGAAAAGTGCCTTTCCTTCTCTCCTTAATTGCTTCAACTCCTGTGTGAAGCTGGATTTGGGCATTCATAAATGTGAAACTTACCTGTATCCCGTGGTGTGAGTTAACTTTTGCATTGGGAACACACGTGGATAGATCAGAATGTTCACTGCTTTTCCCAATCCCCCTCTCCTGGCTTTTTAGTAGGTTGAGGAATCCTGCAAACCCCACAGCTGTGTGCATACATATTTTGTTTGGATAACTTTACTCCTTGTACACATGGCAAGTCCGTGCAAACCATCCTGGATAGAGAAATGTTGTTCCTTACCAGCGTGAATAATACAGTTCAGTGATTGAAAGGCATTAAGTATTGCAAGGAGAAATAGCCAGAGACCTGCTAGATCCAACCAAAGGCCTCTCTGGTCCGGCATAGGCCAGGCCACTGGCCAACCAGAAGCTGCAAGGGCCGGCCCTAAATACTTTGCTGCTTGAACCAGTTAAAGTTCTAAAGCACAGCCAAGTTATTCTGGCACTTAAGGTAGAAAGCTCCGCAACAATTTTCCTCTTCTCCAGCAGTAAAAGTACAATAAATATTAAACTAAATAACTTAATTTGATGCCCCACCATGGCACCAAAACACAGCTGGCCAATGATAGGGCCCGTGCCTGAGCAGGAGATGAATGCAGTTGCCCTTTTTTGCCGATTTCCCCCAGCAAGTAGTATTCATAGGCATGCCGCCTCTGGCCCTGGAAAGCGATCACAACTAGTAGCCTCCCATAGCTGCTGTCACATTCAAGTAGCCTGCAAAGCCTTGAGAGGAGGTTAAATCCTTCTTCCATTTGGTTAATAGCAAATTCTTACTGGGTTTCGTTTCATGTAGGAATGGTGTTGGGCAATGGGGGATGAAAGAAAATACTCCGCAAGAGAATTTTTAATTTATCCTTGCTTCTTATGAGAGTGACATTCACAGCAACAGGTGGGGATGGAGTGGGGGATCAAGTGTCCTCTTTCTATAAGTCCATGTAGTGGGAGTCCCCCCCCCCCCCTGCAGGAGCACATGTCTTGCCAGAAGTCTGTAAATCATATAGACTGTGTGTTCCTTCAGGGGAGATGTGGAGTAATCTTGGATTAAAGAGGTAGTGCAGATTTAGGGGTGCGCTGCATTTTGTTGTTCTATTCTCCCTGCCTCTGATCCAACACCTCTCTTTTAGATTGTAAGCTCCTCTGAGCAGAAACCCTAGAAGCTCAGCCCCAGTATGTTTCAGCAAGGCACATCAAGTTCCTGTTAGTAGGTATTTCTAGATGGATGCTTTGACAATACTGTTCATCAGTCTTCCCCAACCTGGCGACCTCTAGGTTTTAAGGTCTACAGCTGTTGTCAGCTGTAGAGGGCACCAGGTTGGGGATGATGGGAGACTGAGTTATAGTCAAAAACATCTGAAGAACTTCAGGTTGGGGAAGGCTGCTCTCTGCCACGTATCTCAGCTGAGTCAACTAATTGGGTCCAATTCATGATAATGGGCAGCTTTATTTATAAAATGTCAGGGAGATCGCTTGCTCTTCCAGATGTTGGTCTTAGTGCTTTATATTTACATATATAAAAATAGCTTCTTGTTCAGACCTCTTTCCTCCCCCGCCCCCTCTTCCCCCATTTGAGTGTCTTCAGGTGTTGAATCTAGAGCTGTCTTCAAATTTACCAGACAAATCCTTTTGGGGAGCCTGGATTGACTTGGCAAATCTTGTTAGTAATAGTGACTAGAAGCTAATGAGAGGCCAGCTGGGCTCATTTGCAGGGGGGATATGAATGCTGCTAGACTGAAGACAGATTTCTGGGGAACAAGGTTAGCAAGAGCCTGATTGGGGCTTGGGCAAGTAGAGGTGGTACTGTAAGGCGAGGCTAGTGATGGAGTCTGGCCAAGCGTTAGACTTTAGAGATGAAGAGAACTGGCTTGGATCCCTGCCCTTGGTGAGTGCAGTACAAATTGCTGAAATGGCTGGTGTAGTGCAGGGACCGCAGCTCCATTTTTGTGGAAGCAAGAATAAAAAATTGACCTGTTTTTCAGCAGTTGCAGCAGATAACACTGCCACAATTGCACAAGGCAGGCTTGGCCAACCTGATACCCAGCATGCTAATTGGGGCTGAGGTGAGTTGTAGTCCAAAACACCTGGAGGCCAGAAGGTTGGCTAAAGCTGGCTTAAGCAATATGCAAGGGTACTAGGCTTGAGGAGGGCTGATAATGGCTCATCTGACTGCACTTCAGTCTAGGTTCTTTGACAATTCTGTTGACTACACACAATAATGGCTGTCAAGAATCCATTGTGGTAAACTATTTAAACCATGTGATGCATGTGTGTTCCCACTACTCTGGAAGGCAAGAATTAGTGTGGCCATCCAAACCACAAGAGTAATGAACTGTCTTTCCTGTTACAATTCAGAAAAGCTTTGAACTTGTGTGTTTAGTAGAAGCAATGTAGATAGAGACTGCCACTGTCAGACCAAAATGCTGCTGCAAGTCTCTGGAAATCACTCATTTATGCCAGAAGCCTCTCCTGCTAAGAAAGTAAAATGAGACCTGCTGGATCAGGCCAGTATCTCATCTAGTCCAGCATCCTGTTCTCCAGCAGCTGATACTCAAAAGCATACTGGCTGCAACAGTGACGGTAGAACATAGCGCTCGGGGTTAGTAGCCATTGGATAGCCATATCCTCCATCAATTTGTCTAATCCTCCTTTAAAACCACCCAAGTTGGTGGCCACCACTGTCTCCTGTGGGAGCAAATGCCCACCTATCATAGGGGAGTTGCTCCATCCCAGTCGCCCTTTTCTGAACATTTCCCAACTCCGCAATATCTTTTTTGATGTGAGATGATCAGGACGGTACACAGTATTCCAAAGCAGTCGTATCATAAATTTGGATGGTGGCATTATGATGTGGATAATTTTATTTTCACCTAGTTGTCCCTGTTCTGTTTAAAAAAAAAAAAAAAAGACTGGATGGGGGAAGCACTGCACTCATCAATAAAAGAGAAAGAAACAGGGAATGGGAGAGGTACCCAGTCTGTGATACCAGCTGGAGGAATGTGTCACTCTGGGAATACTGTAGCTCACTGTTAAAAAGCATTTATTTGGAAATTAACATCCATTTAAATGGATCTTTTCAAGTGTGTCTAAAGGCCATGCTCTGGTTATTTCCCTGCATGAATTATCACAACTAACCCCCCAACAGCCTTCCTGACCCCCTTCCCTTTGTTCCGTGTATGTCTGCTGCCAAGACTGTCCATCTCCCCAGTAGTTGTGGGCTCTGGTCCACAAAAGCTTAACTTTTAAGACACCACAATCTTGTACAATTGGTTCAGTGGGGCTTGCTTCTTATAAATTGGCATAAGATTGTAGCTAAACCAACAGACATAGTTGCCTCCCTGGAATAATTCTGATTGAGTGCACCACTCCTCAACCCCATCATTGTACCATTCATACCCAACATGAATTTCTTCTCCTTACTTCATGGTCGTTTAAGCATGATTTCTCTTCATGGTCTTTTAAACATGATTTTTTCTTTGGGCAAGGGCTTCATTGTTCAAACAAAAACCCAGGGAATGAGCTCAGCTTCCACTCCTTTCTTTGTATTTGATCAGACTTTTCCATTTCCTCCACCTCCTTTCACTTCTTCCTTATACCCCCTTTCCTGTTTGCTTGTTTTTAAATCCAGCCAAAGTCAAGCAGAGCTCCAGTGGGCGAGAGATGCAGCACAATTGCCACTGCATGCTTACTCAGAAGTTGTCCCACTGCTTTCAGTGGGGCTTACCTCTCAGGAAAGTGCGGCTTTAGGCCTGTGCTTGGTTTTTCCCATTGAAATAGTGGAATTTAAGCATTTTGGAGGGCCAGATTATGCCCCCTTGCCGACATGGGCAGTCCTTGATGTATGAGTAGCTTCTTGTAAAAATTTTGGGTTGGAAGGGAATTTAATTGTGCAAAGATAAACAAATTTAAGGTGTAGTCCTATGCACACTTGCTTGGAAATAAGCCTCACTGAACACAGTTGGACTTAACTTCTGTGAGTAAGCATGCATGGGACTGTGCTGTAAGTAACATAAGATGGAAGACTTCCCTACCTCACTTCTTGTATAACTGAATGGGAAGAGGGCATGGCAAGCTTGGGTGCCCGTAGGCTCCAGAGTATGCCCGGTGATGTCACTGGTGCTGAGCCACAGCCCAGAGACCTTTGAGCCTGCACAAACAGGGCAGATTGGGCCTTCCCTGCCCTCCGAATGCCATGGCGAGGGTGGCAGCTTTGTTGTCAGATTATCAGCTTGGAATCCTTGACCAGAACCTCAAACTTCTTGTACATGCAGTTCTCTTAGTAGTTGATTGGGAGACGGGGTGAGGAGTACGTAAAACACTCCAACAGAGTGATGTTTAAATCTAAGAAAACTGAACTACATAGCATATAAGCAACATGCTGTATAAACATCCATTTTGTTTAAATGCAGTGTAATATAAACCATATATATTTCATAGTGGGACTCATGCAGCCTGGGTGGTGGATAGCTGCAGCAGCACTGGTCCCCTAAACTGAACTGTGGCCGAGAGAGTTTCAGGTATCATTCAGTTTCTCTGAACTGGCTTTCTATGAATTAATAACCAGCCTGTATTGAAAAGTCTTTGCTTCAGATCTCACCTCAACCAAGAATTGGGTAAACTGTTCTTTGCTCAGCCTCACCTGCGAATTTAGAGATAATCCTCCCTATTTTACAGAGTTGTTATTATGAACATGCATAGCATACAGTCATGGAGTGAATCCTGCTGGCTTCAGTGGGGCTTAGGATTGGACTGTAATTTGCACACGCAGCAGTCATCATATAGCACTTGTTTTTCAATAAATTTGAGGTGTACTGTATAACTTTGGTAACCCAAGACTGCATGATTGGCGGTGGTGTCATGGTTGAATCATGATTGTGTCAAACAATTTGAGGCTTCTTGGTCATCCGTTCTGGGTGATTTATTCACATCTTGTTGGCGTGTTAAGGATACTCTCCCTTGCTTGTGTTATGAAATGAAAATGAAAAGCTTGGGGGAGGGGGAATGGAATGTATTTTAAGAAGTGCCTATCAACACATATGTTTACTTTACATACAGTTTATATACCTCTCCATGAGACTTCCTCTCAGCCAGAACAGGGACTTCCTGGTTCATTTTAAAACACCAAGTGGAAGGCAGAGATTGGGCCAAGGTCACTCAGTAGTTCAGAAAGTGGTCTTTAGCAACCCTCACGCTCTCTTGAGGTCACTTGTTGATGCAGCTGCTGTGAAATAAATAATAATAATAATAATAATTAAAAAAAAAAAACAGGCTGCATGCAGGTGGGTAACTTTCCTGCTCTCCAGAGAGCAGTGGACAAGAAGACAAAGGAGCTGCCATAAGTGTCCCCCTTCTTTCAAGTGGGCATTCTAGCTCTAGCATCTTTCTCCATTCCCCATGGAGCAAAAGAACTATACAAATGTATCTGAACTCAGGAGAGGAAGGGGCGGGTGTATTGTGTAAGTCAGTTCCTCAACAGGGATAGGATGGCACACACTATGGTTGAGATGGCCTGATCTATGCTGAGAGAGGGGGGTAAAGTGGGCTTGAGAACCCTGAGAGAAACGGATAGTCCTCCAGGCATTGCTGGGCTGCTGCAACTCTCACCAACTCTGACCTAGTGACTGTTCTGCCTAGGGCTGATGGGAGTGCCAGCAACATATTCAGGGTCAAAGGTTGCCACCCTTGCACTGTATCCTGTTGGACCTTCTTGCACTGCCTCCAGATGATTCAGTAGGAGCAGCAAGGAGGGTCCAATCCTTTCCAGGCAGGGTGCAGGGGGCTCAGGTGCCTTTAGGCTCTGGTTCCCCCTGACAACCCATTGTACCAAGCCATAGACAGCTCTCAGCCAGTGTCTTGAACAACAATTATCCCAGTAAATCGGGAATAATGTTATGACATCCAGCAAATGGCTCAGTAATTACTGCGGTTTTCCCAGTTTAATTACCAATTTAACTAGGGTAAGTTTGGCTGTCCCCAAGGCATTCCTCATCATGTCCTCGTCATCATGTCCTGTGTCTGCCAGCAACGCACAGAAAATAATTGTTGGGTGCAAAACAACCTGACGAATAAGCACTCTGAATGTTTTACGTTGAGGAATTTGGGCTGCATGCAATGAGTTTATGGGAAAAATATATTGCCCTGTCTTTTTTTAAATGAGGCTTATCAGCTGCCTTTAAAATGTGTAACTTGCCTAGATTAGAACAAGTGTCTCTCACTTTGTCTTTCATCATCTTCCCCAACCCATGCATATGTTGAGGGGGAACTTGATAAGAAAACACATCTCCCATCTCAAATTGTGGAAACTGGGACAAAAGAAATGCTGCTTGTTGTTTAAGAAAAGGGAAGGGAAGTAAGGGGGGGCGTCAGTGGTGTGGTGGTTCAGTGCTGAGCACCATTGCAGTGTAGATTCATTTTAATGGGTATCTTTCTCAGCAAAACAATACTAATTTGATTGGTTTTCTGCAACAGATGTTACCGTGTCGGCACAATGCCCTTAAAAAGAAAAAGAAAAAACCTTTAAAATAATTTTATTTCTACACCATTGAAGCTTTGTTTAATACAGAATAAAGCAGACCTTTTGGTTAACTTGCATATACGCACGGGGATCAAAGGAACTATTGGCGTTACAGGTTGAAGCAGATACAGGGAGAGATTTTGCACGAGGCATTACTGACAGGTGCAGCACTTAGTGGAGAGCATAAGACTCTTAACTACTGAAACAAAGTGTGCTTAGCGTTTATGTTGATCCAGTCCAAAATCCATTCAAAGCAATTAGAAGCTCTGCTGAGGACTCTGGATCTTCCAGTTCTGTACATCTGAGCTTGCTAGGTATGAGAAGGTAATCCCTTGTAATTTGGAGAGTCTCTGAAGTCTGCAGGATGCAGACTTTCCATCTCTGTCTACTAAAAATGGCAGCCCATGGCCAAGTTCCTTCCTCTTCCTCCTTAACATCTTGCTCTGTGCCCTGTGTCAGGACTCCATTGTTCTCTGCCCTTTCTGTACCACCCCCACTGCCTCCACAATTCCCCATAAACAGCTGTCACTCGTGAGTGCAAAGAACTGCCCATCAAGAGACAAGAGTTGAACCTGACATGGGGATGCCATTTTTTGCCAGTGGCCCCGTCCCTCATTGGTATATATGTATATCAGTCTCCAATCTACAGCAGAAGGGATTGACGCTCCTTGCTGCTGCCAACATTTTGTTCTTCCTTTCCTCTGACAGTAAAAACAGATGCCCTGGAGCATCAAGAAGCTGAGCGTGACTCTCAGCGTTATGTGGGTGGGGCTTTGTTAGCTGTAAACCAGGCAAAGGAAAGGTATATTGTGTTATGGGTCATTTGAAATGCTTGACCAGCTTGTATGATGCACAGACCTATACCACAGTGCTGGATGCTCGAAGCAAAATAGCCCGAAGAAACTTTTTACACATGCAGGCTGAAGGTCAGCTTGCTAGAATGTTGTTGTACAACTGCAAATACTGGAGCAGGAAAGTTTATCTGCATTTTTGAGCGTGTCCCAAACCAGGGCTGCCCGCCTTGCTGAAACAGCAGGGATGCATCTGTGCCTCTTGTGAAATGCTATCGCTGTGTTCCAGAGGCTACTGATGAGAGCACCTACGCCCCTGATAACTCGACTGTGGCAGGATGTGTTTTGCTAGGGTGGCCTCTTGACACTGCCTGTTTCTGCAGCAAACAATGTACTGAAGTAACTTCCTGCTGAAAATGTGGTCTGGGTTTTTTTTGTTTTTGTAAAGTTCTCTGTTCTATTGGTGTTGCAATATACCCTAACTATAGCAATCCTCCGCTTTCCATTTCAAATAGCCATTTTCTTAAGTACACTGAAAATGTCTGTCTCCTTCTCCTCCATTCAGTGCAAAATCATCATTTTTTAAGGCTGCAATACTAACCGTGCTAACCTGGGAGTAAGCCCCAGTGAATTCAGTAGGACTGACTTCTGAGTAAATATAGGATCATAGAATTCTAGTGTCGGAAGGTACCAAGGGTCATCTAGTCCAACTCCCTGCAGTGCAGGAATCGCAGCTGAAGAATCTCTGATAGATGGCTATCCAACCTGTGATTAAAAATCTCCAGTGAAGGAGAGTCCACCACCGTGCAATATTGAACAGCTCTTACGATCAGCAAGTTCTTCCTAATGTTTAATTGGAATCTCCTTTCTTTAACTTGAATCCATTGGTTTGGGTCTTACCCTCTGGAGCAGGAGAAAACAAGCTTGCTTCATCTTCCACATGACCATGGGTAGGCAAACTAAGGCCCGGGGCCCGGAGCCAGCCCAATCGCCTTCTAAATCTGGCCCGCGGATGGTCCGGGAATCAGCGTGTTTTTACCTGAGTAGAATGTGTCCTTTTATTTAAAATACAACTCTGGGTTATTTGTGGGGCCTGCCTGGTGTTTTTACATGAGTAGAATGTGTGCTTTTATTTAAAATACAACTCTGGGATATTTGTGGGGCATAAGAATTTGTTCTGTCCCCCCCCCCCCGATATAGTCCGGGCCCCCCACAAGGTCTGAGGGACAGTGGACTGACACCCTGCCGAAAAAGTTTGCTGGCCCCTGCACATGACAGCCCTTTGAATATTGGAAGATAGCTATCATATCACCTCTCAGTCCTCTCCAGGCTAGACATACCCAGCTCCCTCAAGTGTTCCTCATAAGGCTTGGATTTCAGACCTTTGCTATCTTGGTTGCCCCCTCTGCACATGTTGATTAGGATTGTGCCATAATTCAAACATTTGAGGTGATTATTTTTAGAATCTAATGGCTGGGGAATTCCCTATACCTCCTCGAATGATCTGAACGCTGCAAATCCCCTTCTCTCCTTCCTCCCTCCTCCACCCCAATAATTTTGTCAGATGCAATGTTGTCATTTCCTAGCTGAATGAAATTTATTTTAACCCTACCCTAGTGCTACATTTCCTGGATTTCGAGTACGAATATATCTCTGGCAAATTCTGCATGTGCCAATTACAGTTCAGTGCTATTTTCCGCTAATGAATATATTTTTATGTTGTGAAATAAGTGACTTTCTTCCTGATTATGTGAGTGAGCTCTAGAGGCTCCCGCATAGCTCCAAAGCCCAGGAGCCAGCCTGCTTCATTTTGGATCAGAGCCACCTCTATTGTGAGGTGGTCCAAATATCTCCCAGGTGGGGATTATTGCCTCCACACCTCATCTGAGCTCTCAACCGGTTCACTAGAGGGCTGTTTGTGGTAGTTCCTTGACATTAATTTCCATACTGCAGACCTCTGCTGTAACTGCTGGACATCTCGGCCTTTTAATGCAGTGGCTTGCATTTGAAAGTGAGCAAAAATTGAGATTTCTGACATTTGTGGTAAAGGTTCAGCAAACTTCTCCAAAAGGAAAATGCCAGCATAGCACTGGTGGCGCTGAGATGCTTCAAATATTCCAGGGATTCCTGCGTGCATTATGTGAGACCTGAAACTCTTAGAGGGTAATGTTTGACTGAATTAAACAGAGTCTTTCTTGCATGGCATAGCTCTCAGTCTTGAACTTCATTCCTATTCTTTTGCCCACTTGAGGCCTTCTGGCCTTCACAATAAGACACAGAAACCCTGGGGCTTGCTGAACAGCTATGTAAGGCTAATGTGGATGAAATACTTATTGTCTTCAATTCGTGGGCTGTTCTCCCTGTCGGCTCCAGGCAAGGCGATAGGTATTTGCATCTCCTGTGTTTTGACTTGCCCTAGTTAGCTTTAAAGCAATTCTGATAAGCTCTTACACAAATGGTGTCATATAACAGGTGCTTTGTTCCATGGCTAGCATTCTCTGCTTCTGAAACATCCAGCTACAATGACTAGAGAAATAATAGTGCCACTCAGCACAGCCTTTCCAATTTTTGCTTTATTCATGTAGCTTCATGTTTGTAGCAATCCTATGTGGCCCATGTTGACTTTCTAATCTGCTTCAGACATTCTATCTGAAGGCCCTGAAATGCCACCTCCTTCCACAAAGCCATTGACTCTTTTTATGGGCGGGGGGTGGGGTGGGGGGAATACCTATATCTGAAAATGCACTGCACTTTTTAACTTTCCAATATCCCTCCCCCACCCACCCGCCTCAACCCTCTTCAATTTGGTTTTCATCCCATTCATTCAGCCAAAGCTGCACTTTGGTGGCAATCCAAACTCTTGGCATTTAGTGCTTAATAGAGCAGCATAGACACTGCCACAGTTCAGCCACTTGTGCTGGCAAGGGCAGAAGGGGTGGGTGGGGACAGGGCAAATAAACAACAACCCTTCTCTAGTCCAACTTCCAGCAGGGACAGATCAGTCTCAAAACGCCCCATTTCAGCCATTTCTGCTTGCCACCACCTGTGGGCATGCCATCAGCAATAGCTGCTGCCCACCCCCTGTTGGGGAGGCACATTAGGGCATCCCTTGCTGGTGGAGCTTCCCTCCAGCAGAACTAGGCAGGACAGGGTGAAGAGACATCTCTGTCCCATCCAAACCCCTGCTAGCACACGACCAGAAGTTTTCCTAAAAGCAGCCTGCTTAAAACTGAAGACTCATTGAGTTATCTGCAGCTTTCAATACCGCTGTTAATCCACACTCTTAACCTCTTAACCTCTCTCTTTTGTATTGGTTTTTATGCTACAATGCCTTCTTCAAAGAGCTCTTATCTTGCTTTTTTCCATTTAGTTTCTGTCATTAGCTTTGTTCTTCCATCACATAGTAGGTTTTCACAGACATTCCATAAATTGAGACCAATTGATAGCCTGTACTTCTCAGGGCAACTTACAACAAAATCACAATACGAAAACAATGGCAGAAATAATAGGTAAAGGTAAACATAGCCAGCAAAAACCTGTTGGAATGAAAATCTGGTACTGTCATTTTCACCTGATGGATTTTTAAATGTACCCATTACCACTTTTATTCAAACAATATCCATCTCTCCACTCTGTTGTCTTCTCCAGTTCTTCCTGACCTCTTTTACTGTCTCCCCCACCCGAGTGACAAAAACCTACCTAACTCAGTATAAATAAAAGCAGGTTTTTAAGCTACATGATTACAGAGCAACAGTATAGTATCTTCTTATACTCTGTTCGAGACAGTAAAATTGTGACTGCTTTCATACAACCACTAGATAATTATCCTTTCCTATATGCAGCTGAATACTAAATATTTGCTCAAATGCACTTTCAGCCAGCAAGCATACCCATCACTTCACCTCTGTGGTCGGTGGATTACTGAAATTGGGAAGAGGTCAGGGTTTCTGGCTGAAAGTTCCCATATAGCAGTGTGTCTGAAGCTCTGAACTGTTGTCCAAGTTTTATTTGGAATTGTGTTTGTAAATAGGACCGCTTTCCACTGCCGTGGTTCCCACCCTGGGACCCATTGAAGAAGGCCTGCTTTTGGGAGGGGGGCACTACCAGTTCACAGTAGAACTGTGGTGGAGAAGATTTCTCATAATTGGAGGAAGAGAAGTGGAAGAACTAATCTTGCCACAAGGACCTACTTAATCTGACACATTTCTGGCATGTTTGACAAAGAGTAAACAAAAACATAACCTCACTGTAGCATTGGCTGCCTAAACCCCATTCCCTTATACTGACTCATGCTGGCCGTGCAACCCTCTGCTCAGCAATGTGGTTCCAAAGAAGTCAGTTGCAATGAGTTGCTAGGAAACATCTAGCAAGTAGGGGAAATTGCCCTCTTGATCAAATATTCTTCCTCATCCCTACACCCCAAAACACCCACCACACACCCACACATACCCTTCTACAGGCCAGGTTTCCTCCTAAGAGGAGTGGGACACAGCTCAGTAGTAGAACACATGTTTTGCATGCTGAAGGATGCATGTTGAAGCGCAAGTCTCTGAACGTTTACATGGCGGTTCACTCCTGTACACAATTCCTCTTTCCCTTCCTCTGTTCTAGAATGGATTGCATTAAAAACAAACTAAGCATTCTCGCTACCTGTCACCATACAGCCTTGTGCCACTTCTCCAAGTCGGTGCACACAACATGGTGAGCCCAAACTATGGCTTAGAGAGAACATGTGTGCTCCCTGAGCAGTGCTTGTAACCCTTTGCTTCTCCCGGCTCCTTTCTACTGCTGTGTCACTCTGAGATAAGCCAAGGTTTGACTTAGCATGTCATCCAAGCTGAGACGTCGCTAGGCTCTTCCCTCACTACCCGTGAGCATATGCCTAGGCTAATGTACGTAGGATTGCAGCTTGAATGTTCCTCATGCTACAAAACTCCCTTCAGACAATGCATTGGAGAGAGAAGCAACCCTTATCCACAATTAGAACAGCATACTGGATCAGACCAATGGCCCATCTAGTCCAGCATCCTGATCTCACAGGTGCCAACTTGATGCTTGTGGGATCTGAGCACAAGAGCATTCTTTGCCTCCTGGGGTCTCCAGCAACTGGCATTTTGGAAGCATTGCTTCCTCTTTTTTGCAATAAGGGAGTTTGTTACATCTCTTTTGTGACTTTGACCTTCGAATGCTGTGGAGGAGCCAATCAGTGAACACTCCCAGACATTGCAGAGCATGCAGTGATAGGCTTCTCCCCTGCATTCTGAGGTGAAAGGCACGGAAGGGCTGTGCTGTGGGTTCCCCCACCCCTCAAAGGTACAGATTGACTAGAATGCCTTTGAAGTTCTTCACTGCCCCTCTTGGCAGCAGGTAAATTATTACCTATAGTTCTGAACTCCTTTCCAGGCTCTGAACATTCTTTGCACATTCTTTGGCTCATTCATGTGTAAGTATGATTCATTTCAGAGCTGTCAGCGGTTGACTTCATTATGTGGTGCTGTAATTGTTGCTAGCATTTTTAAAGATCTTACTCCATTATTTGGACTACACAGATAAAATGTGCTGGAACCCATTACTTCCAATGAATTTATCAACATGGCACAGGAGTAAAAGTTTGAGAGATGACACTTTATTCTTCCCCTTTTTTTTTTTTTTTTTTTGGAAGATGAAATTCTTGTTGAATCAATGCTGATCACAGCTTAGCTTCTGTTTTGTGGATGCTCTGAGGAAATGCCACTCCCTGTTCTCATCTAATAACCTCTTCCCAAACCACTTCTCTAAAACCTCCATAATGAGTTATTATTAAGAATGTGCACCCTTGCTTTGAACTCATCTATCTTGTTTGGTATGCATGTGTGCCTATATCTCTTTATGTATATACTGGCAAAGTCAGTCACCTCTCCTGGATTGTTTACATGCAGTGGTATATATGAGCATAGCCATCCCTTGGAAAGTAATGGTGTGTATTCCAGAATGTGGTGAAAAATGGGGCCATGCATTTTAAATAAATAGTTACCTCTTAAGTTACCACCTAATTTAAGTGTTTCCCTCTATATATTCAGTTGAATGTTGAGGCTTCTTGGTTACTGGTTGCTGTAGTGTAATGTACTGCAAGGTAAACATGTTCATTGTTGGGATACTCTAACATGGCACCAATTTCAAACTGTCTTATGATCTGGCTGTAGGGTCACACTGAGGTAATCAGAAAGCAATTAACCATCTTGGTGTCCTCCTGTGATAATCTGAAGGATCAATTACTTGATGTATTGTGAGCAGGGGCATGTAGCGTGCAAAGATTTGTTCCTTCCAAAGAAAACTGGTTTGGTTTGGTGCTTCATATTGACAGCTTGCTTTGGTTAGGATCCCTAACTTCCCTCATTGCAGAGTCTCTGGTTCTATAGGCACTCCCATTTAACAATTACTTCTCTGGCATGTCTTGTTTTGCTTGTATGTGTTAACAGAAGGTCTTTCAAGGCCTCTGTGGGAGCATTGCTTGGAACATGAGCATTTCTGGCGTGCATTGGGGCATGGAATCCATCTTAGAAACAAACCTTTTAAATGGATTTGCCACTCTCTGGACCCCACAATATGTTCTGTGGTGATTCTGAATTGCAGGGGTGACGTGGGGGAATCTATTTTGATCTTTGACCTGGAACCTTGTGCAATTTAGTATCAGTACTTCTGCATTCTTCAAAATGCTTTCTTGCTTTACTGGAACCTAGAGAAGCTTTCACCTTGGGCAATTCTGAGGCGGAGGCATAGTGGTGGATTGCAGTTTCTTCATCTTCTCAACACCCCCCCCCCGGCAAAAAAAATAATGGACAGTTTCTATTCCTTATTTGTATACTGAACAGTAGCATATGCTCTACCACCAAAATATCATTTCAGGAGCACGGTATCCTCTCATGTGCTAGGAGAATAACAGGATAATAGCTGCCATTTCTCTCCAGGACTAAATCCTAAACAGTGTCCTCTTAATCAGCAGAACTTGATGTTTAGATTCACATGCATTGTTTGCAGTTCAGTGAATTATTTCTAAATATTATTTTTCACTCTGGCTCTTTTTATTTTTTTGGTCATTAGTCTTCCAAATTCTGCTGGGTGAGCTCATTGCTTTGTACCACAGAGAGCTGTGCTTCAGGGTTTTGAATCTTTAAACTCTGAAAAGTGGTCCCCTACAAGCAAAACAGCTTGGCTGCCACACTGTAGTCATGACTATGTTATCTAATGCTATGCACCTTTTCACAGAATAATCCTTTTAACCTGATAAATGCACACTTGTTGTAGAGGGTGTCTGAATGTACTCCAAGAAAAGCTCCCTTGCCCTGAAATCATTTCCCCTGCTTAAAATGTAAATTGAAATTTTCAGGAGTATGTGTGGACTTCCTTTGAATTAATCAGATGAGATGATCTGAAAGGCAGCAGCTGCTGTTGGCCCAAACTCCGAAGGAGATCATCATTTCATTCCTTTACTCTCAATGAAACACAGTGGCTGACTGCTGAACTTGACCGAACCCTTTTTTTCCAAATGGGAATGTAATTTACAGAAAGACAAGTGTTATGTTCAGAGCAATCAATTTGGCTGGGAATTTCCAGGTTTTAAAAAAGTCAGCTGCACCCCCAAAGGAATGCAGCATGTAAATGTGACCTATGAAACAATTCACAAATCTGACCATTGATAAACAACCATCCGCCATTGCCTCGTGAACAACAAAGTAACACTTTATAAAGCTCAAAAAAGCAACATTCTGATTGCCACACATTAATCAAGACATGCTATGTGACCCAGAACAACCAAACTCATGGCAATAGAAGGAAATGGTCATTTTAGACCCATGGTGATTAAAAACAAAACAGAACCATGAGGAGCAGCCCTTCTAAGAAGTGAAGCTACTATTGCCACTGTTACTACATGCACAATGTTTGCAGCATGGATCAGTAACCAATTGTGAGCCACAGTGTCATTGTGCATCGTGTCCATAAAAGGAAAGGAGGCATTATACACTTGTCTAGATAATGCAGAGCCATTCCTTGCCACTCCACAATAATCCTTAAGCAAGGAGTAAGAGAGTGTGCTTGTATCGCTGAAAGGGAGAATGCAGCCAATTATCAACCAATAAAGATCTCTTGGGACCAGATTATGGTGTCTCCTCCCAGCAAATACTTGCAGATGGCTCTCATAACTAACAACCAAATTCCGAACTGAACTAAAGATAGTGTTCCTAGAACAAGAGTGAGTGTGTGGGGCCGTGGCCTAAAAAGACTAATATGATTTTCGTTGGCATCAACAGAAGCAAAGGAAAGAATGCAACATTGCAGTCTTCCAGTCGGTCCATCAGCCATCCATCTAGGGATGCTATAGCAGTGGCTTTTCTGTAGTGACAGGTGGTTGGACAACTTGCCTCTTGAGATCCCTTCCAACTCTGATTCTCCGACAGCCTATGATATGCAGTCTTGATGAGGCAATGCAGTTCCATGAGCCTGTGGCATTCTGTGATGTTTTATTTCTCCTTTGATACAGAGTGCTCCCTGGCTCTACCAGGACAAAGAATATTTACATACTTGTGGGGAGGAATCACTAAGTAAGTATTATTTGTGCACCCTGCAGTGCCTTGTTAATCCTGAACATTTTGCTTATTTACTTCTATTTTTATCCTTGTACACAGAAGGCTGTGTGCTTTCCATCTCTGGTACTTAGAACACACGCACACGCACACACAGTGCTTTAGGTGCTCAGGATCACCTAAAGTTATCAACATTACCTAGTAGCAACATACCGTATTTTTCGTCCTATAGGACGCACTTTTTCCCCTCCAAAAATGAAGGCGAAATCTGTGTGCGTCCTATGGGGCGAATACAGGCTTTCGCTGAAGCTTGGAGAGCGAGAGGGGCCGGTGCACACCGACCCCTCTCGCTCTCCAGGCTTCAGGAAGCTATCAGCAAGCCTGGGGAGCCCGCGGGAGTTCCTGCAGGGCTCCCTAGGCTGCGGATAGCAGCCTGCTGCACGGAGCGCGGGGCGCGCTGAAGCAGAGCGCCCCGCGCTTCGGGCAGACATCGGCCAGCCCCACAAGCTCGGGGGACAGCGGGGAGGCGCAGCGCCGCCATCCCGCTGTTCTCCGACCTGGTTTGGTTTCCCCGACCTGATTTTGGGAGGGAAATAAAGGGGGAAATTTTTTCCTTTATTTCCCCCCCAAAAAACTAGGTGCGTCCTATGGGACGAAAAATACGGTAAGTAGGGAACAAGCATTCACTGTCCCAGTAAGTGCTGCTTCAATGTGGTAGGCGCTCTTGCAACCATGGAAGAGATTCCACTCTTGCTTTTACAGTCTTGTGCTGCTAGCAGCTAGTATGCACACACACTGATTTTTAGAAGATCAGTTCAGATTTAAATATTCATTCATATGAAAGCTGACCGTATGTTGGACTGCTTGCACTGTTTTCTTAAAATGGAACTGCTGTGGTTCATAATCCAGCTGGCTTTGGGCAGCTTATATTTCTGGCACACGGGCACTCACCTGCTGAGTTCTCAGTATGATTTTAGGTCTTTGAACATTACTGATTTCTTTTTTAAAAAAAATCCTTTGAAGGGAGTTTTGCTGTCTGAAGGGGAGGGAGAAAGGGAAGGTGCTTAATCTTCCAATCTGAATGTCAGCATTTTTCCTGGCTGGTTGTTCACAATAGGCATGAAGCAAAGAAAGGGCTTCTGTATAAATCACTCCTTTATTTTTAACATTGGGGAACACTATGGAGGCATTTTTTGGTGTCAGTCAGGCAAAACTCCTTTTTAAAACTAGTAAGAGAGGTTTTAAGTCGTCCAAAATACCACTGGATAACCGGTTTAGTCACAATGGCCACTTTTTTCTTCTCTGCCCATTTAAAGCTCTTCAGGCAACTTGTGTCTCCACTTCACAACAAAATGTTCTAGAAGGCGCTATTTAGTAAAACATTTAATGGTGTCACAAAACCCAAAAAACAATAGACATTTCCATGGTACTGGCACAACTCATTTCCATACCCACCCGCTGATAAATTACAGTGGTACCTCAGGTTAAGTACTTAATTCGTTCTGGAGGTCCGTTCTTAATCTGAAACTGTTCTTAACCTGAAGCACCACTTTAGCTAATGGAGCCTCCTGCTGCTGCCGCGCCACTGGAGCACGATTTCTGTTCTCATCCTGAAGCAAAGTTCTTAACCTGAAGCACTATTTCGGGATTAGCAGAGTCTGTAACCTGTAGTGTCTGTAACCTGAGGTACCACTGTATTTTATTACCTGCTTTTTGCCCACCCGCTAATAAATTACTCCTGGACTGATCCGTTTGGGAAGTGATACAGGACTATCCGAAGATTTCACCAGTTTGTGTTTTTTCCCTTTCTCTTTCCTAGCTATGCTTTAAGGTCAAGTGTTCTTTGTATTAGGAGGCTGCCAGCACAGGACCAGTGAAGAGCTGCAAGTGTGATACTCTGCCTGGTCTTCTGCCCCTACTAAGCCTCTGAGGAAGCTTTTCATTACAATATTTTATATTTAAATCATCTCTGAATTATTTCAAACTAGAAACAAAACAAAAAAACCCACAACAAATCTGATTCACTTAATAGTGAATACGCAGGTATTGCACATTGTGTGTGTGTCTCCGTGTTAACACCTGGGACAGGAGCCCGTATCGACCCTTTCTACGTCAAAGGCCTTGGGTTCTGCCCCCCTCTCTCTTGACCATATTTTCTTTTCCCTCCCACTCTGTCATCCATGATTTGTGAGCCCTGTTTGGAATGTGGCTTTATTGGATAATGTGCAAGAGGTCATCGATAAATGACCCAGCTTCTTTCACCATTCGCCTCTACCACTTTTATGTGTGCCTCTTGCGTTTTATATTTATTGCAGCTATCTTCCTCCAGCAATGCTATCTTCAAATCTCCCCTCTTCCCTTCGTTAAGAAATAAAGATACTGTGCTGCTGGCTCTGGATTGGAAGCAACAAACGTTTAGCATTGACCAAAAAAAATTGCTTGGGAGAATTTTGCAGGTTGGAATGCTGTGGGTCACTTGAATATGTGACCACTCTAAACTTAGTTATGTGAGTGGCTCAGATGCTTTTGTTTATTTATGCTAGGTGTGGATCCAAGCTATGGGTGTCCCAAATGAGAAAATAAGTTCTAGAGAGATTCTCCCCACCCCAACCAAAGATCACGAATGTGGCACATCCAGGAGATCAATTCTACCAGAGGGCAATCCAAGTGACCTCCCTATTCACCATCCTCCCTTTTCTCTTGTTTCATGATATCAGCCTTCCGCTGGGTGGTCATAAGAGCAGCATCACTGTTGTCCTACAAGGCAGCAGAGTGTTCTAAATACAGGCTTGTTCCCCCCAGTCATTGTTTCGCTTCCTCTGAAATGAAAACAGCTAGGCTGGCTCTGGCTGCTGGCTCAAAAGGTTCCTCTGGCTCCAGGCTGGCTTCCGGTGAACTGTGATTTTGCAAGTTCCTCTAGTAGCAGGCAGTGCTTCATCATCTCTTCTGCCTCGTTTGTTTTGCAGCAGGGGGTGGGGGTTCCCCTCTTTTTGATAGTGTTTGGGGTTTATTTCTCATCCCCTTCCCCAGTCCATGTGGAATCCAGACCTTTATGCTCTTCTGCACAGATGCCAAAATGCTGCTTTTAATAATGCTTTTAACTGTAATGCATTTATGTGTGTTTTCATTAATATTGGCTTCTTCATGCACACCTCCCCTAATAGGTACATTTCTGTACACCTTTTCTTAGGTGCAGAACTGCACTGCAGAATTCAAAGAGGTGTGCATTTTGAAGGATAGCTGCCTTTTGGTTTGCGTATTGTTTCCAGAAGTGTTAATTAAGTAGATTCATATTCAAAACCCAAACCAAACCAGATTTCTCCCTCATCTGTAATCCGTGTGTATGTGTAGGCTTAGCTGCAGCAGTGCCTTTAGATGACCACCAACTTGGATGGCTTGAAAAGAGAGTTAGACAGATTCGTGGAGAAGGCAGCTATCAAAGGCTAATAGCTGCAATGGCTCTGCTCTGTCTCCACAGTCAGAGAGGCAGGAATGCTTCTGAATACCAGTTGCTGGAAACCTCATGTCCAGCTTGCAGGCTTCCCACAGACACCTGTTTTTGTTCTGTCCAGTGCAGCTATCGCACAGCATAGGCTTCCTTTCCCACACACCTCAAGTGTGAGTCCAGAGCTGGAGGAATTTGCTACGCTGCGGACGCCTTCCAAGAAGCTTAATTGAAAAGGAAGCTTCTTCTAGTAGCTCTCCTCTAAAAACAAGCTGTGTAAACCACGGAAGGAAAGGCAGGGCTCTTGCAAGGGGCTTGCAGTTCCTCACAAGTGAAACCTCTGTTAATAACAGTCGGCTCTTGAATTCTAGCAGCGGTCCTGAGAGGAATGGGTGGTGCCTGCATTTCTCTTCAGCAGTTTGTGGTGAAATGCCCCACCCTCACAAGCAGGCCTAATGCTCCGCCTCATAACTGTTTGCATCCACTATCTGATCATCATCTTCATCATTATCCATGGCTCTTGCAGCAAACTCATTCTCCAAGTGTGTAGATCTTTATGGATCCAAGGCAGCACCACCCACACAGCAGAGGGAAGTATCAGCAGGCTAAGCTGGAAGGGGAATTCCATGTTTGGAAGATAAACACAAACCTTTGGGTGGGTGGAAAGGGAAATTGGGGGACTTGTTTGCAGGGTATGGATGGGGTGGAAAACTGGGAGGCAGGGAAAATGAAATGGAGTGTTGTGGTGTGGCTGGCTAGCTGGAATCCTGTACAGGAGCACTCCACACGACAACATTTTGTTGCAGGTATGAAGAACCTGGGGGTGGGGAGGCTTTCTGCTACTGGCAGTTTCCCTTTTCGTAAGGGTCCTCCCCCCTCCAAGAAAAAAAATATGATTGACTGCTCAGACTGAGCCTGCTGACAAACCCTAGGCCAGTCCAAGGCCCATATTATCTTCTGGGCGACCTTCCGAGGACCAAGGCCCAGGGGTGGGCGGGACCAGAGGCAAAAGTGGGCGGAGTGACAAACATAAAATGTTACCTTCATACAGAAAGGTAGTTTTTACACACAGTCATCTATGCCTCCATCCAGACGAGCAAGAAGTATCTGAGTTCAAGGACACAATTCTGCCAGGCAAAAATACTTGGTGTTTGAAGCAGGGCTGGTGAGGTGTATGGCCTGAGGAGAGGGATCCTGACTGTGGGGAAATACCAAGGGCCACATTTGGCCCCTGGTCCTGAGGTTCTCTTCCCCTGCCCTAGACTGTCAAGCAGCTTGTGGGGTTTCTAAGTCCTATAGAGTAAAGTTCTTCTGTCCAGCCCAATTCTTGTGAGGATAAAGAAGAAAAGTTATTTAATTTTACTGTACCGGAGGGCTCCAAATTGTACTGAACCTTGTGGACTCTCCTTGGAAAGACAAGGGCTAGCTTAAGAACGATTAGGTCTTAGCACATGAGGATTCCAGAAAGAACTTCCAGAGAGAGAACTTTTTAATCAATTAAACCAAATGTTAACATATATGAAGAAAGCTTATTTGGAGGGGAGGGGGACTAGGAAGGGGAAAGGAAGGCATAATTGTTTTCACTTAGCTTGTTACCTTCTAGGTGCTTGAGTAAAGTCTTGGGTTTCAGAGAATGTGCAGAGTTCAAGACAAAATTGCCTGAGAAAACATCCATTTCTTGTAATGGGTCTCCTGATCAGCATAATTCTGAAGGAGACAGGGAAATGCCTCGTATTTTGGGGGGGAATTTGAGACCAGTGAAAGCTGAGCTCTTTCATTAGATGAAGTATCATGTGTAGCAGTGACAAAGGAAAACCTGTCTCTTGACGCAAGTGGTCAAAGTAGCCAGTCAGGAATTCACTTAGAGCTCATTTCCACCTTCCTGTGCTTCTGAACTCCCATTGCAGAAGAACTTGCCAGTGGTCACGACTGTTAATAAAGGGTTAAATTGGGAAAGTGTATTGGAAATAAAAGTCAGCATATTGGCCTCTTCAGAACTTCTCCACAGGGGTTCCAAGTCACAAATCCTATAGGTGGCGCTGTTTGGTCTACATCAAATTCTAGGGGTTCATCACACGGGTCTCACATCTTCAAATATTGATGCTTCTGGATTGTGTGGGTTTTTTGGATGACTGAGTGTCAGTCACTGGCAGGGATGTAAAAGTCTGAGGTCCTCTGATTTTTAATAAAGCCCAATAAGAAAGGACCCCAGAAAAGAATTCCAGCAACAGGCTGCAGTTTTTCCTGCAGTGGCTGAGCAGTGACCCTTCTATTTCAAGTTCTAAACGGAAAAGCGGGCATATTTACAAGTGCTTCTCATCCTGCTTTTTTCCTGGTGTTCATGACACTTCTGTAAAGAGCCATATAAGAAGGATGGAAGAAGAAGGAGAGGGGAATAGGCCATATCTCTTTCTCCTGGAAAGAAACAGGACTGTGCAAATAATGTGCATGCAACACCCAGCAAAGGCACTTTCTCAGCACCAGTCTCCAAAATGTCGTCATCCAGACCGTGCTGGCTTTTACCTCAGAATCGCAGCTGTGTTACCACCGTCAATAGGATGTGCCTGACTCAAGCACACCTTGAGTGTTTATGTTGGGAACTAATCCCTTTGTAAACTCTCCACAGGCTTTCTAAACAGAGACCTAAAAAGAGAAAGCAATAATGTAGATAAAAACTGGCCTCAGTGTTCCTCTAGTAGAAACATAACACACACACATGCCATCTGATGAGTGCCTTGTGCAAGATTCTGCCTGGAAGGTCCTGTCTATGCAGAGACAAAGTTTTATATGCCCCTCCATCTGGAGAATTTATTGTGTACCGAGTACTAGATAGTGATCTGGAGTGTATGGTACTGCCCTGTATTTACACAGATTGGTTACCTAATAAGGCTACTACTAATTTTAGCTGTTGATCTGGGGTGGTGAGAGAGAGAGGGAGAATATGCCTTTATTTTCCTTCGGAAAGCTTGTGCTAAATATCCCAGGTCTGGCAAACCCTGCTTATAGTCATTCTCTTGCCTGTGGTCGCCTCTGCATTGTGTAAAGAAGAGTTGGCAGGTGGGCAAAGACCGCTGACCTAACATACGATGAGCTGGGAGTTCAGAGAATTCCACCAGCAGATTTCTGAAGCTCCACCACCTGGGGCTGCGACATATGCAATTGCCATTCCTCAGTGGATGAAGAGCTGCTAAGGCTTTAAAGGACTTGGTGGAACTTGACTGGCTTATGGCGCCAGACAACTGTATTCAGGCCAGAACTGAAGTTGAATCTGCTTACATTGCTGTCAAACCAGGGTGCTAGTAGTTCAGGGTGCTGGTAGTTCAGACCTACCTGTTGGGGGCCTGGGTTTGAGCCTACCTGCCCCCATTTCTAGTTGCCTTTCCTTCAGCATTTTGTCTGAAGTTGTGCATATTTGAGTGGGGATGGTTTAGAATTTTATTGTTTTAATGCTTCACCTTATATTGGGTAGCATCCATATTCATTATTTCATTTTAACATGTTGATTAGACTATTAGTACATCGTTTTAATTGGCACATAACTCTTAACACCCACAAATTATATCACAAATTACACTGCCAGCTGTAAAGAAATAGCACCCTGTACAGGGTTCACAGTTGTGCAACTGCTGTGCCAGTAGCCTGGTTCTCATGTAACACTAAACCATGGTTTAGTGCTGTGTGCATGAGTTGGAGTTAACATGAGCAAAGATTCATGTTTGTATGTGTTCCCATCTTCTCTTTCCACATGGCCAGGAGGAAGACTTCTGCGGAGCTGTGTTTTGCTTTGCTTTTATCTTGGCTTTTCTTGTTGTGTGAAACAAACACTGTCAGATTTCTACTCAACCAAACATCATAGAATCATAGGTTCATAGAATTGCAGAGTTGGAAGGGACCACAAGGGTCATATAGTCCAACCCCCTGCAATGCAGGAATCTTTTGCCCAATGTGGGGCTTGAACCCACAACCCTGCAATTAAAAGTCTCCTGCTCTACTGACTGAGCTATCCATCAGTATACCTGGTCAAAACCATGATCTCTGCCTCATGCTACATAAGAACCTGAGATTAAGAGAGAGGAAAAGTAACCTCTGCACAAGTCCCTCTCCTGGCTCATAGGAGGAGAGATCTGTGTGTATAAGCCCATTGCTTTGCTCATGCACTTGGTTGAAAACCATGGTTTGGTATCAGGTGTGAACATGGTCACTATCTTTTTGCTGTTGGCAATACTTTCTTACACTGTTTCCTTTACTTTTATGATACAGGCCAAAAACAGAGAGACGGGTGCCTTAGCTGCTGCCAAAGTCATTGAGACCAAGAGTGAAGATGAGCTGGAGGACTACACGGTGGAGATTGAGATCCTTGCAACTTGTGACCACCCTTACATTGTAAAGCTGCTAGGAGCCTTTTATCATGACAGCAAACTATGGGTAAGATTAATACACTGCTCTCTTCTCTTTCAGGTCAAAATAGCCTCCGAATGATGCTAGGAACTTGTGAGCAGTTCTTGGGCTTAACATGATGTCAGGGATGAGCAGGGGGATTGGGAGAGGCAGGTGACAGGGAGGATGATCCAGGGGGAGGGGCCAGTGATTTGTGGGGCTCTGTGCTGCCCGTGAGGGGCTGCCAGGGATGGAGGTAGAGGGGAGTCAAGGGAAAGTGACTGGACAGTCAGAGACAGGGAGGCAATGGGAAAAGAGCTGGCAGGTGGGTCTCAGAAGTTGAAGAGCCTTAGGAATCCCCTCCATGCTCAAGGAGGGACTTGAAGCAATGGGACCAGCTGGATCTACCTGCCAGGAGAAGCCATCAGGTGCTTGTGTGCCCTGCGTCAAACCAGGGGGTTTAAGAAAGTAGGAATTGGCATGGCTACACTGTTGCTCCAATTGTCTGTGATGGAGCACAGGTCTGCAGAGGCCACAAATTCTTAATCCCTCAAACTAAGGGCCAAAAGCCCAGATGAAAAGGAAAGGATTCGCCTGGTGCATAAAACTAGACAAAGAGGGTATCAGGTGAGCCTTCCTAGGGAGAACATTCCCAAAGTAAGGAGCCACCACTAAAAAGGCTCATTCTCATGTTACCACCCTCCAGATGACCTGTGGAGGGGGCAAGTGGAGAAAGGCCTTAGATGGTGATTGCAGGGTCCAGGTGAGTTCATGTGAGGAAAAGCTTTCAAACTTCGGTGGGGAGGAGTTTGTCTTCAGGTATATGACCATTTTCTAGAGCCAGTATGAAAGGACAGTATGTTATGCATTTCCTCTTGCAAAGACAGCAGAAATTATTCAGAGCTTTTCTTTAGAGGGTGTGTGTATTAAAAGCATAATGATGATTGTTTAAAATATTGGCTCTAAGACCTGGAGAGAACCTTTTCCAAAACATTCCTGGCTTTACGATATGGAAATCAAAAGAGATGCATAAAGAAAATGGACCTTGTCCAATCAGAATATATGTAAGTGGAAGAAATTACCCAAGTTCACCTAATTATTAGTGAAAAGATAGTCGGTGGGTATGGGCAGGAGGTTGCACATTGGGGCTTTTTGGAAGGAAGTATTTAAGCAACGCGATTGGAGAGGGCTACAGGAACAAGGAGGGGAATGACTCACATGGTAGCCTCTCTCCCCAGCTGCCTAGAACGTTGATTCTAATCACATTTTCTTGGAAGGAGACACACTTGCTTAAAGATATGCAATCGCTGTATTCAGCCTTTTCTAGAAAGCCGTAAAAGATCTAGGTCTTTTTTTGTGTGTGTGATTGGCATGCTGAACTGGTAAGTTGCATAAAAAATGGCTCAAAGGGGATGTTGTGGGTGGAACAGGTAGCATCTTGCCCGCTCCTGCTTTATTCATTGTGGTGGACTATCACTCCTGATACAGGAACAGCTATGAACAATGGCTTCCACGTTTCAAATAAGACGTTAGCAGTTGGGGGGCTTTGCTCAGTTTTGCAATAGAAAATGCATCTGACTCCCACTTGCAAGCTGTTGCAGTTTTTGGCTCCTATATTTATTCTTCAGACCTTTTTCTCTTGCATGATGGCTTTTTCATGCACAACCCTAAAATGCTTTTCAGTCTCTCTTCCATTTGTCTGTGCGTGTGGGTGCTGTTTATAATGAGGTTCAAATCAGGAAAGAACCATTTTAGTGCATATTCTAGACCACACAGATTTTATGGTCATGTTTACAGGCCGAAGAGAGTTTCCTTCACTCTTTCCTGCAGATTTGTAACGGTGAGAGTAAAATGTGTACCGTATTTATCAAGTGAAGTGTGCTTTCTTTTCAAGAGCATTAGAAAAAAGCTAATATCCAGTTTTCTTTAAAATATGTACATGATTTAGTTTGATTCTCTTAACCAAATCATGCCCAGGTTTCTGTCACTCACAACGGTAGATTCAATTCCCTTCTGGTGTCTGAATTCCTGTCGTCTTGTTCCCCCTCCACACACTGAGCTGGTTTGCAAGACACGGTAATACAAAATACGCCTTCGCAAAGCCGCCTGAACGTTCCAGTTTACAGGTAACAGCTCATATCCACTTTCACTCCTCTCTGTTCCTTTTGACTGCTGTGCTGAGCTGAGCCAAGAACAAACCATGGTTACAGCTTGTGGTAAGTTAAAAGAATGCTTCACTGAGAGTTGGGCTGACATGGTAAGCCAAACCTAAGCCAAAGCTTAGCTCAGAATGGTGCAGCAGTAAAAATTACGAGAGAGGAGCAAAGTGGCTATGAGCATGATCTTGCGAAGCCAAGGATTGGCTTATATATCATGCCGATGGGGCTCATTTGATCAACATGTGGAAGGTTGCAGGATTGCGGCAGGTGACTCCGCTGCCCACCTGTGTGTGGATAAGAGCCCCACTCCCAATCTGTGTGTGTTCAGTGGAACATAATGGCAAGTCCTACTCAGGTGTGTAGTTGGGAATCGTGGTCATGGCATAGCTCCTCATTGAACGGATTGGCTTCATGCAAGGTCAGCACACACAGGTTGGCAGCAGAGCCAGCAGCTGTGACACACTCCCCTCCCTGTCCTAATGTGTGAAGCAGAACCATGCCATTATCTCCTGCAGAAGTTTATTTGCCTGGAGCTAAGCTCTCCTCTATAAAGACATGTCTGCATAAGGCTATTTTCAGTTATCTTGTCCTTGCAAGCAGTGCTGCACCTCTGCTGTGACAAACACACACGCTGGCAAATTGTCTCTTATCCTCCAAATGGCAGATTTGGGGTGATGTGTTTGTGGCTTGTAGCACCATTGTGGTTAGCAGGAGCTCCCAGGGTAGAACAACACCCTGTGCAGTGCTTTCTGATTCAACTCCCCCAACACTTCAGGTTGTGGCCTGCAGAAATAATGTTGGAAAGCCAAGGAACTCCAGTGTGGGCATGTCCTGAGGAAGAAGGCATTTAGCAGTTCTTTGGAAGCTGTCACGTCTTCAATAAAAACATGTTTTTAAGGTCAAAATGAAGCATCAGGCCTGCAGTTCAAGCATCAGCATGTAGATGCTCATGAATCAGCAAAGCTCCTATCTTGTTGTTTTATTAATACAGAACAGTGCTTTAAAGGAAGTTGATTAAATTAGAGAGTTGGGTTTTGGTACAGGCTTGCTTGTATCCTTTTGAAAATTATGACTTAGCTCTCTTTGTTGATTAAAATGCAAGCATATCTGGATTTTAACCAGGCATCCGTTTTGAAGAGAGATCGCTCAGACAAGGCCATCCCTTATCAGATGTAGGTTTTACTGGCAAAGTATGCATTTTTCTTTTATTCATTTGCAAATTGTATTGCTTTGTATTATTACGCATTTATATAAACAGCACACCATCTCACCCAGCCTAGCCTATAACTTTTCCCAAAAGCTAACAAGAAATTATACAGGAAGAAATAGTTAAATGTGAACACGGAGGGCGGTAGAGAGAATTGGTGCAGTGCCAAAGTATGGAACTGGGCTGTCCAGTCACTAGCACCATTTGTGAGATGGCTGAGGACATCCACTGCATTCTGAATGACACTGCCGCTGCTGCTGCTGCCGCTGCTGCCTCTCAGGGGCTGCCAACCACATTGTCACTACTGTGGTGTGTTTGCCATGCCTGGTCCTTAAGGGGCTTGGAGCAGCCAACAGCACCATCCAGATTGCAGCTGTTGGGACTGGCTAGGCAGGTGTAAGGAAGATGAATGGGAATGACATAGTTTCTCTTCCTCCAATCCCAGGGGACCAAGCTGCTGCTGCTGCTGCTGCTGCTGCTGCTGCTGCTGCTTTTGGTTTATGCATGGAGCAGGAAGCAGGAGACAGCCACAAGAAACCCATGGCCACTTTGTAAGTGGTGCAGCTTCTTACCTAGGGAAGAACAATATATAGATGACCAGAACATGCATTTTCCTCCTCTGTATGTGGGCTAATTGAAGGAGTCATGTGTTGCTACAACACTTCCTTCTGGTCAGAGGGGCAATAATACTATGTCCCCAGTACTAAATTTCCCACATATTTCTCCTTGTAGGCTATTTTGTTCAGGAAAAAATAAAGCATTATGCCTGAGCTCCCTAGTGAATAGCACCCTTGTATTGTAAGAGAATAATGGCAAAATGGAAGCAATCTGTTTTACAGAGAGCTGGTTATTTAAATTCCACCTACTGAATACTTGTGTGCCAGACAAGCTGTTGACATTTGAATTTTCTCCCCCCCCCCCCCCGCTCCAAATGAGGTTTGTTTTGTGGTATTCTGTGAAATCACCAGAAATCTGCTATGGCTTTGGGAGATCATGTGAGTGCCTAGAAAGTCTGAGGGAAGCTTTTAGTCTGGAGAGAGAGAGAGAAAGAGAGAGCACTCCTGTTCAGAGAGATTGTAGTGCTGTGAAGCTGATCTGTAGTCATAAAGAGCAGGTCTCCTAAATGCTTATATCAGCAAACAAGTTTGACCTGGGACCTTTTATAAGGATCAGGGAGTGCTATCTATTGTGCTATCTACTGGTGCATGCGACATGCTGGCTTCTTGGTGCATGAATATTCCATTTGCCTAGTATGAGTACGGTTTCCTCCTTTTGGCCAGAGCAGAATCCTTGCACCACCACTTGTTCAAGAGGTGCCGCTGTTTGGCCAAGTTCTTTGACCACGCCCTTCCTGTGTTGGCCATTTTATGACCTATTAACCCTGAACTCCCTCTGTTGCTTGTGATTAGGTAAGGTTTATATTGCAGAAGCTAGTCAACGGGATTCTTTACAACAGGATATAAGACCTTATTCACAGTTAAGATTTCTAGGGACTTGCACTGATCAATTTGTATTTGCAATATTTTAAAAATTACAGAGCTCAGAGAAGGAGTTGCCTCTGTAACAACTGACTCTCCCATCTTTGCTTTATCACTCATCTAGTAAGGTCCACTTTAGGGCCAGTCCTCTCAGAACTGATTTTTGCTGTTCAAATACTATACAGGCAATTCTGCTTATTTACACTTGCCACAAAAAGGGGTAGGATAACAAATAAGTCAGTTTTACAGACGGTTCTTGCACTAGGGCATTTAATTCATTCTTACACAGAGATGAATTGCATATAGGGTAGTACTTTCAGAAGGCTGGAATAGTTTTCACAGAGAATTTAGCTGTAAATTCTGAGAGTTTCAGAGAAGTAGAACACACCCAATAATGTGTGTGTGTGTGTGTGTGTGTGTGTGTGTGTGTGTGTGTATCTGTGTATCTGTCGCACACCCTACTGTTCAGTGTTTTTCCCCCTGCAGGATTAATAGTTGAGTGAATTGCCAGTTTGTAAGAGGAGGGACCAAAGGTCATGAATTCTTCACATAGGAAGGGTGGTGCCAAGCTTGCAACACTAATCTTTGCTTTCTCAGCAGTTAAATTGCCATGCCAAAGAGTTTAAATCCCCTTTGGTGAAAGGAGTGGAGATTGTGTTAAAAGGTTTGAATGGGTGGAATTTATCTCCCCTGTTAGAAGTTGCAAGGCTGTCTCAAAAAGATGCTAATTCAAGCATCCATTTAAAAGGCATTATTTGGATTGCTGGGCCATGAGAGTCTTTCCTTTAAGGTCATGTATTTTAACTTCTAATATAATAATGACCAGTTTAAAAGCCCCACCCCACAATAAAGGAAAACATATTCAGAATTCCATGGTGGGATGGATTACGATGTACAGGTATTTAGGGGTGACCTTCCACTAACTGCTACCATGACTGAACCAGAAATCAACCATGATGACTAAACATTAGGAAGAATTTTCTGACAGTAAGAGCCATTCAACAGTGGAAGTGGTGGCCTCTCCTATCTATCAGCGATTCTTTAGCTGTGATTCCTGCATTGCAGGGAGTTACACTGTTGGGTTCTCTTCCAACTCTATGGTTCTAGGCTGGAGTTAGAATAGAGAGCGTGACAATTGTTCCAAGTGTGGCTGGTTAGAGCCTGTTGGCTCTCCTTTCCTTATTGCAGCCAGGGCGTAGCCAGGAGGGGCCAGGGGCAGCTGCCTCCCCCCCCCCCCAAAAAATCTAGAAAATAAAATTAAAATAACTAACTGACCAATTGCATCACAGATAACTCAGTTCTGCTCCCCCTAACGTAAAGCCTGTCCCCCAATAAATCCTGACTACGCCCATGTCTGCACTCCAGCACAAAATGCAGCTGGGTGCCATTTTGGAAGAAGCACAGAAACCATCCCCAGTTAAATTTGATCATGTAGGTTTTGCTGATAGGCACAACCTTAAAAAAAAGTACTGCTTAATGATGTGTTCTGCAGAGTGGAATGTACAGAACATCCTGTTTAGTGCTAGAAGGCAAACTTTGACATTAGAACTATTAGAACCTCATACATCTGGAACTATTAGAGCTTGTACTGCAACTTAAACTGGATTTCTGAGCTGTAGGGAGACTGTGTACAAACAGTCCCCGCCCATATTTATCCTTATCTTAATTGCAAATTGCTTTTTTAAAAAAACCTATCTAAGGTTCTCTGGCTTCCTCCCCTGCATCCTGTATTCACTGACTTTTCTAACCTTTATGCCTTACTAAATTGACTGGCACACTCCTTTCTCCTCATCCCGTCCCAAACCCAAATAAGGCTATGTAAATATCGTAACATGGCTAATATTGATCCAAGCTAAGCTGGGGTTAGTCCTCTCCAATCGTCTACAAACTGGTCTCAAACTGGCTCCACATCAAATTCTATATCCACTCAATAGTGAAGGAAGGCAGCTGAATTTAAATGAATTTAAAGCTGAGGTAGCAAATTACAGCATAGAGAATAACAATGGTTGTGCCTGGCAAATAGAAATCTGTAACTGAAATATGAAAACTACAGTCACAAATATACCTTCATGCATGCAGCACAAGACTAAAAAAGAGAGAATGCAGCCACCATAATCAGATTAGCAAGATTCAAAGTTATTTGAGTTGACTCATTCCAAACTGATGTGACTGCTTTGACTCTACAGTTTCTCATCTCAGCAATTCTAGGGCTGCAGAAAGAAACGGCAAGGAAGTGAAATGTCTCAGTGGGGGAAACTAGGGTTAGTAGGATGATTACTGCAGAGCAAGCCTGTTAAGTTGCGGGTGAACATATCAGACGACACAGAGATTCTTCAAACAGCTCTTGTTTATTCACAGGCCAGAACAGAACTGAACTGAACTGAAGGGTTCAGCCAGCCTGCTTATATAGAGCTCCACTAGAACGCAACAGTAACCATTTTCTGTAACTATCCAATCACTGAACATCACTTTTGATCCCTTATTTGCATATGTGGACCTGAATTATCTACAGTATCCCCCTGCTGGCCCAGGGTGAGAACTTCAGTACATAACAAAGCCCACTGGCTTGTTTGAAATATTTCAGCGGCATTAATATATTACATATCTGAGGGCAAGATTTTCAGTGTACATTGGTCTTAGTTGCATAGGTAGGGAAGAGAGAGAGAGAGATTTTTTGAAAGCCCCAAGTTGGAAATAGATTTAAGTTGGCATACACTTAAACCTGGACTCCACAATAATATCCAGTTTCCTTGACCCTCCCTGAGGTGAAAGAAACGTGCTTCTCTCAATGAAGATCCCTCTTGGATTACAAGGGGAGCAGAGCTGGCACTCAAGCTCCTTGTCTGTCCCAAAGATTGGCGCAGCCTGTCTAGTACTTGGGTAGGCAAACTAAGGCCCAGGGGCCGGATCCGACCCAATCGCCTTCTAAATCTGGCCCGTGGATGGTCCGGGAATCAGCGTGTTTTTACCTGAGTAGAATGTGTGCTTTTATTTAAAATGCACCTCTGGGTTATTTGTGGGGCATAGGAATTCATTCATTTTTTTTTTAATTTTTTCAAAATATAGTCCGGCCCCCCACAAGGTCTGAGGGACAGTGGACCAGCCCCCTGCTGAAAAAGTTTACTGACCCCTGCCATGAACCAAGTGCCTTAGGCTTATTGGTTGTTTTCACCAACCCTGAGGGTGGCACAAGACATAACCTGTCAAATTTTGTAATATAGCTCAAGTCTGTCTTCTCCTAACTAGTTAGGACAACAGCTGAGTGTTACAGCACTTACTCTGCATGCAGAAGTTCCTGTGCTCAGTGGGGCTGGCATTACACCCTGCCTGAAACCTGGAGGGCTGCTGTCAACCAGGGTCAACAGTGCTGGACTAGATGGGCCTACTGGTCTGACTAAGGCAACTTCCTACGATCACAGGGCCTGCTGCCACAGTGCAAGGAGCACACTGCTCAACTGGTAGCAGCCAGCAAAATGAGTCTGAGCGTCGCTCATTCCACAAAGGCCTCTCCTGGAGCAGGACCTGAGCCTGAAGCGGAAGTGGACAAGGCTTAGCTATGCCTTTTGGCTTTCTCCTCTTGGAGGAATGTTGGAATGCCTGTCATGCAGTTGCTAAAGGCACCGGGGCCTCTGTCACCAAAGGAAGCGGCACACCTAGTTGGCAAACATTTGACTTGCTTTCGATTTGTATTATTTGGGAGACAAAGGGCGGGATTTGCAGACAAAAGTGGCAGACAGCATTCAAGAAGTTTTGAAATCTAGGAGAGCAATTACTAATAAGATTGAGCTATGGGCAGTTTGATTCTTTTTAAGAGGGTGGAGATTACATGGGAGAAGGGGGGGGGGTGACCAGAGAACAGCCAGGTAATAGCATTGCTTGCTTTTTAAACAAGGAAGCAGAAATGCAAAGAATGTGCTTTTGGCATTACTCTTTTCTTCTTTGTCTCTCTCAAGAGCCAAAGGTGTCCCGTTGAAGTCATGCTGTCTTCCCAAGCACTCATTCATCCCTTGTTCTGAGCAAATGGTTTGCACCCACCCCATATGAACAAACTGTTCACCCAAGAATGCTCCTGGATTTCTGTATCTGTTGAAGTGAACTCTAACCCATTCAGCTTCATGCAATAATAAATCTGTTAGACTTTGAGATGCTCCTAGACTCTGCCATAAGCTATCAAAGAGTCAGTGGCGACTCCAGAATTTTCTGTGCACTTAGCTTTCAAAGCATTCCTTCCCCCCCCTTCTTTTTTACAGATGTAAACTTATGATCTATGTCAGAAATGACATTAAATAATGCTAGTAGGACTTTCCCCATTAAGTTTTCAAGTACCCACCTGTAATAAACACCTTCCGCCATGCTAAATAACTGTTTTTATTGGGGGGGGGGGTGTTTCCAAGTACACGGGCAGCAAACAGGAAAATTACTTTTCATGGGTTTAGATACTGAGTGGTTGCAGTCTCAGTGTACAGTCAGCCCTTCAGCACTAACAAGGTGAGATAGATCCTGATGGTGTTGTGACAAGAACCTGGCTCAAGCTGCATTATAGATTGTTCCAGAACATGCTGTATAGATAGATTAACAGCAATGATCAGTGCATGGGAATTTATTGGTGCATGAGTCAGGAAATACTTGACACAGTTGAAATGTTTATTGCAACAAAGCAAAGCTCTATGACACATGACAGTGAACAAAGGTCACTCCATTGGGGTTCTCCTGTCGCAGAAAAATTAGCCACACCTGAGTGATAATAGAATAACAATGATGATAATAGAATTTTCAGAGACTGCTCACTGTAAATATTTGTTGATGTGAGTACTGCTGAAAGCTTGCATATGCAGAGTATATGCACTTCTCATTCCAGAGTAGGAGAAACCAATGGGGGAAAAATCCTCCAAATCAGGTGAATAGTCACCTGATGAATAAGGGATGGATGTGTTTCTGTGTGTATATGTGGTTTTAATTTTATTTTAGTTCATTTATATTCAAGGCAACATGCATGAGGATCTGAGGTGGTTTCCCATCCCAGCACGGACCAGAGAGACTGGCTTAGTTTTAGCAAGGTGGCTGCATCATTGCCCTCAGCCCATGCCCTAGCTGACAATTAGGCCTCACCTACATGGGTTACCAATTTGACTAGTTCGGGCCCTGAAACTCGATTCTTGTGTCACCAAAATGATATCACCACTTCAGTGCTGCCTCAGTTCCCAAACGGTTAGCCCTTCCACCAAAAGACAGTGGTACTTCCAGGCCACTCAGAAGCTGAAATTTGGCACATATGTAGTCTAAGTCATTCCAAGTACAAGATACATCTTGAAACAGGGCAATGTCATGAAGGAGGGGGCATGAAGTGTACTCCTGAATATATTCCTTATAATCCAGCACAGAGCAAGCCAGTCTGCACATAGAACAGAGTGTTGAAGTTTTTGGAGTTGGCTCCTTCCCTGGACTGAGATTTGGGGTAGGGGGTACTTTTAGCTGCAGCCAGAAAGATAGTTCACCACTTGCAAAATATGAAGGGGTATGTGCATGTGATGTATAAATATCTGAACTACAGTGGACAAATTTGACTTGCTCCCTTAGTTCAGACTCCAGTGTAGCTAATCCTTTTACTTCATAGACATGTTCAAGACAAATTATTAAAATTCAAGCCTGATTGGTTGTGATGTTAAGGGGTGACTTTTAGGGACTTCAAGGGAATGTTGTGATGGGCAAAACATATTATTTTTAGCACAATTACAAAACAACAGGCAAACCCCTGAGAACCAGCTGCAGGCTTCACCTTCGAATTAAAGCAGAAAAAGGAGCATTGTGAGTTTTAGGATGCTTCTGAGCTGTTCCACGTCAGCTCTCAACTATGACAACTATTTCATCCTGTTGGCAAGTTCAAGTATCTGCAGCAGCCCTCTCTGTTCAAGCTGCAATCGAAATCTGTAAACAAATGCGTAAGTGGAGTCATGAGCATTGAAGCTGCTTCAGATGGGCCTGCAGGTACAGGGGGCATAGGGGGGCTGGTTTTCATTTTGTGTGAGAGGGCAATGATCTGAAAGGAAGTTTCCTGTGGGCTGAAGTCAAGGCTTTGTTTTCTCCCATTTACTCTGTGGGAGGTCTTGAGGGACATGATCGGATGGGCGTTCTTCAGGGTTAGGCAGACGTCAGAGTAACATAATAGCTAAGGGAATCAGCTGCAAACCAGGAAGTCTCTTGTTCCCATCCTCACCTCTGCGGTGAAAACTTTCTTGGTAGCCCTTAGTGTCTCTTCTCAGCCTCAACCTCACTGCATCTGCAGTGTGAGGATAATAATACTGAACAACCCTTCAGGATTATTTCAACAACTACAGTATTTAAATAAAGAGGTTTATGAATGTGAGGCAGTAGCAATATTTCTGTTTGGAAGAGCTGTACGTTAGGCAGCCCTGATTTTGTGTGAGAGCTCGTATGTTGTTTATTATAATGTTCTTAAGCAGCAAGCGCCCGAGTTTGACTTAAAACACCTTACAGTAACATTTTAGAAGTAGGGACTTGTGCCCAACAGCAAGTTGCTCTGCTGTGCCAAAAATAACAATAGCAATAAAAAAAATAGTTGGCGTGTTACTTAGTTTTGGGGAAGAAGAAGCTGGTTTGTTCCAAGAAGAGGGTTTTGTTGTTGTTGTTCTCTCCGATAGTAAACGAGCTGTACTCTGAAATATAATTTCCAGCTGCCCATTTAAAACTTTCTTTTTTTGACAGATCATGATCGAGTTTTGCCCTGGTGGAGCAGTGGATGCTACTATGCTGGGTAAGTGACATGAAGCATCTTAACAATGAAGCCCCTTTTAAGGTCTTTCAGCACATTGAATGTCTGTGTTCTGGTTGTTCCTCCCACTCACATCCCTGCAGGAAAGCAGAGCATTAGGTTTCTGTCCAAAACATGCATGTGAACAGGCTGAAACTGATCATGTGCACGCATGAGGGATTAGGGAGGGGGAAGACATCTGCCATCGAGGAGGGTATTATTTTCCACGGCTTGACTCAGACCCAACACAAGAAGCAAGCATGTGGCTGCTGTGCTTTCCCAGACTTACTGGGAATGATTGCTCCATGTTATAGTATTTGGGGGTGAATGTGAGGAGAAGGGGTCACAGCAGCTACTGCTTTTAAAAGAGCAAGCCCACACAAAGACTGTCTTATAGCAATGAGACATAGCCTAGATTTGCTCTGGCTGAGTTTTCAAGAACAGTAGCTATGGCAGGGGGTTGTGTGAGTTTGCCAATCTTCCTGGAAGGGGGAGAAAGGGAGCTTTCAGTTTCTCAGGATCTGAGTCTCCTGTTTAACCAGGCAAAGCATATCTCATTTCACAGGTACCCTCCAGGTTTGGGGATTCGCTTTTAGAGGAAAATGGGGGAACAGGAGGGGGAACTGAGCTATATTTCAAAGGCCTAGATCATGTCTGGCATCTATGCTCCAGGCAGCAGGTGGTGAAGCTACGTACTCTTACAGGAGGCAATGTACAGAGGTCACAAGTCTAAACTCCCAGCCTGTGGTTTTCAGGAAAGAAGGGCTGGGACATTAAATTCATGACCAGCCATTGGGGGGGGGGGGTTGATTCTCACTGTGGTGAATGAATTCCAAGTGTGCATTTTGTATTTGTTATGAATTTCCCCCTGTCACAGCTAACCACACAGACAGTTGGGATTGCAGAGGATTGGCATCCTGCAAATTCTCTTAGACAGCTTTTGGTATCTTTGGGAAACCTATTCAGTGGTATTCAACTCTGTCTTACTCAGAGCAGTCTTACATGGAAATTAAGGGACATACCCTGAGTAAAACTTAATTGAATTTCACCCTTCGGAAGAAGCATAGGAGCAGAAATGCTTGCCCTGAAAAAATGATCTCCTTACCACTACATTGAATTCTACCCATATATCTGAGGGAATGCCAGCCCTGTTTTCTTTTTCCGTCAGGGTCCACCTACATCTGGGATGGGGAGCCAGTGGCCCTCCAGGTGTTCTTGGGCTCAAACTCCCATTGCCCCCATCTAGCATGTGGTCCAGCAAAATCTGGGGGGTCACAGGGTCTCCATGCCTGGCCTAAAATCACTATTTCCCTAATCAAAGTAGGCGAAAGAGAAACCACCCACTGAAACAAATACGGCTCTCCCAATGTCCAAAGCAAAGGCGTATTGCTCATGAACAGAAACAATTGTCTTGAAACGCCTCATCTGCATTCACTGTGTTCTAGTAGAGCAAGATTAAATATCGTATGTTTGTCGTATTTTACTCTCAGCCTAGTGGTTATGCGTTAGGGCTATGAGCTTTGATATGTTGCATATACAAATTAATCAGTGAAATGTTTAACTTCAGAATAAGCTCTGCAGTGGTTTCCCCTTTTCAGTTCATAACCAAAGCTGGCAGATATTTTGCACCTCAGAATAATCCACTGCTGTTTCCCTTTTCTTTTTTAAATCTGAGGGAATGTCGCCTTTGGCAGAAAAAAAGTTGCTCACCCCTGATGTCTATACAGTTGTTAATTCAAACCCAGGGCAAAAGTCAACCCTGTTCCTTGAAGCTAAATTTAGGAGCCTTTTCCGATTGCCTCTGTTTTATAGAACTGGATCGAGGCTTGACCGAACCCCAGATCCAAGTGATCTGCCGCCAGATGCTAGAAGCCCTAGACTACCTCCACAGCAAGAAGATAATCCATCGGGACCTGAAGGCAGGCAACGTGCTGCTGACCCTGGATGGAGACATCAAGCTTGGTGAGGCAAACTAGTTAGCCCTTGTGTAAGATGGGTGCAAAGCTGCTTCCTGCACACAGTGAGATGAGTGGCTGAGAACAGTGGCTGAGGCGTTGTTGTTGTTGTTATTTATTATTTCAAAAACAGCAACTGTAAGAGCTGTTGTGTGACCACATGAGAAAATTATGCATGCTTGGCTGCTGTAGAATAATCATTTGTTAGGTTTGTTTTCTTTCCACCCTTTTCCTCTGAGCAGCTGGGAGCCACGTTGTAGCCTTGCAGCATCCCTGAGGGGTCATTTGAGCAGAGAGACAGAGACCTACTGAAAGCTACCCAGTAAGCTTCCTGGCCAAGCAGGGATTTTCAACCCTCTCTCAAGAAGATCTCAAACAGTGTATTTACTTAGAAGTCAGTCTCAGTACATTCACTGAGACTTACTCCCAGGTAACTGTGCATAGAATTAGACACGACAAAAAGCAGAAACAATGTTAACTGGTCTCAAACAAATTTTTGCAGTGTAGAGTGCTGCGAATTCTATACTGCAGTCAGTTAACAATGTGGTCTTTCAAAATACTCAATTACATTCAGTTATGATTTGATATCTGTTCATATTCCTCTTTGGACTGTCTTGAGGGATGCCCCTTAGAGAGGGTTTTCCTATTATGTTTGTACTTTTGCAAACCTTTGAGTTTCCAGAAACGTATTTGTAACCTAGAATCAGTTAGTGTTGACATCAGCTAAATCTGTGAATGGAGAGGTGCTGAGGGTCCCCCCCCCCAGCTTAATTAGAATATTTTTTTCTCTTCACCCTAGAATTCGTAGGGTTCTAAAAACTGTGATGAAGTTACTTTGCACGGTACACTTTTCTTTTTTTAAAAAAAATAATATTTATTAATAGTTTCAGAATTACAGGAAAAAAAGAAAAAATAGGAAACAACACTACAATACATAAAAAAGAAGAAAAAAAGCAAAACATAAAAACCAATACAACAATACAGCAAAAAGATAAAAAAAGGGGGGGAGACACAAATCCCACATTACATATCTTTAACTTCCATTTGCTTGTTTCATTGACCTCCTCACACCTCCCTTTTTGTATTCTAGTTTAATTAGTTATTTCAGCAAATTCTTTCCATCTTTCTCAATTTTTATTAAATAATTTATCTTAACAATTTAACCTATTAATTAACTCAACAAATCCTTTCCATCTTTTCCCCATATTCTGTTATTCAAATTACCTTAATTTATTTAACCTTATCTTACCGTAAAATACCTTAGAGCTTGAAACTTAATACTCAATTATACATAACTCCTGATATCATTTCTACTAGAGCCATATAGTTTCATCCCAACATTTTCCCTAATATTCATTAATTTTAGGCTAATTCCCTAAATAAAAATTTTTCTTTATAAATTTTCTTCCAATCTTCATCCAACGTCTCTTCTTCCTGGTCTCGGGTCATGTCAGTCCTTACTGTCCATTCCATCTAATCCATCAACCTGGTAATCTTATGTCCGAGGCCCTTAAGTCTCTTCCATGTCCCTTCTGCAGATCTTCTTCTTCTTGTTTATACCTGCACTTTTCCTTCTCTTTTGTTGGTCTCTTTCTTAATTTCTTTCCTTTCTCATTGAGGAGTAGGTCTCTGGGAGGTTCCAACCCAAGATTATCTCCGTCTCCCTTCATCAAACCAGCCCGTTCCCCACAGTCCCACTCCCCACAGTCATCAATGTAATCCAAAAAATATATAAGAGCATATTTCAAAGTCTCTCCAAAGTTGAGAACCTCCTCAGCTCCAGGCTCCCCCTGGCCCACTCCAACTTCAATCTTTTTTTTTTTTATAAGATATTTATTAAGATTTTTTAAAATATTACAATAAAAATGACAAAAAAATGACAAAAATACAAAATAAAAATAGTTAAAAACACACAGATTTTCCATTACTTCTTTTCCTGTGACTTATTTCCCGGACCGCCTCATACCTCCCTTTGTTGTATTCCACTTCTATCTGTTGGGTCAGCAAATCCTTTAAAAGTAATAATATTAAATTTTTACCTATTTATAACCCTTTTTCATATTCCCTTAAAGCATTACAGCTGGAAACCACTTAATTACTATCCAACATCATTCTAACATTCATTAATTTTACAATATTTCTGTAGATAATCTTTGAATTTCTTCCAATCTTCTTCCACCGACTCTTCTCCCTGGTCTCGGATTCTGCCAGTCATTTCTGCCAGTTCCATAGTCCATCACCTTCATCTGCCATTCTTCCAGAGTGGGTAGATCTTGTGTCTTCCAATACTTTGCAATGAGTATTCTTGCTGCTGTTGTGGCATACATAAAAAAAGTTCTGTCCTTCTTTGGCACCAATTGGCCGACTATGACTAGGAGAAAGGCCTCTGGTTTCTTCAAGAAGGTATGTTTAAATACCTTTTTCAGTTCATTATATATCATTTCCCAGAAGGCCTTAATCCTTGGGCATGTCCACCAAAGGTGAAAGAATGTACCTTCAGTTTCTTTACATTTCCAGCATTTATTGTCGGGCAAATGATAAATTTTTGCAAGCTTGACTGGGGTCATGTACCACCTGTATATCATTTTCATAATATTCTCTCTTAGGACATTACATGCCGTAAACTTCATACCTGTGGTCCATAACTGTTCCCAGTCAGCCATCATTATGTTATGTCCAACATCTTGTGCCCATTTAATCATAGCAGATTTCACCGTTTCATCCTGAGTATTCCATTTCAACAGCAAGTTATACATTCTTGACAAATTCTTAGTTTTGGGTTCTAACAGTTCTGTTTCCAATTTTGATTTTTCCACCTGGAAGCCAATTTTCTTGTCCAAATTATATGCCTCCATTATCTGATAATAATGAAGCCAGTCTTGCGCTTTATTTTTTAGTTTCTCAAAACTCTGCAGTTTCAGTCTATCTCCATCTTGTTCCAAAATTTCCCAATATTTCGGCCAATTGGCCTCCATATTGAGCCTTTTCAGAGCTTTCGCTTCCATCGGTGACAGCCACCTTGGGGTTTTGTTTTCCAACAAATCCTTGTATCTTATCCAAACATTAAACAGTGCTTTCCTGACAATATGGTTTTTAAATGCTTTATGCGCTTTGACCTTGTCATACCACAGATATGCATGCCATCCAAATACATTGTTAAAACCTTCTAAGTCCAAAATGTCTGTGTTTTCAAGAAGTAGCCATTCTTTCAACCAGCAAAAAGCTGCTGATTCATAGTAAAGTTTAAAGTCTGGCAGGGCAAATCCACCGCTTTCCTTTGCATCAGTTAATATCTTAAATTTTATTCTGGGCTTCTTGCCCTGCCAGACAAATCTAGAAATATCTCTCTGCCACTTCTTGAAACAGTCCATCTTGTCCACAATTTGCAATGTTTGAAACAAAAACAGCATTCTAGGCAATACATTCATTTTTATCACAGCAATACGACCCAACAGTGAAAGCTTCAAATTTGACCAGATTTCTAAATCTTTTTTTCACTTCTGTCCAACATTTTTCATAATTATCTTTAAATAAGTTCCCATTTTTGGCTGTCATGTTAATCCCCAGGTATTTCACTTTCTTAACCACAGTCAGGCCTGTCTCATTCTGAAACCTCTCTCTTTCAATCAGTGTTTAATTTTTCTCTAAAACCTTAGTTTTTAACTTGTTCAGTTTAAATCCTGCCAGTTGACCAAATTCTTGAATTAGTTCTAAAACCCTTTTAGTACTAGATTCTGGCTCCTGTAACGTCAATACTAAGTCATCTGCAAATGCTCTCAGTTTGTACTGTTTGGCTCCGACCTGTATACCTTTAACCAACCGGTCCCTTCTAATCATATTCAGCAGAACCTCCAGGACCGATATAAAAGCAGTGGGGAGATTGGGCACCCCTGTCGTGTCCCTTTTTCTATCTTAAATTCTTCCGTCACCACATTATTTACAATTAATTTAGCCTTTTGTTCAGAGTATATTGCACCTATACCATTTTCAAAACCTTGGCCTACCCTCATCCCCTGTAGGTTCTTCTTCATGAAGCTCCAAGAGATGTTGTCAAAGGCTTTCTCCGCGTCTACAAATATCAGAACTGCTTTAGTGTTTATATTCACTTCTAGTTTTTCCAAAATATCAATTATATTTCTCAAATTATCAGACAAGTGTCTTCCTGGGACCAACTTCAATCTTCAAAAACAGCGGCTTATGCTCCTGCAGGGCCTCAGATCTCTCCATTTGTATTATTTGAGGTGCAACCGCAACCTCCTCCATTATCTTCTGCACTTGCCCAATCAATACAGGTTCCTGAGTTGATCCCTGAATGGTTTCTGTATCAATATTCCCTGGTTGTCCACAGTTATTGACCACAGCAGTCATCAAATCCGTTTTCTCATTCATCAAATCCATCTTCTCATGCATCTGTTCCAACAAAGCACTTGTCTTGCATAAAGCAAGCACCAAGACTTCCTCCCAGCTCATATTTAGTCAAGTTCGAAAGGACTGGTCCCACGATCTTAATCTCACAGCTGTAGAGTCCTCAAGTAGACTGCAGCAACAATTTAGCAAGCTCCCTCTAGAGGAGACAATTTCTATTTGTATCCATCTTTTTAAGGCAAGTCCAACAAAGGAAAAATACTTTCATTTTTCAGATATTTTGTTTCTTTAGAATGCAAAAGGCAACATTGGAATCAGTTTATTTCTCTTCTTTAGCTATCTGTCAAAGTATTCCATTCACAGTCAATGAACCTCTCCAACAATTTCTGTCTCTGACACCCTGTTCCCAGGTTAGAGACAGTGGAAACTTATCTTTCTTCACTCCCTCTCCTGCAGGCATTAAACAAAGTCCCCCCCTTTTCTCCTGCTTCCAAGGGGGTTTCAGTAGTTATAAATGAAGGAAATTTAGACTTTTTTAACAACTTTCCAGGCTTTAGCTTACAAGGTTTTTGCTTCAGTCTATATACAAAAAGCGGAAGGCGGACTTCCTGTTTTGAACCTTCCCGCTTCGGTGCCAAATTAAGATATTTCTTGATCCAATTTTCCGTTTCTACTCACGGGTACTTGTTTTAAATCCAATTGTCCACAGGAAAAAGTCAACGCTCTCCGGCAATGGCTGTGCGGCTTCACTCCGTGAAAGTAGCAATCAGTTCGCAGCACCGCGCCGCTCACCCCACTTCACTCTGTGAAGGGAAGTTTTCCCTTCAACTCTGGAACCCCAAAATGGGGTTCCCCGTGAGTAGGGGAGGCGCTCCTGGTGCCCTGCCGAACCCCACGTTCCCAGGCTTCCTCCGCCTGGGATTTCTAGCGGGTCCCCACCTTCGCCGCGGCGGGAAGACCCAGTTTCCACGGAGCCAGTTCCTCCGGTCGGAGGAACTCCGCCATTCGCCGATGGCGCTAACCCGGAAGTCCTGCACGGTACACTTTTCAAAGACCCTCCTTTATAAACGGGATTGTGCTGATTAACTCTGGATGTGGACATAAATCCTCTGCATGCAAAATCAGTTTGATGCAGGCAGGCAGAAGGACATCGAGAAAGCAGTTGCTTGCTATGGTAATGTGCTGCAAGAAGCCTGAAGTGATCTTCCTGGCATGGGAGCAAAGTTCAGTTTCTGTATCAGAAGTTGGTCTCTTTTGCTGATGCTAGCTGTGATTATCCCCTTCTGAGACGGTTTTTATTAGAATCACAGATTCGTAGAGTAGGAAATGACCACAAGGATCATCTAGTCCTGCAATGCAGAAATATTTCACCCAACGTGGGGCTGAAACTCATGCTCTACTGACTGAGCTACACAGGGATGTTAGCAGAACTTTGGCCTTCCCTTTGGCTCCTGCTCAGACTTGCTGAGCTAAAATTATGCCAGTTCCGCCTCTTTGAATGATAGTACCCACCGGAATGGATGTTCTTCAGAATGGGGATTGGTTGTACTGGGTCCAGAAAGACTTAAAGCAAAACAAAAAACCAACAACAAATCTGGGGTCATCATCTGTAGAATTTAAAGGGGAGACTGATAAATGCAACTTTTCTCATTCTGTATGGGATTGTGTATAAATGGATGTCTGCCACAGGAATTGGCATGTTTTCTGTGCAAGCTGGAGAGGGTGTAGTTTGTTAGCAAGGACAGGGTGACGTTTCCTACACTTCATCACCTTTTCAGTGGAAATTTTCTAGAAAGAGGAGGAAGAATAACCCTTAACACAAAATAGAACTGCAGACAACAGCAGGAAGCAAGAGAAAACAATTGATGGTTTGTTAGGATTTTGCTGAGGTATCCAACTACTTAACTGTTAAAATAAAGCAAAATGCTCCCCTAACCTGATGGGAAATGAAAGGGCTTCCTTTAGCGTCCCCTGTTATTGTGGCAGAATAAAATAAATAAATACAATTACCTTGGCTTTGGTGGGGTGCAGTTAGCAAAAATCTGGTACAGTATTTAAGCTTCTGACCCTCATTGGGACAGTCTCTTTTGTCGATGTGAGATGGATTTTGCTCCATGTGATTATTGTGCATGCGTCGTGGTTACCTAGAACTCCTCTGTTTGTTAAAATCACGTTCCACTTTGCATCTGCTGATGAAAAATGTGTCCAGCTACAAGTAGTCCTAGAGCTTGTCCACACTTCTGCTTATCCCGTGCCTAGAAAGCACAGGTCTGAGTGGTTTCCCCTTTGCCCCACTCCTCTCCCGGGGAGACAAGAGGGAGTGTGGATAAGCCCTTGCACTGTGTCAGAACCTTAGCCTAGGGTCTGGGCATTGTCCTGGCCACTTCGATAATCGTTGATTGTTTTCAGAGAGTCTCTTGGTGACAGACGGTAGCTCTTTGCTTGAGCTGCTTAAGGCATACAAGCACCTTGCAGCCGGTATCAGAGGATTTAACATGATCAAACTCTTTTCAGCGGATTTTGGAGTATCTGCCAAAAACATGAAGACTTTGCAAAGACGGGATTCCTTCATTGGGACACCATACTGGTGAGTAAATGAATTCAGATTTACAATATGCTTGAAAAGGCTACCACCAAATAAGGGCATGTATATTCTAGCTCAAGAATGAAGGTGCTACCTGCCTCTTGGCTGAATTGTAAACTATCCACACAAGTGGAAGTGTGTGTCAGAGAATGTGTGGCCATGTGTATGTGCCGTGTGCTTGGTGTTTTACTCCTGGGGTCCCCCAAATGGCACCCCAGCACCATCAGACACCTGCCAAGGTCCCCAGCCCCTCTTAGCCTTTTTTAAAAATGGAAATGTTTTTTGCCATGGTGGGCTGTTGCCTGTTTTTTGCCTGCATTTCATTTGTTTTGTGTTTTTGGAGGGGGAGCATTGTAGGTGTTCTGCCTCTATTTGATGGTGTCTGAGTATAACGTGTTTTTCTTCTGCAAAACAGATATTTTGTGGTGCTCGTAATGGTTTCTTAGGTTTCCAAAGGTGCCCCAGAGCTCAAGAAGGTTGAGGATCTCTGTTTTACTCTCAGTGCTGTGCAATTACATCTTTGTGTGTATTTTAATGAATTGAATCATAAGAGATTCATAAGAGTGCACATGTCTGCTAGCCCTGGAGGTTGGTGGGAGACAGGCTGTGCCAGTGGTTGCCACATTTGGGCTCAGAAGGCAGGAACCGGCCAGTTGACTGGCTAGGGGCACATGCCCTGCTTTGCCCGCCAAGATTCCCTCCTGTAGAGTTGAGCCCTGCCTGCCTCCTCCCTGGACCCTTCTCACTACAAAGTGCTTCAAGCATAGGGGGACACAAAGAGTACATCAACAAACTTGCACAGGAGGGAAACTATATTGAGAGTCCTGCATTTCAGGGGGTTGGACTAGATGATTCTTGGGGTCCCTTCCAACTCTCCAATTCTATGAGTCTATGCAAATATGCAAGAGGCTTCAAACCAAGATGAAAGGCAGCTTTTAATTATTGTTTTATGTGACATCAGTGGAAATGCTACAAGTCTCGTAACTGGAATGAGATGTTGATGAATCTAGGCCATTCTCTCTCCCTGCTCCTCTCTTTTACTCCCTACCATTTGGTGGAATGTCCTTTCTGAAGCAGTTCCAAGTGTATGAGAGCAGTGATTCACTCTAGGAATTTAATCTCTAAATCAGCCACGTTGCTAAGGGGATGCAATCAGTGAGCATTAATTTGCCATCTAAAGCAACATCCAGGCCAGATGTCATTGGCCTGCTGGTTTTCTGTCACTGCAGCCTGTTGAGAATGGAGAGATGAATGGTGGTTGCCGGAGGGGGGCGGGTGAACTGGATACTGTCTTTAGCCGATAGATTTAACCATTTCCACGTCCCATTTATCGCAATGGGAGAATTACGTGTGTGCTCAACTCTCCAGTAGAAATCAGTGTGACCTATAAGTGCTTAACTCTGGATAGATCATGCCAAGGGCAGCAGAAGAGGCTTCTCCCCAATTTATTCAAGAACTAGCTGCAGAGTCATATTTCTGATGCTTACAACTGACTCTAGGCTAATAACTGATTAAATAGATAGATTAACTGGGATGGGGAGGTGCTCTTCAAAACTACTGATCAATAGTAATATGTTGGTAGCAGAGCACCCTATTCTTTGTTACTTTCTTTTTAGGATGGCTCCTGAAGTGGTGATGTGCGAGACCATGAAAGACACCCCCTACGACTACAAGGCTGACATCTGGTCCTTGGGCATAACTCTGATAGAAATGGCCCAGATAGAGCCTCCTCATCATGAACTCAATCCCATGAGGGTCCTGCTGAAAATAGCCAAATCTGATCCTCCCACTCTTAACTATCCCTCAAAGTGGTGAGAAGACTTTTTTTTTTTTCACTTGTGGGTCTGTGAGAGGGAGTCTGTCTCTTGGTCGGTCTCTGTTTATTTACCCAAACAACTGTGGGTCACCTTTGTCTAGATCAAGATAATAACAAGGACTAACTTCTTCTGTACAAACCCCCACTTGTCCATGTGCTTACTGAATAACCTTTGTTGTTGTTGTTGAATAACCTTAGGCAAGACCAATTTTTCAACCTACCCTATTTCCATGAAGCTCTTTCATGAGGATGGGGGAGATAACCCAATGTATGCCACTCTGAGCTCTTCAGAGGAAGGGTGCCATACAAACTTAGCATATAATAGCACCAGGCTTCCCCAACCTGGTGCCTCCTTGATGTTTTGGGTTGCATCCTGAGAGCCACCACTGGTCAGAGTCAGCCATGGGTGTGAAACTGGATCTGGCCCAATTCCCACCCCTTACAGGCCAACTTTCAGTTCTCTACACACATCTGGCCTATACATCTTTGCCCTTTCACTCCTTTAGAGTATTTTCTGTGCATTCTCCAAATGTATAGATGCTGCATTGGAGTAAATACCTAGCCAGACCTTCTGGTTGTTAAAGGGAGGAGTGAACAGCCCTGAAGCTTTTTCTCCCTATGCTCCGCAGTCCAAATCATACAGGATCACATTCAATGAAAATCACTGGGTGTTAGCTTCCATGGATAAACTTGCTTGTGACACAGTTTCTGCAGTCGTGTGTAGAAACTGCCAACAAGTTCTTTGTCCTGGCTTTACATAGAAGACAACATTGGATGGGAAAGCGGGGGGGGGGGGCAGGATGATGTTATTATCGCTTGCCTGACAGAAGGCTTTGTATTAACACGAGCTCAAGCGTACAATTGTCCTCATGTGAGCTTGCTAACATTTGAGCTTTTTGGCATGAATTGAGAAATAGAGTGACAGCATGTAACTTGCTTCTGAACAGCTGTTGCTCCGGAGCTTTAAAGGGAAGTGCTAAATCTGTAATTAACCAGGCAACATTTCTGCGTATTCAGAAAATGTTATTTTTTAAAATATGTTTGTGCTGCTTTGTCTCAATAGCTCTTCCTTTCAACCCATTAGGGCTAACTGAACAATAATTTGTCGTGATAATACTGGGAATATAATTGGTGTGGGCTGTGGGGTGCTTGGAACCGTTTCCTCCCTTCTGAAGTTCTAGCCAACTCTTGTTTGTTTCTTTGTGCATAAAGGTCTCCAGAATTTAATGACTTCCTGAAGACTGCGCTTGATAAGAACCCCGAGACACGTCCGACTGCGGCACAATTGCTGGAGGTAAGTGCAGGATCCCCAGTCAATAAATGCATAAAATACATACATACATGAGCAACTGCTTGCAGGTTGGTAGCCCATGTAGTACAAACTTGTTTTTGGTGTGCTGATGCATAGAAAAGTTGAGCCTGTCTGCTGTAATTGTGGCTCCTAACTGGACACAAACTATACCACTGTTAGGAGGTATAGCAATGCAAATTTGACTGCCAGTGCTGACTGCCCAGCCTCCCCATACTTTTACTGGGCCTTCCAGTTGCTTCCACCTACCCACCCTCTTACTTGGCTCCAGTGTAAAAAAGGTGACTGTAATTTTCTAGCAGCACTCATACAGCAGCCACCATTCCTAGATACTTCTTTATTTTGGAAAATTCTCCTTGGCTACTTTAGAACCATGCATAGCATTTGTGTGTATTTTTTCAGTTTCTGTCCAAATGGTTATGCTTTACTATGAGCCTTTGGGTAAAAAGGAAAAGTTGTCTAATCGATAGATGGAGGAGAGGGAGTCTGCATCTAATGTGGCTTGTTGGAAGAGTTCTGAGTGTATTGACTCTATGAAACAGAGAGGAAATTGGCAGTACTGTATTGTCAACCAGGGGACGATTTCTTAATGAAGTTTGGTGCCAGTTCGCATGCTTACTTGGTTGGATGACCCTCTTTCTGTGGTGCTAGGAAGTAGATGTGCGCACACACCTCTGCACTATGCATGTAATGGCACAAGTGACTTGTCCGCTGCACATGGAGGTCCAAATCTGGAGATTATTCCTCTCCAGGAGGAAGAACAGAAAGCATGAGTGGGAATTGGGGCTGCACATGGAGCACATGTGTCATACATTAATAGTGCAGCCCTATGAATGTCTCCTCTGAAATGAGCCTTGTGGAGTTCAGTGGTGCTTCCTCCCAGGTTAGTGTTAAGGACTATGCAGCCTCAATAGCCTGCGATGTGCCTTTTCCTCTGTGAACGAGGGTAAATGTGCCAACAGACTTTGAGTCTATTCTGCTTAGTTTGTATACAGGGTTTTTACACTGTTGCCAGGTATGTTTGTACTTATGCAAGCCATCTTGGTACAGAGCACATGGGGCTCTTAAGGACCAGGTCACACGCTCCTTTCAGCTGCTTGAGTTGCTCATGGGAACACTGTTCTTGTGTAAGCATTGTAATCGGGTCTGGGGGATTATGGCTATCAAGCTGTAACAACTTCCATGTTCAAGAACATTAATATCGAAGGCCCCATCTGCACAGCCCATTTAGAGCAGTATCATGCCACTTTAAGCAGTCATGCTTTCCCAAAGGATCCTGGGAAGTGAAGTTTGTTAAGGGTGCTGAGAGTTGTTAGGAGAGCACTACTCACCTCACAGAGTTCCCTGGGAAGATGGATTGTTGTTTAACTACTCTCTGAATTGCAGCTCTGAGATGGGAACAGGGATCTCTTAACAATTCTCAGGACTCTTAACCAACTGCAGTTCCCACGGTTCTTTGGGAGATGCTATGACTGTTCAAAGTGTCACAGTACAGCTTTCAGTCAAATCAATCAGTTTATTTGTTTGCTGCCTTTCCAAAGTTAACACCATGCTCAAGGCAGCTTACAACATATTTTTAAAAAATTGCATAGCTACAAACATAACAGAAGTAGTCATAAACAACAAACAAAACAACAAAAGTGCACAACCAAACTGAACAATTTCCACATAGATCGTAAGATTCAAAATAAAGATACAAAAAAATTAACAGCAACAGCCCCCCGCAAAAAAACCCACCCTATACAAATACCCCAGGCCAAGATTCTGTTCACCAGCCTCAGCTTTTGTAGCTGGAGTCAGTCAGGGTCTCGCCCTCCCAGGTCATGTGGGAAAAGACCTGCAAGGCTGGGAGGGAGCAGGTCTTCCAGGACTTAGAGCCAATATGTATAGTGCAAATGGGAGCCAATTGCTGCCCCATGGATTGGATGTGACCCATGAGGATTTTTGTCTGCCTCACTGCAATCCTGCTCAGTTTTAATCAAGGTGTTTTGAAACTCTTCCCCCATAGTTTCACCTGCAAGAGAAAAAGAGAGAATTGTTCCCCGCAGTTGTGAGAGACAAGTATTCTACATCTTTGCATTTTTTTCTACTTGGGTAGTTGTTTTCTCCAACTATCTTAACCACAACTGTGCCACAAACTTAGCTGAGCCCTCACAACACATGCAGGGGTCGAATTGCATTACAAAATGCCCTTCTGGTCCCTGTATTGCTTTCTGGAGAGACTGTTTTGCTCCCAAGAATACAGAGATTTCCTGCCTGTGATCTAGCATGTCCATTTCAAAGCTAGAGAGGATGCAGACTGCCCATAGCACTTGTATGAGAGATTACATTGCTTATGAGTCTACTTGCATGAATGAATTTGGGCAGGGGTGGGGGGAGCAGCTGAAAGTGGCCCCTGAAGTCCACTTTGAGTCATCATGACTTGGGTTGCAGGATTGTTCATTCCAATACGGTCACACGTTCTTGGTTTTCAGCATCCTTTTGTCAGCAAGGTCACTACTAACAGAGCCCTACGTGAGCTTGTGGCTGAGGCAAAGGCTGAAGTGATGGAGGAAATTGAAGACAATAGAGAGGAAGGAGAAGAGGATGACTCACCAGAATGTGCATCTGTAAGTTTCATTCTTTCTGTTGTCTTTCATTCTTTCTATCTATCCTGCTGCATGAAGGAAACGCTTCTTTTTAAGAAGGAAGGCAAACCCCAACACCTGCGGGAATACACAAAATGCTTATATTTTTCAAAAAGCTTTCACAATGAAAGCTAGCTAGATACAGAAAAGTAAACTGAGGACCACCTTTGACCCCTGCATTGACTGTGTTTTGCTCAGGGGTGGGGGCAAGGAGCCACTTTGTTGTTTCTCATGCAGGTGGACAGGAAAAATGCCTCCTTGGTTGGGGAGCGATTCCTCTTCACGCAGCAGCCAACAAGCCCTGGAAACAATGTGATGGGCAGAAAGCCAGTCCCTTCGCTTTCCTCTCGTGAGAGAAGTCTCCTAAGTTAATGCTGAATGTGTCTCTTCATGTGTAACCCTCACTATATGGCTAAAACGGCCACATGGGAAGATGTTGTCTGCTGCCTCCTTTGCCGCAAGGATAATGTCCCTGTGCCATTTGGGACTAAAAATGTGTTCTACGCCCTGGATCCTGCTGACTGGTATTGGGCTTGGCTCGTGCAGATAGGAGGCTATAGGAGAAGTTGTGTGTGTGTGTGTGTGTGTGTGTGTTCGTTCATTCGTTCATTCATTCATGGAAGCAGTTCAGAAACAACTGGCAAGATTAAATATGTTGTTGATGGCTGATGCCAGGGTTCCAATCTAAAAGAGGTCTGTTCTGACCCAGGGCAAGGGATGCGGGGGACATGTTCCTTATCCTACATGGAACTTTTCTGTGGAGAAAATGATGAAACTGCTTCAGGCACAACGCCGTTCCCTGGAGCCTGACAAACCAGACTTTGGAGTTTTTGCAGACTTCCTTCGATTGTCTAGGACTTGGACAGAAAATAGACAAAGTTTCAAGGGGGTAGTTGAAATCGCCAAGAGAGGTGCGTTTTCAACATTCATGAAAACAAACCGAAAACTCTTCTCATGGAAGCTCTAGTTGTCGGAGCAGAGTCACTGCTCTGTGTCCTACACCTGCACCCCAACCCATTGTTCCCTTAAACTCAAGCACCTGGTGCCAGTCCTGAGAAAGAAGTTAAGGAGTGCTTCCTCTCTGACTGAAGCTTCAATTAGGAAATGCAAGCCTGGCTCCTCAAGGGAGGTGGGGGCGTTGAGGACGAGTGGCTGTGTGTTTCCTTCTCCCTCCCAACTCTGGAAGTACCTTTAGAAGTGGGAAGAGCAACACAACTGCTGTCCCTGAGGGGGTCCTCATCTGTGGAGGCTCAGTGTCAGGAATTGCAGGCAGGTCTTCTTCACTCCTCCTTCCACTCAACCCCCAAGATGTAAGGGGGAGAGTAGAGTCTTCAATTGTTGCTTAAAGAGCTCCCAGAGAATCCAGTGGGACAGAGTTTCCTAAGAGACGACACCCATGACAAATTTTTAGAGCTTGTTGGTGGTACTTGTTTTTTCTGCCAGTTTTATTCATGTGTTTTTATCTTCTAGCTTTTTAATTATGTAAACTGCTCTGCAACCAGTTACGCTCTGGTGAAGGATAGCATATAATATATTTTTTAAATCAATTATTTAAATAAAACTAAAAGTAGAAGACAGAAGACCTGCTAGTTCAAGGTTTCAATGGTCTCCTTACACTACAAATATTCAGAGGCAGAGGACATTTTAGTCTTGTTTCTTTAAAAAAAACCAACACAACCCCAGTGCATTTCTCAATGCATATGTTCGGTATTTGACTTCTCAGTTAAGTTTTTTAAGGAGAACGAAGTCAAAATTTATGACCCTTCTTTTTCCCTTTTCTTTACTCAGCCCCTTGATGCGAATAAGAGGGACTCTTCTGTGCCAAGCCAGCTAAGTTTGCAAAAAGAGAAGTCTCCAGAAAACGGCTTGTCACTTGTGGCCAATGGACCCGTGTTGCCTCTACAGCAAGTCACTGAAGCCATAAATGGGAAGGGCAACAAGGTTTCAAAGGAAGTGGCTAGCGACGAAAAGCCAGGCAAAAACAACAGCAGTACAAACTTGTCTGGAATTGAGGATTACACAGATGAAGCCAGTGCCAAAGAAAAGCCAGACGCCAGCCCCCAGTTGCTGCAACTCAACAAGAACGTTAAGCCAGCCGAGAACAGCAGTCTTGTCTACCAAAATAAGGACACTGAACCAGTAAGCAAAGATGATTCCAGTGTGGGAAGCCGGCCAGAGAGCAGCCTCCTTGAGACGCCAGTTGAAGAGAAGCTCCCCAATGGGAGTTTGAGTTCTTCCTCTCAGTTTGAGGATGGCAGCTCCAAGCAGGACTCTGATTCAGGTAGCACCTCTGCCTCAGAGAGCATGGACCTCAGTATCTCCTTGTCTACCGACCTGTCCCTGAACAGAGGCAGCGGGTCCCTCTCTCTTAAGGTAAGAATTTGGGCTCAACAAGTGGGATTTGTGTATCATGGAAACCAGGCTTCACTCAGCAAACCTTTGAGCAAGATGTCTCTCTAACTCATTCTCCAACGAACTGATTCTATCAAGGGGTCAGGACACAAAATTTACTCCTACATGAGATAGTTGATTCTTAAAGTCTCTCCTGAGTTATCTTCCTTGAAGAGTCTGATAAAACCATTATTGGGCAGGTGGTGATAAATCTGAATGTTGTAATATATCCTAGACCCCCTGTGATTGTTAGTTCCCAACTTTAGTCACCTTTGTTCTTGTTAGGCTGTTACATATATATATATATATATATATATATATGTAATTTTCTTTTAATGGTTGGTTCACCATAATAAACATTTGATTGATTACATAGGATGCAAAAATGCAGAAGATGACACTGAAACGGACCAGGAGATTTGTTGTGGATGGAGTAGAAGTGAGCGTCACTACCTCAAAAATCATCAGTGAGGATGAGAAGAAAGATGAAGAGATGAGATTCCTCAGGCAAGCTGAAAATTAGGGGATTTTTGGGTGGGGTGGAGATATGGGCACACCAGGCTTTCTCAGAATATAGTTTTCTCTATGCTTTTCACTTTCTCCATAGAGTTGTATGAAGTGGTATGGAACCAGGGGACTCATCACACAATATATTTTGGGCAGTTAAAAATATAACATGAATGCTGCAGAACTGTAAAAACATGATCTCCTTATGAGTAACAGGGAGTTATGGCCATTTCCAGAGCCTATCTGACTGCACAAATTAAGGTTGTTGCTATATGGTGTATATAGCAGCTTGTTAGGAGTGTTTGTAAAGCCAGACCTGTTTTTGTTCTGTTGCTTGTAAGTGCCACTTCTGGTGGTTCTCCTGCTTAGTGAAGTGACTGTCTTCAAATTCATAGGTTTCCTCTCTGACATGGCAAATGGTGGACATGAGCAGTCAAGGTGCTTCTCAAGGATGGTGTGGACCAAAAACCTGGCAGCAGCACTGCCATATAGCCTGGTGCCAGAAAGTGAACAGCCTTTAAACTGCTCTGGTCTGTGGTCCAGAGCCCACAACATAGTTGTTTTTTGGCATAAAATCAATATAAATACTGACCTATGAGTTTAGGACTCTTTCTCTTTCTTTCTTTCTTTCTTTCTTTCTTTCTTTCTTTCTTTCTTTCTTCCTCCCTCCCTCCCTCCCTCCCTCCCTCCCTCCCTCTCTTCTTCTCTTCCCATCCCCTTTCCTGAACTAGGGGATCAATAGGGACTTCACTGTAGACATACAGCAGTTTCTGATGAGTGTCTAACAGCAAATTCAAGTACTTATCTTCACAGAGCTGCAAAAGCATACTTTTCAAAAGCCTTACCTTGTTGATAGGTCTACAACCTAAACAAAATCTGACAGGTGACACCAACTTTCTAATCCTCGACTTAAAAATAATCAGGGGAGACCCAAAACCAAAGCTTGTAGCATTTGTCTGAGCCCACTGGGCTTCAGTTAGTGAGGCATGCTTCCTCATAGTTCATTGTGGGGTCATATTGTACGTCTATTTATTCAAAGTGTCTGTACAAGGAAGGTGAATAATTCAAGGCCAGCGGACAGGGAAGCAGCCCCTTCTCAATATCCTGCCTGAAAGGGACAAGTGGTGAGAAGTGTGGCTGTGACACAAGGAGGCAGCAACTCCTTGAAGCAATGTTTCTGACACTAGGAACACTCAGTCAGTCACCCCTGTGGTTATTTTAGTATGGATTGTGCTCCTTGTCTCCCCCTCCCTTTTTTAGCTTCCAGAGACTATGCTCTGGCATTACAGGGAGAGCTGGTCCTCCGTTCCTGAACTTCTTCTCCACTTTAATCCTACAGGCGCCAGGAGTTGCGGGAGCTGCGTCTGCTTCAGAAAGAGGAGCACCGGAACCAGACCCAGCTGACCAGCAAGCATCACCTGCAGTTGGAGCAAATGCTGAAGCGCTTTGAGCAGGAAATGCACGTACGTGGCAAAGAGAAGCCAAATTCCTCTTCCCTCCCTTTTATTCAAAGATATTGGGAAGCAGTGGGGAGAGGGGAAACACACCACTCACAAGGCGTATATTGTATAGCCTATTAGCCAGACTAGGCAGGACGCTAGCCACTAGGAATGAAACTGGAGGCATGTTGATGGAATCATTAGCTTTTCCCTCCATATGCTGGGGCTATGTGGCAAGGGGAAGGGCCATTGTAAATGGACATTTCCATCTGGTCTGGCATTGGTTCTGCTCTTGTGGCACAAGGCCATTTCTTTGCAGCAGTTCAACAAAAAAAGTGGTCACCTTGGATGCTGGAGAGGTCTGCTGCAGTGGCCCAGCTTTTGAGGAGTCAAAAAGAAATGTTGTGGAAACAAAACAATAGGCCTTAAAACCCTATGTGAATCTTTCTCAGTTTCAAATATATTCCGCTGCCCCCTTTTTTAAATAAAAGTGACATTTTCTTCAGGCTATTCCCCTCCCCCCAATAAATACATGTGTACTTTTACATATTCTGGAGCCTTTCAGCAGAACTTGTTGATGTGATGTTCTTTCTCTTTCTGTCAGTTCAGTGTTGATTTTAAATCTGGCCAAGAAGAAAAGTAACATCTCAGAAGCCATGTTATGGCATTCCTGCAAAGAATAGCTTAGCATAGGTTGGATGCTTCAAAGTCCGTGTTTCTTCCTGTGTGTTAAACCTGACAGGATAAGGAGACAATGCAAGATTGTCATATTTTTAATTGAGGAACAGTTTCAGCTTGTTCCTGTATGCCTTCAAATTTTACAGAAATCTTGTGGAATCAAAAATAACGAGGCACTTGCTGAAACTGCAATGCAACACATTCACAGCTATTGTGGCACTCCCCATATACGTATCCTCATGTTGTTGATTAGTCATTTAGTCGTGTCCGACCCTTCGTGACCCCATGGACCAGAGTACGCCAGGCACTTCTGTCTTCCACTGCCTCCTGCAGTTTGGTCAAACTCATGCTGGTAGCTTCGCGAACACTATCCAACCATCTCGTCCTCTGTTGTCCCCTTCTCCTTGTGCCCTCCATCTTTCCCAACATCAGGGTCTTTTCCAGGGAGTCTTCTCATGAGGTGGCCAAAGTATTGGAGCCTCAGCTTCAGGATCTGTCCTTCCATTGAGCACTCCGGGCTGATTTCCTTAAGAATGGATAGGTTTGATCTTCTTGCAGTCCATGGGACTCTCAAGAGTCTCCTCCAGCACCATAATTCAAAAGCATCAATTCTTCAGTGATCAGCCTTCTTTATAGTCCAGCTTTCACTTCCATACATCACTACTGGGAAAACCATAGCCTTTACTATACAGACCTGTGTTGGCAAGGTGATGTCTCTACTTTTTAAGATGCTGACGTATCCTCATATGCCTAACAATTTCCCAAACTCTCTCATGCAGGTATTCCACATTTTCATTTCTGCTTAAAAGCGAGGGCACATATTTGGGGGCTGGAGTCCCCAGTTTTCTGCAGCATGTGTGCTTGTTCCATACTTTAAGTATTGCTAAAGCCAACTCCTCCTGCCTTTCCCTTCCTAGCCCCACGGCATACAGTTAAAAGAATGGCAAAGGGTGTACAATGGGGGTTGCAAAAGGTTATTAGGCCTTCAAGGATCTGTGCCAGTAGATTGACTGACCTTAGGAGACCACAGGTGAACTTTTTACAGGGCTGAGCTGGGCCCCTGACAAAATCCCCCACACAAGGTGTCTCTAGCAGTGTCATGTACAGTGCTCCGTTTAAGGGAACGTCAGACAGTGGCCCCTGTCAAATCCCAGAAAGACCCTGCTAGTCAATGTAACCAATACTGAGCTAGAGTGACAAGTGGTGTGACTTGGTTCCTTCCCAGCCTTCCTTTAAAGTGGAGTTCAGTACGTCAGTAGCTCTGTCTGCAGCAGTTAAATGTGTGACCCACACAATGCATTTTCATTAGGACTCTGCTGTACTTAAGCCTCAGTATGTTTGGAAAATGTTTCCATTTCTCACCCTTATGTAAGTTAAGATCTCTCTTGGGAAGAAGGCTTTCTGAAGGTGTGAATGGTTTTGGAGGAAGTGCAATAGCTACACAGGCACTGTGGTATGGAAAGTGGGGCGGGGGTGGGGAAGTATTCTGTGAACCAGAGGGAGTAATGCAGAGTTTGCACATGCAGACTGTTCCATTATTGGGTGTTCCTTCAGCCACCCTCTCACTGAGTTGGTTTAGCCCAAATATTATTGTAAAACTCTGCCGAAATCCTGCGCGCTGGTTTCAGTCCTGTTGCTGGTAGATATTTCTCCTTCCGTGAGGAAAAGGCGGGCGAGCATTCTTTCCTGTTCTGCTTCAGCCACAGCCTGTAAGCAGATGCAGCCATCTCATCTGCTTGCTCCAGCTCATGCCTCCAGGCATCTCTGCTGCTAAATGTGTCAGAAGGCAGTGCTGCTCAGGAGATCCAGGTGTGTGGCAGGAGAGAACATTGTCACACACACATCTAGCTCCTAGTCTGCTCCCTGCCGTATATATGTGAGGGAACTAGAAGGCTACTGCAGCTTGTTTACTATTCTCTTCCATTTCTGTGTCACTCTGCTAGTCAGAGGTAGCTTACACAGAGTATTTTATATATAATATAATACTAATTATATATAATATAATATATTATATTATATATTATATTATAATATAATATATATAATAATATATATATTATAATATATAATATTATATATAATATAATACTCCAAAATACTAACGTAGTCAAATCTCTCAACTAAGTCTGAATGTCCTCTTTGGTCTCGTATAGACAAAGAAGAAATTCTATGACACTGAACTGGAAAATCTGGAACGTCAGCAGAAGCAGCAAATTGAAAAGATGGAGCAGGACCACACGCTGCGCCGCCGTGAAGAGTCCAAGCGTATCCGTGCTGAGCAGGAACGAGATCTTGTTAAATTTCAGGAGCAGCTGAAGCAAAGGAAGAAGGAGGTGAGAGTCGACGTTGGGCCAAAATCTTGCACAGGGAAATCTTAGATTTAGTTGTTGGCACTGGCCTATCTGAAAGCCCTCTCAGTCCTCCTGCTGTCATTGGCTGAGGTGCTCTCGTGTCACAGACAAGCTGGGCAAGGGAAGGGAAGCTGAGGGCAGAGCGCCAAGATTGAGGGGTGCTGAAGAAAGGGAGGAGAGTGAACAGCGAACAGCAAAACAGAAGCTATGCAAATGCACACAGACAGACACCTGCCCATCCATTGTCACAGCTCAGGGGCACATTCCAATCAGGCAAAAGCACTTGAGGAGGTGGGTAGGGGTGCAGCCAGGGCAGGGAGCGTGACCTAGAGATTCCTGAGGGCCAGGTAGAGGCCAAAGGGTCACATTCTGTCCCTGGGCCCTGAGGGTTCCCTACCCTTTTTCTAAATTCACTTGTATGTAACTATGCTGCCAGGGAAGAACATAAAAGTAAGAACCACCACCACCCAGAAACAAGAGACTTAAGAAACACTAACAGAAAAATAGGTGAGGGTGAAATGAAAGCAAATCAAAGTGATAGCATAATGTCAGCATAAAACTGGAGAATTGAAAGCCAAACCATCAGGTGACACGACCAACGTGATAAATCACTTTTGCTCAGACTTGTTAGGAAATTGGACCAGTAAGAACTTTTGTTGGTGTCTTTCGTTTCAAGCTCAAGAGTGACATTGAGAAGCTTCCACGACAACAGCGCAAGGGGACCATGAAAACAAAGATGGAGGAGTTTGCACAGAGAAAGCAAGTCATGGTAAGCTCTAGAGATATTAAGTCCGTGGTGTGGCCAAGACCCATATGGACACATTTGATTCCCTGCTTCCCAGTTATCATGAGTAAGGCAGGATGAGGAAGCAGAATCATGACACCCATCCTGCTCTCACTCATAAGAAAAGTTTTAGGCATCATACCAATAAGAGCATCTCTTTTGCTAATGTCTCCTTTCTTCCAGGAGCAAGAGTTTGAAGCCAAACAGGCTGAGGATCTGGAACAGGCCATGAAGAATATCACCACCCAAAATCGGAAGGAGATCTGTGACAAGGAGCGAGAGTGCCTCAACAAAAAACAACAGCTTATGAGAGGTGAGTGGGTGTTGTCCCCCCCCCCAAAAAAAGTGGGGAAGAGATTTCTCTAACTTGGTGCCCTCCACATGTTGATGGACTACAGCGCCCATTAGTCAGGCATGCTGGGGCTGATGGGGATGGGATTCAAAACATCTGCAAGACACCAGGCAACTCCCCACCAAAGGATAAAATGACAGCAAATTAAATCAGAGGACACCAAGCTCTCTAGATGAAGCAGAAATACGCTTGAAAATTGGCCCCAGAAGCCCCCGGCCACTGGGAAGTGGAGCGGATTTCCGAGCCAGACTGGAGACTGGTTTTTTAATTTTTATTTGGTGTGCGTTGGAAGAGGGGTAGTTTTATACGGCGAGTATATCCCAAACTCTATATTTTAATTGGAAAAGTTGGGGGGTCGTCTTATACGCCCAGTCGTCTTATACACCAGAAAATACGGTATTTGGTTAGGCTGAGGTGGTGGTTGTGCTTGGAAAGGGGAGCGGAGAAATGAGTGGATTCTCCAGTGGAGGATGGTCCATCAGCCAGCCTCCACTTTCTTGCCTTTTCGCTGGCAACCAGTCCAGGAAGTGGCATTGCCAGTCATCTTCCTCCTCCTCCTCCTCAATCTCAGTGTTGCCATTGTAGAATTTGGCAGGGAGAAGGATGGGGATACAACTAGAATTGCTTGGCCTGTCTTTGGCTCTGGCTCCATTTGCTGTGGGTCTTGCTGTCTTCTGCCCTACTGCTCCCCATGGGCACCAGCCACCATTGGGAAGTCCCTTTATCTTCTGGAATTGTATGTGATTGATAACTTCTTTGCCTATCCCCTCCCCCCCCCCCCCCGCGGTAAAGTGTGTAATGACTATATGCCATTTTATACCTTTTTCTCAGATCGGGAAGCTACCATCTGGGATCTGGAAGAGCACCACCTGCAGGAGAAACACCAGCTTATTAAGCAACAGCTGAAAGACCAGTATTTCCTCCAGAGGCATGAACTGGTCCGGAAACACGAGAAGGTAGCGGAGTTTCAGTCTGATTTATTTTCTTTAATGACTCTAATGCTTCCTACGGATGAGCAAGGTGTGGAGTTGCTGTAAAAGAATTGACCTCAGCAGATTTACAGAAAATGGCCTCCCTGTTGCTTGCTTGCATTGGGTGTGAGTACTGCATATATTTAACCATAGTCAATGCAGTCAAACATATAAAGTCCAGAGACGGAATAACTATGGTCAATTATAGGAGTACAGTTTTGTGCTTATAGATTCATAGACTCATAGAATTGTAGAGCTGAATGGAACCCAAAGGATCATCTAGATCAGTATTTCCCAAGCTTGGGTCTCCAGCTGTTTTCTGACTACAATTCCCATAATCCCTGACCACTGATCTGGCTAGCTAGAGATGATGGGAGTTGTAGTCCAAGAACAGCTGAAGACCCAAGATTGGAAAACACTGATGTAGACCAACTCCCAGCAATGCAGGAATCGCAGCTGAAAAATCCCTGACAGATGACAGTCCAACCTCTGTTTACAAACCTCCAATGAAGAAGAGTCCACTACTTACTTTAGGCCAGCCTTCACCATTCTGGTGCCCTCAAATGTTTTGGGCTACAACTGTCATCAGCCCAGGCCAGCACAGCCTCTCTCTCTCTCATGCAATTGGTTTGTTTGTGTGAGTGAGTGTGCTTCAATAGGACAAATGTCAAAATATTCTTGCCATAGTGTCTGTTGCATTTCCATCAGCTTTTATCTGACTGAGCCCCTGGAGTAAGCCATGGTGAATCTTCATAGAAGTGGTTTTGTTTTCCTTAAACTAAACCTGCACTATCTTTGTCTGTCCCCTTTGTGGTCTGTTGAATATTACCCTGAGCAAATATCCAATGTCACCATTCGCTTTGACTCTAAACTTGCAACATTTATTGTATTGACTTACCCCCCCAACCCTGGGCTGCCGTTGCTATTCCAGGAGCGTGAGCAAATGCAACGGTATAACCAGCGAATGATGGAGCAGCTGAAAATTCGGCAGCAGCAAGAGAAAGGCCGTCTCCCTAAAATTCAGAGGAGCGAAGGGAAGACCCGCATGGCCATGTATAAGAAGAGCCTCCATATCAGCTCCAGTGGAAGCGCCTCAGAACAGAGGGAGAAGATAAAACAGGTGAAGGATAGCACTAGAACCCTTGATGGAGGATTCGATTTGTGGCGCTTGCATTCATTCATTCATTCATTCATTCATTCATTCATCCATCCATCTATAGATGGATCTCCAATGAGGTCAAGGTAGCACACACAATTCCCGCCCCCCACTCATTAGTTAACCGCCACAACAAACCTGTGAGGTGGGTTAGGCTGAGAGGCAGTAACACTGCATTTGGATTCCTGCAAGCGAGGACTGTTAATCATAGAATTGTAGAGTTGGAAGGGATGACGAGGATCATATAGTCCAACTGCCTGCAATACAGGAATCTTTCACCCAATGTGGAAAGGAGGATTGTAGACTATACATGGAGGGTCCCTTGCTCAACAGCATGTACTTCCAGAAGCCACTGGTCTAGGCTGCTGACAGATATTTGCTCAGTTCCATCTGATATCACTGATGTTTTAAGCTCCAATGCTATATAAAGCACAAGTTAATACTGCCAGAAGGTTTCAGACAGTGGGTAGCTCAAGAAACCTTCCTGCAACACCTGTTAATGGTTTCATGGAAGGGTGGGAAGGTCATAGCTAAGCCCCCTGCATTGCTCTGGCACCTGTGGTGCAACCAATACAAGGTGCCGTGGAATCAGATCATATTGTGCTCACACCAACAGATATCAAAGGAGTACATGTATTTGAGGGTCCTACTCCTAGCGCAGAAGCTGAGAGGGGGCATTTTCCCCTGAAAATAAATTGTTCTCACATTGGTGACCCTCCATGTCTTCGTTGTGCAGCATTCTAGCTCCTGGTATATATAAAAAAATGTAGGGAGCCATGTTTAAAATTCCTGTGAACATAGCCTGGTGATTTAAAACCACAGTGAACGATGGTGATGTTGGGTTGCTTCCTTCTGTTTCAGTTTGCACAGCAGGAGGAAAAAAGGCAGAAAGCTGAGCGACTGCAGCAGCAGCAGAAACATGAGATGCAGACGAAGGATATGAGTGCCCAGTGTGAGAGCAACATGAATGAACTCCAACAGTTACAGGTAACTTAACACCGGCTCAGCTTTAGGTATGCTTGGGCGGGGTGTGGCGTGCCACTAATTTGGTTCATAGAGAAAAATCTGCCATCCATTCTGAAAAGTTGGTTCATCCTACCTGACAACAAAACCCTCCCAGAAATGGAAAATGTGCTTCAGTATTTCTTGTTTTTGCTTCTGGCATGTCGTGACATTTTGCATCCTATCTTTCCATAAAGATGGTATATATATGAAGGCTATCTCATTTAATCCTCACTGCAACCATGTGAGGTATGATAGACATGGAGAGAGTGAATTTTCCAGAGCCTCTCAATGGGGTTTGTGGCTGAGCAGCCTCTAACCATGACATTCATGAGCTCCAAATTGAGTGGATGCAAAAGTTTTCTGGAATGAGCATAGAATGAGTTGGGATTTTGTTGCTTTTGAAGTAAATCTTGTTCTTTCCTGGTCTTGGAAAGTCATGTTGGGTTTATAAATCAAGTCAGCAGGGATGCTGGGTTTGATACTGACCTTTTTGCTCTGCAGAGCTTCCCTCATTTGTTTTTCTTCTGATGTTTTAAATCTGTATAGAATGAGAAGTGCCATCTCTTGGTTGAACATGAGACCCAGAAACTGAAAGCTCTGGATGAAAACCACAATCAGAACTTGAAGGACTGGCGGGATAAGCTGAGGCCACGAAAAAAGGTGACAGCTAAAGAAAGTTGGAATAAAACTTCAAACACCATTAGAGGAGGTTTTTTGGGCGGGGGGAACGAATCAAAGGTTCAGTATTGAACTTTTGACTTCCAGATCAATTTGCCAAATCAAATACTCTGGGGGAAAATACTTTATGTTCATTACTAAAAATTACTAGCAGTAATTTTTATTCCACTCTGTATTTTTATTGGATTTAAAATTGTTTTTATATTTGAAAGTGTTTTATATGTTGTTATTGTCTGAGATGCTTCCTAAGAAGCTATTCAGAACTGCAATGAAATAAATAAACAATTTGGATTTGGAGGAGCGTTGAATTAGGACAACCTATTTCTGAAATGTTGCAAGTTTAGGGTTTTTGATTTGGTTCTCTCCCCCTCTAATTTCATCTAATTTTGTTTCATTTTTGACAACTCATGTACATAAGCCAGGGTTGGGGAATCTCTACCCCATGGGCCAAACTTGGCCTGCCAGATCATTTTTGGGAAGCTGCACTCACCCTCCACCTGACCTCATACCTGATGGGTGCATGGGTGCATGCCTTGCTTAAGAAGGGGAAATTGGCTTCCATTCCATGGAAACTCTTCCCTTCTAATGCTGCTCTTTGAACCCCCCCCAAATTGGAGATTCAAAGAGTAGCATGGGGCAGCCCCAATTTTCAGAGGGTTGAGGAGTAATGAGGGTTAAGGAATAATGAGGGAAAGGGCATTCGAATTGCCATTTGTAAACAGTCCAGTACTGCTCTTTAAACCTCAGATTTTCAGAGATGTAAGGAGCAGCATGGGGATGTTTGCAAATGGCTATTAAACAGGGGCGTCAAAGTGCAGCATCATGTGACATCACTATGATGTCTGCCAGGTCTTGGGAGATTAAGATCTGGCCCCTCCTGGCCAGAAAGTTTTCCCCATCCCTGATGTAAATTGACAGGAATCCAGGTGGCTGAGAACAGTGAAGTGATTACAGCTTGAAGCATTTCTCCAACTGAGCTCATTTCTCTTCGCATTTCAGGCTTTGGAAGATGAACTGAATCAGAAGAAGCGAGAGCAAGAAATGTTCTTCAAACTCAGTGATGAGACCGATGGTCAGCCTTCAAGGTCGCCAAACAAGCCTGCCAAATTTGTCCCATTCAGTTCTGCAGAGGCTTCATAACCCTTGGATTAGTGGACAGAAAGGCAATCCCTGCCTTTGTCCACAGAGAAGTTGACCCAAAGGACTGTCAGGGCTCCCTTTTCTCCTGCGCCAACTCTGATTTCCTCTTTTTGTCTGAGACAACCAGTGTGGCCTGAGGTCTGTTCCCCTAGAGATGAGACAGCTTCCCATTCATGTGGCCCTGGCTGGTGCTGACCAGGTGCACTTGGAGAGTTGTGGATGAGCTTCAGAGAGTAGCGCTAACGGGGTTGTGTGCAGAGTTCACACTGCTTGCTGATCCCATTGCCCAGACCTTGGGCAGTTTTCTCTCTTGAAGGGATGAATGTTGGTGACCTAAAAGATTGTTGATGGCTGTTAAGTGCTGCTGATAAACTTGCCTGTTTAATTTTCTAACTAGTTCTCCTGTTAGGCCCAACTTGCTATATCTGCCAGTGGATCTCACTTAACCTTTTAGTCTTAATGGTCGAACCATTTACTGCCTTGAAGCACTGGGAGTTCAGCTTCACAGCTTACAAAAGACGAAAAATTGTTAGCTTTTATTGTGGCCTCCATCAGTTAAACAAAGGGCTCCTTCTCCTCTCCTTCTAGGGCCTAGAATCTAGGCCGTCCCATTGAAACTCATCAATTTCTCAGCTTGTTTTGAAGTGACCCAGCACACCACCCTGCTAACGTGTGACACAATTTCTGCCCTTTCTCAAAGAGTTACCACAGCCTGAAACATACAAGTGGAGTGTTTAAATCAAATCAGTCCCAAGTCAAAGGCTGACCAAAAAGGCAATGAGAAGCTTATGATCCAACTTAGAGTGCAATTCAACAATTGCGAAGGCTGCATATACATGGTCAGCTGTGGAAAATGCTGCCCAGTTTTGGGATGTTTAACTTTGCACACCTGCCCCAATTAATAAGCCGTGCAGAGGCCCACACAGTTCAGATCCTAAAATGGTGGGTAACATAAAGGTCTGGTCTTTGCTCTTCACTTTTCCCTCCTCTTCTGTTGTGAGGCAATGGGTTTCTTTTCCCTGTGTTCATCAACAGAGAGTTCTGTCTCTCCTGTCTCCATTTCTTTCCGCAGCCCAGTTGGTCCAGAAGGCAAAGCTTGTGCTCAGGTTATGGCAAGAGCTAATGGCTGCTCTTTCCAATATATTAAATAGAAGAAAAGTGCAAATGCCTTGTAGCAGCAAGTTTACAACTGGCCTAAGGTTAAAGGCATCTTGTTTCGCATCATCTCATGCGAGTTTCATAGGACATCAGTTGCTAGCTTTTAGTTTTTGTTTTTTAAGGTCTACTGTATAAACTATTGGGTGTGCTGTGATTTGAGAACATGATGTTGGCCTAAACCAGCATTTTGGCCAGTGTGTATCCCTTTGCTGCTACTTTTGAGTTTGTAGCAAGCCAGAATGATCCAGGTAAGAGGAGCCCCATATAGCAGAATAGAATGTGATACATTTGAAATACTGAAGATAATCAGCATGTCATTATCTTTAAGTCTTCCAAAGGCTGTTTTTAAACCAAAGATGTGTTATTTCCCCCTCACACCTTGCTCACTCCACATTTCACTATTAAAACACATATTTCAGGAAATGTCAAGGCTTTATCAGTTTCGCCAATTTGCATTTCCCTAGACATTAAATCTATATTGAAGTCTTGATGCTTTGCACAGTGCACCTCACATAATCCTCCATCTGGGTCAGCTGTTTGTGGTAAATGCTTAAATTTGGTACTTCATTCAAACAAAGTCTTCACAGTTCATTGGTACTTCATTCAAACAAAGTCTTGACAGTTCATTGTGCCGTCTCAAAGCACTTAGGTTAGCAAAATGCTCCAGTGTTCCTTTTTGTGTATCACTCAGGACTTTTCCAGCACTAGCTCTGTATAGGAAATAATGCTTTTCTTTCCCTGTCTTCCTATAAAACCATGTCGCTGTTGATGTGATTTCTGTTCTCAGAGTTAACTTACTGGAATGGAAACGGAAGTCTAGCAAATGCATCAGCTGCTGCCAGGCTGCAGTTTCACTGTCTTGTTTAAGAGACTCCATATTCTGGATATTTTAGAGGCTAGAAAATGTGCACCCAGAAACCATGGGGTTACTGTCCTGTTCTAAATAATTGTGTTTTGAGATACTGTCTGGCGAGACTGAGAGAAACTGGAACAGAGCCTGTGAATGATTTGTGTTCTGAAAACTCAAAGATCCTAATTTTCTCCAAACCTGATAGCCAGTTTCTGTTCTAACTTTATGTTGCAAATTTTTGATAGTTTGCATTGTGCACAGGCTTGTGTATGTTGTGGACACACCCACATGCAGCTCAATCTCGTATAAGTCAGCCAGTAGTTCATCTAATTGTCTTCATCCTTGGCCAAGAAATCAAACAAGAGTTGCTAATTTTAATACTGCTGCAAGTTTGTGTGTGCTTATCTTTCTTTGTGTGCCAGTCTGGTCTTGACTGCTACCAAGCGCTGCTGTAATTTTACAAAAGTGCAATATTTACCTCGTGCAGTGTTGCAAGGATGTCCTGCTCCTTTTGTGGCAAGAAAGTGTCACTTTTCTTTATTTTTCTCTTTCCCCTGACCCAAACAAAACCAACTTTTTCTTTCTTTTCCTTGGCTTAAAACTACAATATTTTTTACATGGGGGGACCTGATTCTTCTACTCAAAAGGGTTTTATTTTTTGGGGAAACCACTATGATGTAAATAATCTAATAAAAACGTTACCACGGTGAGCGCCTGCATTTGCGTCCTGAACACTTGTTGTACTTGTTGCCTGTGGGTTTTGGTCAGCAGTGCTGACTTGTATTTGTACATAAATTTGGCTTGAGCGTAATGGAATTTGATTCCTGCTTACTGAGATTCAAATCACCCCACAATCAACAGCTTTCGGGCTCGGAACCAAACAAACTTTTCTTAAAATATATATTGTCTCATTTTGAGAATGTGTGCATTGAAATGTGTTGGTAATAAAGCTATTAATTCTCAAAGCTAGCTGTGACCAGCTGGAGCTGTTTTTAATTTTCTGCTGCTAAACATCCAAGAATAGCTAAAGGGTGACACTGTTTGGTGAAGAGGGAGACCTGCACTTACCACCAGCCGTCACATCATCTCCCATTTTGAATCTGTTGCTCTTATGTTTTGATATTAGCAATTATTGAGCACCTACAGTGCCTATAAAAGCATGTGCAAAGTCTTGGGATGAAGACCCCCGTCTAGTCACCTAGCCATTTATTATACAGTACGTGTGCTAGATAGTGTTTTCATGTGGAAATTGCCACTGATGGGTCAGTCATCTTTGCTGAGTAGGGGTTCCACAATTCCCTCAATGTGATGGAGTTGCTGGGAATTACATGACATCCTTTTCAAAATTCTGCACATGCAGAGAGAACATTGTGTTGAATCTTGTGCTTTTGAGGTCAAAGAAACCAATAAATGCTGTTGTCATGGCCCTCAAGTAGATTGTAATTGATCAGCAAGCACAGATGTTGTCATGACTAGCCCTGAAGTTTAGTAAACATTGTTTATTATAAGTAGGAACCAGTTGTTCTAGGAGACCTTACATTTAAGAAAATGGTACTTAAAATGCACACATGTACTGAAATACATGGAAATGGTAAATTACAGTTTCTTCCATTACATATTACATGGTGCAGAAGACACAGATTCACATATTGTGCTATTTTACAACTTCAGCTCCAGATACCCACAGTTTCTGTTTTTGAGCTCCAGTCCTCTTCCTGGAGCTTGAGGAAACCAAGTGAGATAAAACAGAGACTGTCAATCAAGTGTCATCTCTCTCCGCCGCCCCCCCCCCCATATACACACACGTGAGCAAAACCAATTGTTGTTGGGCTGGCTAGCTGTTGTATGATCTGTCAGAGGTCACCAGCTCTGATCCATGCTCTGGGCAATGCTGGATTTTGGCATCATTGCTGGCCCTTGTGGAAAGATAACTGCCAAGGTAGGAAAGGTGGTTGACATTTTCCAACGTTACACCATTAAGTTGGATTTGTGGTGCTGCAGAGGGGTTGCTGGGTGCTTGCTGGTGCAGCACTTTGGTTTTTTGGATATTGAGCGATGGGCCCATGAGTGTGTGGTGAGGCACCTATGCACATGCTTACAGGCACAAGAATTGGCCCAGATAGTTATTCTGCTATGCCACCACCATGCAGGAAAATGTGGCATTTCCAGATGACAAATTCCAGAAGGTGTTTTCTGTAACCAATAAAAAGTCTTCTTGTAACGTAAGGCTAACAAGTGGTGTAAGTTTCTATGGGCTAAATAAAGCCCATTAAATGTGTGGTCTCTTAAACTGATATGTACATATAGAGAGGTGGGGGGAGGTTTATGTCTGGGGCAACAGGAACAGGTGGCAGCAGATGTATCCTATTTCTGTGCAAAGAGAAAATGAAAACAAGATCCAATCAGGGTGGAAGTCTTTCCAACTGATACGCTGAAAGCCAGTATACGGGTAGAATCCAGTACTTGAGAGCAAGTCAGATATTAAGCTATCTTGTCAAACAGCTTGATACAACAGCAAGTCATTATGGGCTGGCTTAAAGCTCTGGCTGTTGTGGGATAGTTATGGGAGGAGACTAAATATCCTGGCAACAGAGCTAGAGCAATGCTGTGATGTGTTGAACACAACTCCGTGATCATTATGTTTGCTGCATGTGCAGACTTCTCTGAATTTTGACTATTTTATACTGTTCCCTTGCCCAGAGCAAAATATGCATGATGCACCTACTGACAGAAACTGGCTTTAGGTCACACAAGTCTATTTCTTTCCTGATGCATAAGTAGTCAATGTATATTCCTGGAGCCTAAAATCTGGTGTTTAAAAGGAGGTGTAATCTTTTAAAGGTAGCCAGATGTTCTGATGCGATATGTACTAGAAATAAAAAGCAACACAATTCTCCAGTAGTCTAACTATTAACTCCATCTATAGACTAAGTAGAACAAAACAGTAAATACATTTTTCCGGGGGGGAGGGGGGGCTTAACTGGGGAACAGA